AAAGTTCCTAATAAGAACACCAAAAAATTACCCATCCCCTTGTGGGTAAATTCCCAGCCAGACAGGGCCCAAAAGCTTGCCACAAGTCTACGGCACTTTCTGACAGAGATTCACAGGAAGGGGGTGAAAGAGACAGGTGAGTCTGGAACAAAAGGAGCAAAATCAAAGCACAAATCAAGATAACACTATTGTCCGCTTCCCCTTGGGTCTCTCTCCCCTCCCCCACCTTTCAAGTGTCTCTGAGTCCCAGGGCAAGTGAGGGTTAATTAGGCAGCTTCCGGGACAGCACAGGCAGGGACTTCCGGAGAGTTAGAGAGGCTTCTGAGATAAGGGTAGAGAAACTCAGAAGGGCTAATGAGGGCAGTAAACTTTAAGGCTAAAATTTAAAATGACTTGGGAAAGTAAATTTTAAGAGACCTTGGACAGGGGAGGTGTAGGGGCAGGATGAGCACTGAGCGGGTTTTCTGATCCAGCAGACGGGTAAAGGAGGAGTCCTGGAGCCTTCGGTGGCTTTAACAGGCTTTCATTGAGCTTTACACGTAGTGTGGCAAACAGGTACACAGCAGGCAGGAGTGCTGGGGGGCAAGGAGGCTGGCGGGCCTCCAAGCCCCCAGCACATCTTCACTCTGGGCTTCTCTCTCCTTCTCTCCTGACTCTCTCTTCTGCTTCTCTTGGTGACTCCCTCAATACTCCTCCCATGGCCCACAGAAGTAAACAAGACAGCTTGCAACAATGTAACTACTGCAGGTGCCCCATCAGGCAGGGCAATCCTAGTGGTGGGAGGGTAGAAAAGCCTGAAAAACCATTTACCCTACAGGAGGTAAAAAGACAAATTCTAAGGTAAGAGCTGGGAAAGGACACATCTGCCTGGAGGAGTATAGTCATTAGGAGAAACAGCCAATTACAAAACAGGATGATGAGATTTTAAAATAGAGAAAAAAGTGTAACAGGGCAGGGAGAGGGGCAGCCCAAACCCGGCAAACCTGCCTATTCTATATAGGGTTCTGCCATCCGCTGCATTAACACAAAACATGAGACTTTAATGAGAAGGAACTTTAACACAATTAGGAAACAAGACAGGAAAGGCAAAGAATCTAGTTTCTAAATCAAGCACCCACAGTTACCCGTCCCCTCGTGGGTAAAACTCCAACCAAATGGGATTGGCCCCAAAGCCTGCCACAAGTCTAAAGCATCTTCCAGTGGGGACCCACAGAAAAGGGTCAGAAACAACCAGACAAACCCGGAAGGAAAAGAGCAAAATCAACATCAAGATAAAAGCTGCCACTGTCACCTCCCCACGGGTCTCACCCACATCTGTGTCACCCAGTCCACGACCAAAAGACAAGCGCAGTTTCTTCACGTGTCTCTAGGATCCACGCGCCTCCTCCAGGTCTCCTGGCTCCATCCTGCTTCCTTCCTCAGTCTCTTCTGCAGCTTCTCCTCTTCCTGCTCAGCTCCACCCTCCCTTGGGTGGGGCAGGGAACCTCCCCCTTTCCTGGAGACCACCCTGTTACAATCAGATTTAAATATCCCCAAGACACAGGCCCATAATGGCACCTTTTGCCCCTCCTCAGCGTCGCTGCCTTGAAGTCTTTGGGCCCTATTTGGCCCAAAAGTTTTTTTTGCTTTTGTTCTTTTTCCTCTAAATAAGTTTTCTTCACTTTTTTTTTTTAATTCTTAAATTTAAAAAAAATTATTTATTCATGCATACAAAAGCTGGGGTATAGGCCAGAGGTGTGGAGGGTGAGAGGATTCACCAGAGACAGAGCGGGGAACAGAACAGGCAGATTGACTAAGTACACTGCTGAGGCAAGTCAGGAGAGGTATGCTGTACTATGTGGGTCACCTCCCTGCCCGGCCTGGGGATCAAACCCGTGCTGCAGTGGCTGCAAACAGCTTCTTAGGTTGTGTCTTAACCCCTTGCGCCACCAGGGAGGCCCTATAAATAAATAAATCTTTTCTTCACTTTTTGAATAAAGTTTTCTTTTCTCTGCTTACTTACTTATCTAAAAAGTCTATGAATTCCTTTTTATAGCTTCGTGGGACAAGACCCTGTGGTGGTTCAAGGGCTAAATTAACAGCACACACCGGCTCCATCTACACGTCTCTGCTCTACATGTCTCCTTCCCAGCAGTACCAGGGTGCGAGTCAGACCACAGACACAGAGTTTTCATCACACACACACACACACACCACCCCTGCCCAGCCCACCTGCCTCCTATGTTATATAGTTATACCTGGCCACCCAGCTAGTTCCCAGTAGCTACTCCAAGGTGCTGCATGTGAGCGGGTGTGGAGAACATGATACCTCCCTTAACACTCTGACCTTCAGTGCTGGTCCCAAGTTGAGCCTAAGGTTTGAAGCTAGCCCAGAGCAATTCAAATATGTCAACTTGGCCAAAGTTGGTGTCTTTACACCTGGCTGGGGAGGGAGGCTCTGCTGCAGACCAGCTCCGGCAAAATGTCTGGTCAGGTATCCCTGAAAAGATGAGACGTGTCAGCGAAACTTGAGGGCTGGGGGCAAGAGTATGGCAGACACAGACACTCTTTTTTGGTGCAGGTATCTCCTGCTGAGGGTCTCAGCGGGTCTTTTTTCTTACATCATTTTTCATCTTTGCACAATGTATGCATTTTCATTTTGGTTATATTCCCTATACAATTGCACCCCCCCCTCCCATTTTGACTCTAGTTCTTCCTCTCCCCACTACGGAACTTCCATACAAGGAAAATGGCAGCCAGCTCTGGGTTGCTTATCAGACATGCCCTTGCACAATAATTATTTCCCATTGTCAAGTGGGCCAAATTATCCAGTGTTTAATTTTTAAGTAGGTAATTCTCCATGCCATGTACTTATAATATTCTTATACGTGTAATTTATTGTCCAATGTATATTTCGAGAAGTTTTTTCTTATTATGACCAAGAACAAAAAACAAAGGGATGTTTAATCTTCAGCCCTACGGTGTGAGGCACAAGGACTCTTCAGCCCTATGGTGTGAGGCTCTTAAAAGTCTTCAGCCCCACGGTGTGAGGCCCTTTTTCTTCAGCCCCACCGTGTGAGGCTCTTTGAGCTCCAGCCCCACCGGGTGAGGCCCTTTTCTTAGCTGCTTGCCCGTGTCTTATCTGGCTGGGGCAGCAAGGCCCCCTGCAGCAAGGCTCCTCTTATAGGACACATAAGCTTCCCCTGGGCCTCTTCAACAAGATGGCCATAGGGCTTTAATGGAGGGCTTCTAGGCAGAAGGATGCCCTACCGGGACCTGGGGATGTTTCTCCAGGTCTATTAAGAAGACTGGGCCTCTGATAATCCCCCACACTCACCCCACCCCTTGCCCTCTCACACCACCCTCCACACATACACCACACACACCCTGCACACCCCACCACCACCACAGCAGAACACAAATACCAGAAATGTCTGAACCTTTGAAATCTGGGTCTAAATCTGGGTTGTGGTCACCTGGTAGCTGAAAAAACACAGGAAAAACATATAACTTCCTTCCTGCTGTCACTCCCCCCACCCCCACCCCCACCCACCAGGCAGCAAGGCTGCTTGTAAATAGCACAATTTCCTATAGGAAGCACTGGCTCCCTTGGCTACATGGAAGGGGATGGGAGGTCTGCTTCCTTTCCACAGTCCAGTTTCCTTTAGGGGATGCCCCCCATATGCCTGTCAAAGCCTTTGGGTTCAGTGTGTTCCAATGGGCCCTAGTCACATTTTTTCTTCAGATGTGCTCCTTGCTTTATGGCCTTGTGTCCTGTTATCTACCTTTGCTACTGCCTGAGCCACAGGCCCCTCTGCGCACCCACAGAACGCTTACTGGATGTTCATTTTACTTTCAATTCCTCACTGGTCCCTCCTGAGGAGGCTACTTTTGTCATTGGAAAACTGAAGCAAAGAAGGTTTACTTGGAGTCCTGATATCACAGGGCAGATTCTGAACGTAGGAAACGGTTCCCTAGTGGCACTGGGCCACCTTGCTTGTTGCGTGGGATGACACCCGGTGGCCAAATGGGGGGATGACAGCCTCAGACACACGGGCTCATGAGAGGCCTCTACCCTCTTCTGGTGGTTCCAGTCCCTCTTCTTTTTTTTTTTTTAAGATTTATTTATTTATTTATTTATTTATTTATTTATTTATTTATTTATTTATTTATTTATTTATTTATTTATACAAGCACTGGGTACAGTCAGAAGCGTGGGAGGGTGAGAGAATTCACCAGAGCCAGAGCGGGGAGCAGAGCAGGCAGAAGGACCGAAGTACACTGCTGAGGGGAGCGGCGGGCGGCAGGAGAGGTCTGCGTGCCATGTGGGACCCTCCTCCGGTGGCCGGTGGCCGGGGAGCAGCCGGGGATTGAACCGGCGCTGCAGAAGATGCTGGCAGTTTCGCAACCCAGCACTCAACCGCTGCGCCACCGGGGAGGCCCTCCAGTCCCTCTTCTGACACCTTTCAGGTTCCAGTTCCTCTTTGATACTCTATGCCTCTTTAAACGTTGTCTGTGGTCCCCCAGAGAGCCTGGGCAGGGGTAAGCGAAACCTTGCTGGATGTCCACAGTGATCATTAAACACAAAACTTGGCCTCTTAGGTCAGACCCGGATGCTGCTGCCACTCCCCAACTCACCTCTTTAGCCTGTGGTAGATACGAACACAAGAGTGACATGCACTAGGCACTCAGTAATTGTAATGGTAACCTTCAGTAACACACAAAAGGAAAGTGGGAACTTGAGGTGGACTGTCCCAGGTAACCCTGCCCTCCAACCCCCACCCCTGAATCATCCAGCCCAACCCAAAAAGCTTTGAAACAACTCACAGGTTTTTTCTAGGAAATTGAAACTGAAAGGCCATTCCTGGGCCTCCAGTTCAGAGGATCCTCCCCGGACTTACCATTGGTCAGCAGGCCTACCATGCTAATAAAGGGGCCGTCCTTAAAAGATTCCAGTTCCTTCCCTAACTCACACTCTACAGTCTAGAGCCTGTTTGGATGCGACTAATGTTTCACTACAGATGGCCTGTGTCTGAGCAGAACATGGAGCCGGTGGAAGGATGCCCCAGGCTGCTGAGACGTCTGAGAATCCCATTGCTGATATTGCTGGTGGTGGCTGTGCTGGCGACCTTGACAACCTTCATCATCAGGACCACCAGACCATCCTGCAAGGATGTCCAAGCTAAGCAGGATTGTTGCAATAGCACGAGCCTCCTGGAACATCAGCTGACTAAGGCCCAGGAAGATCAACTGCAGAGAAAGGCCCAGGTCACTGCCTGCAACAAGACTGTGGTAAGCCCCTGACCCTTGAGAGGGGCTCCAGGGCCTAGGTAGGTGGAGGTAGACAGACCTTGAAGCTGCCCCTAAACCCACATATTGAAGCCCTGAACTTCCCCACAAGGATTTGGAGAACTCTAAACACTTTCTGGGGTGCTGGTAAGGGTGTTCCCCCAGAGCCCCAAAATTAGGGTCCTAGGTATTCCCCACCAGGGTGTGAGAGAATCTCTAGATTTCAGGGCACTGGTGTGAGGAAACTTCCTTTGGGCACCAGTTTTGGGAGAGTAGAAATTCTGTCTAAGGCATGGGGTAGGGTCCTCACCAGGCCCTGAAGAAGGAAGGGGGGGAAATCTGTAGTGGGGGAAGTCTTGGCATGAGGCCAGAGGTACAGGGGTGAAAGAGTTCACCAGAGACAGAGTGGAAGTGAATTTATTGACATACACTGCTAAAAGAAGGGGCGGAAAAGATGGAAATTTCATTTGCCCAAAGGAGTATTGGCGGCTCTCTTTTTTTTTAAGATTTATTTTATTTATACATTCAAGAGCTGGGGTACAGGCCAGAGGTGTGGGGGAGGGGGGGTGAGAGGATTCACCAGAGACAGAGTGGGGAACAGAACAGGCAGATGAACTGAAATACACTGCTGAGGAGAGCAGCGGGCAAGACAGGAGAGGTCTGCTGTGCCATGTGGGTTAGCTCCCAGGCTGGGGATCAAACTCAGGTGCAGTGGCTGGCAATAGCTTCACAGTGCTGAGACCTTACCTTTTGCACCACCAGGGAGGCCCCCAAGACTCTCTTTTATACTCTGCTTTTGCACTTTCTAACTTGGGGTGTCAATTTGCACCAGTTATCTGCTGGTATGTCTGGGCTCAGTCACTGGCCTTTGACACAGAAACATGTCCTGGCCTCTACTCCTATATGCCTGGTTTTTGATCAGTCTTATGGCCTCGTACCCAAGGCAGGCTTATTCATCTCCTGATTTGTCCCAGCCTCCCAACCCGGCTGCTGGGCGAGGAGTGGGAACTTAGTTTTTAACCTTATTAAATTGTACCCTAACACTTGATATTTGCATTGCATTGATACTTCCACTTGGGTCCTGAGATGGGGGGGGCCTTGACACTGCCCCTGGGCATCTAACTCCAGCTCGAAAATTCCCCTGTGTTCTGGGTTTGGTGGAACTTATAAATCTTAGGCAATAGCCCAAAGGGCCTGGGAAGATCTCTGAGGTTTTCGGCACAGGGAATCTCCAAATTCCAATTTGAGGAACCTCAAAACTCCCATTTCGAGGATCACATCCTTATTAGTGGCCCTGGGAGGATGGGAGGCTGTGACCATTCTCCAAGACAAGAGAACGAGGTACAGAGAGGTTTGAAAAGGAACCTGAAAGGGATTTGGACTTGAATCCTTCTATCCCAGGACCTGGGGAAAAGGTCCAGCAGCCAACCCCCTGGAATAGGACTCCAGTTTCTGATCCTTCCCTCTGTCTCAGGAGACCCTGATGGCTTCCTTGGAGAAGGAGAAGTCTCGGAGCCAAGTGCGAGAGAAGAATCTTCAAGGTGAGAAGAGACCAACTCACAGTCCCCAACAAAGAGAGTAGCTAGAGGGCAGGGCCAGTGTACCAAGCAGGGGGCTTGGAGGGGTAGGTCAGTATTGAAGAGGATGGGGATTGAAGGCTCCAGGGTTGGAGTCCAGAGAGAGGGATGAGGTCAGAATCCAGTGGAGGGTGGAGAATGGGGCACAAGAGGTTTCAAAGGGGGCGGTGGGGTTGATGAGGTGGGGGATGGAGTTGAAGTCAGGTCTCTAGTGTGGCCAGGTGAGGGAGGTAGCCACTCTGCCAACACACCACCTGATTGTATTCCACTCTAGAAAAGATCCAGAACCTGCAGCAGCAGCTACAGGAAGCTTCCACGGAGGTGGAGAAACTAAGGTCTGAGATGTACCCCCAGCTATGCCCTTTCTGCAACTACCCCCTCCTAACCTCCCCCAACACCCCCGACCCCTTTGCTCAGAAAACTCCATAGCTCAGTAAGTAAAGTTCGAGACCCAGCTGTGTTCTGCGTGTTCCAAAGTCATGGGTGATCATTGCCTATTCTCCCAGCTCCCCCCACCAACTTGGTGGTGGAAGAAGAGATTCTGAGGGGAGACTGGCCTAGAGCTGGTGGAGCCAGGCTGGCCAGCTGCATGAGTTACCCCCACCTCTACCCTAGGAAAGAGAAAGAGGAGTGGGGCCAGTACCCCAAGACCTCCTCCATCAGCTCTCTGGTGACCCTCAGTCCCATGGCGCTTGCTGCACTTCTGCTGCTGGACCTCTGGGCTGTCTGGACTTGAGGTTCCCAGAAGCCAGTTGGTAAGTGGAGGCAACCTGGGGGAGAGGAAAGCTGGTGAGGGGGAGGGTGTGGGGAGTCAGAGACAGGTCCGCCCTGGGCACAGAAAAGGAAGGGTCTTGGAGAGGGAGTGGGAGGGTGCAGTGAGTGGGGAGGGGGCCTGGACCACAGCTGGCTTGGGCAGGGATGAACAACTGCTCCGGGTGGCCCTGAGTCCCACTTATGATGTCTCTTAGGTCACAGCCTGGACTGGTCCGGTTCTCTGCTCTCCGCTTCCAGGATTACCTGACTGGGCCTATTTGGAGGGGCCCACACAACAGCAGGGTTGGGGGAGGAGACAATGGGCAGGGATTGGGAGGAGGTTTGGGGGCTTCTTGGGGATTCCATGGAGCAGCTCTGGAGGGACCAGGGGTGGCCTTGGGGCTGGAGAGTAGTACGGTTGGCCCAGGGCTCCCTCACACCCCTCTCACAGCTGGGTAGGGCCTGGGGTAGGGGGGCACATATTTCTTGTTATCATGTTTCACAATTTTGGGGGGGTGGTCTTTGGGTTCCAAAAAATAAACACTCTTTTTGGAGGGAAAGATCTTATTTCGAGTTCTTGGAGTGTCACGCGTCACCCACACATCTGGAACCTACCATGAGGGCAAGGATGAACACCCAGTCATTCCTACTCCAGATTGTTCCCAGGAATGTCTAGGGTTGGGGCAGGCACCACATTGCCTCCCCAGTTCTCTCTTCCACCGGGATCACATTAAAAGACACTATTGACTGTACTGGACCATGGTCCACTCTCCCCCAGCCTGATAATCCCTCAGGTTATCTTCTTCGGAGTTCTGCAGGAATCCCGACTATCATACAAGCAACTTCCTGCATTGGCACTTGGACCAGGACCTTTATGTCTGCCCTGAATTCTATACTGATCCCTATTCCCACAGACCCTGACCCAGATGGTCAGTGGACTCCCCCACATGACTCCACTGGGTCTCCTCCCAGAGACCCTCAAACACCGCCCTGGCCCCTAACAACCTTGCTCCTTCTATGCCTCGACTCACCATGCTCTACAGCCCCGATTATTTCTGTGTATGGACCTTGTCAAGCTTCATCCCGCTTCAGGGCCTTTGCCCATGCTCCACCTGCTGCCTGGAGTACCCTCTCCCTCTTCTGAAGTTCCGGGACAGGGTTCCTCAGTCTCAGCACTGTTGATCTTGGGGCTGGATTGTTCTCTGTGGTGGGGCTGTCTTGTGCACTGTGAGCAGCATCCCTGACCTCCAACCACGCCCAGATTGTACCCACTCCCAGGTTGTGCCAACAAAAATGCCATCAGACATCACTGGGTATTTCACATAGTGAAGCCAAGTGTCTCCTGGGAGCAGAATCTCTGTCAGTAGAACCCTCTGCTCACTTCTGTGTCCCCAGGTTGCAAGAGGGCCCCATAGGTGCTCAGGAAGTCACTTTATGATGACTAAGTCATTCCACCCCGTACCTGTAAACCCTCCACTTCCAGCGGGTTCTCTCTCTCTTTTATTTTTAAAGATTTATTTATTTATGCATACAAGAGCTGGGGCACAGGCTGGGGGTGAGAGGATTCACCAGAGACAGAGTGGGGAACAGAACAGGCAGACTGACTGAAATACACTGCTGAGGGGAGCAGCAGGCTAGACAAGAGAGGTCTGCCGTGCCATGTGAGTAGCTCCCTGGCCAGCTGGGGATCGAGCTCTGTGCTGCAGAGGCTGTGGACAGCTTCATAGTGCTGTGCTTCACCGCTTGCGCCACCAGGGAGGCCCTCCAGCAGGTTCTCTTGACTTGCTGGAAGCAAGCCCTTCTCGCATCACCTTGGTGCTTTACTCCTCCCTCCTCACTATCCTCCACTCCCACCCCCAGCTTGCTACTACAATGTCCCAAAACACTGCTGCCCCCCATCCCTGCCCCCACACCTGGGACAGAAGGAGGAAGTTTCACCCAATACAATGAATTCAACCTGTTTTATTTCTTACTGCCCCCCCCCCAAACCAAAGCCCTGACACAATGGTCTGAGCATAGATTTCTCTCCTTCCTAAAAATGTCCCTCTTCCTTCACTGACTGTGACCCAGCTAGAGGTTGAGAAGTCAAGACAGAGGGGTCCTGCACGCCTGTGGTGGGTCCATCTCCAGCAGGAATCTGGCAGGGATCAGAGGCTGCTGTGTATCCCGGTATTGAGATCTGACTTCTCTGGCTCCAGTCTCTTCATGTGGCAATGGGGCAGCAAGGATGTGGGGCAGAGATCCTGTTTGGGCATTCACTCCACTCACGCTTAACTCCTGAGTGCCAGGCCCACTCAGCAGACATGGGAAGAAGGCAGATGCAGGCTTTGCTTTGTGGGGACTGTTAACTAAAATTAAAAGTTGACCCAGGGCCTCCCTGGTGGTGCAAGGGGTTAAACACTGCACTATGAAGCAATCCTCAGCCTCTTCAGCATGAATTCGATCCTCAGGCGGCCAGGGAGCAACCCACACGGCGCGGCAGACCTCTCCTATCTCGCCCACTGCTCCCCTCAGCAGTGTACTTTAGTCCGTCTGCCTGTTCTGTTCCCCACTCTGTGTCCAGTGAATCCTCTCACCACCCACACCTCTGGCCTGTGCCCCAGCTCTTGTATGCATAGATAGATAAATCTTTAAAAAAGAAAAAAAAAGTTGACACAAACTGGGAGCCCCTCTTCCTAGTCCTGATAGGGATTAGGAAGGGGGATTGGGTAAGACGCTATACAATGTGTAGGAAGAAATCTGCACGCACACATTGTTTATGGCCTGTCTAGTCGGAGTTAATTTTCCAGCCCAAAGGAAAAATTTTTTTAAAAAATTAAAAAAAAATCCAGACTCCACGCCTGGAGGAGCGCGGGGAGCCAGCGCTATCTGAGGACCAGCCTCAGCACACCAGGGCGCCCTTAAGGCCAGGTGTCCAGGAAAGGGATAAGGGGCTCCAGAGGCTGGACATGACAGGCTCCTGGCAGCAGGGAAGGCCTGCTTGCTGCTGAACAAATGTCTTTGTTCAATTCACTATAAAAAGTCAGCTGGAAATGAAATGTTAAGGTGGTTTCTTTAGGGTGTTAGCCCCCTCCCCACCCCCACCATCTTCCAGATTGCCCGTTGTCTGATTAAAGCACATTTTATTTTTATTTATTTTTTTACTTTAACTTTTATCATTTTTAAATTTTTTAGACAATATTTGCTCCCCCCCATTGAGTCCCCCTAGAATTTCCTTCCCCAAGGCACCCGTGCACCATCACCACAGTCCCCTGTGCTCCTCCCTCCTCCCCTCACCCCTCTCCCTCCTCTTCTCCTGCAGGATGTCTCTGGTTTATAATTGTCTGTTTTTGTTAAAGCACATTTTAAAGATTCAATTCCTGTCTTTACTTTATTAGCATTTGGTGGTGACAGATGGCCCAAGCGCCAGTCTCCCAGTTACATAGTCCCAAACTTGTGGGCACTTGTCGAAAGTCAGGGCACTGCTGGTCTGGTCCTATGAAAAGGTTGTGCCTCAATAACTTCAGGGGAGAGGCCTCCCTGGTGGTGCAAGGGGTTAAGACGCAGCACTATGAAGGTGTCCTCAGCCACTGCAGCATGAGTTCGATCCCCAGCCAGGGAGCAACCCACATGGTGCAGCAGACCTCTCCTCTCTTGCCTGCTTCTCCCCTCAGCAGTGTATTTCAGCCAGTCTGCCTGTTCTGCTCCCCACTCTCTCTGGTGAATCCTCTCACCCCCTGCACCTCTTACATCCCAGCTTACATCCCAGCTCTTGTATGTATCAAAATAAATAAAATCTAAAAACAAAAACAAAAACATGTCCTGGATTTCTGCCAGTCCCAAAAAGACAACAGAGACTACTCAGCCCCAGTTTCACTTAGTGAAACCCTGAAGCCTAACTCCCCTACTTGTGCAACAGCTACCCATTCGGGACCCCTCTCTGTTCAGAGCTTTCCTTTCCTTCTTATCTGACAATAAATTTCTTGCTTTTCTGCCTAAGTCCTGGTCCAACACTGAATTCTTTCCTCGTGGAGACAAGGACCAGGAACAGCGTCTTGGATTTCAGCTCCTGGACTCCAGGCGTGATTCCAGAGGACTGCTCCAGTTTCTGTCTTCATTCAAGGTTTTCACACATTTGGTATATGTGTAGTGAGGTCACAGTAAACATTTTAGATAGAGGGTATGGTTTGTATCTTCTGTATGATGTTACCTATCTCTCCTATCTCTTTGGAAAAACATTCTGGAAACTCGGGGATTTAGAAAGATTGTAAATTGTAAAATCACCATTCCTCTGAAGTTATTTTTTTAAAGATTTATTTATTTATGCATACAAGAGCTGGGATGCAGGCCAGAGGTGTGAAGGGTGAGAGGATTCACCAGAGACAGAATGGGGAGCAGAACAGGCAGATTGACTGAAATACACTGCTGAGGGGAGCAGCAGGCAAGACAGGAGAGGTCTGCTGTGTCATGGGGGTTGCTCCCTTGCCCGCCAGGGGATCGATCTAGAGATTAAACTTGTACTGCAGAGACTGAGAATTGCCACCAGGGAGGCCCCCAACTTTCTTTCTCCTTCATTCTCAGAGCAAGCTGAAGGCTGTTCCCGGGGTTCGAGTCTTCACTTTGATTCTTTAATGAACTCGTCTCAGTTGAGCAGGCTCACCCAGTCTGATGGGGGACACAGCTGAGAATCAAACACAGGAAATGTGAAATTACAGAAGAGGAGAGAAATCTGATTAAACGCCCATGTGAGTTAGTGGAGAAGAAGGAGGGCTCTAGGGGAGAAAGTTATACCAGTGTGAAGGAGGAAATGACACCAAAAGTGTGCCAAGAGCCTTTCAGGGGAAGTACAGAAAAGGATTAAGAAGTGGGGAGATGGGTGGAGGGTGAAATAGAGAGGGAGGAGAAGGAAGGGTAAGTAGGCAGGGGATATGGAAATGAAGGAGAGCCAGAAGGGAATGAAGGGGTGAAGGGGAAGAGCAGAGGATTTTGGATTCTGAGCCAGAATGAAAGTGAGGGCCGCTTAGAAACTGCCCAGGATCTGATTCATGTTGTAAGAACGCCCCCTGGTGGCCCAGTGGAGAACCAGTAGGAGATGGGTGGGCCAGTACACCCTCTTGTCTGCCCGGTTCCCTCACAGCCTATCACGTAAAGCTCAGCAGCCTGGGTCAGGCTGACCTCAATCAGGGATAGACTTCTGTCTCCCAGCCATGGTTTCCCCGTGAACAGAAAGGGACAACATACCTTGAGATCCTCACCAAGCACCCCACCACCAACACCAGATGGAATGTGCTCATGGGATCCCCTCAAAGCCCTGAGGATCAGGAACTACTGCACCCCCATTTCACAGAGGAGGAAACTCATAGGACATCATGTGAGTCACAGAAGCAGAACTCGAACCCAGGACCCCTAGTCCTGTTCAGGGTTCTAGAAGCCTGGGCTGGCCCTTGGCAGCGTTCCCGCCCCTCCTAACGGTTTGGGAAGCCACGACCGCGTGGGGCGGGACCGTGGGTGTCCCTGGCGTCCCAAGGTGCCAATTAAATACTTGTGGCTGTCTGGGGCCAGAGCTGTGAACAGTGGCATGGCCGAGCAGGGGCTGGAGGAACCTGGGCGCGCATGGCGGCTCCTGGCCCTATGCGGGGCCGCCGTGTTCCTGGCAGCCGCAGCAGCTGGTGGAGCCCTACTGGCCTGGAATCTGGCTGCTTCGGTCTCCCGGGGGCCTCGGTGTCTGGAACCCAGGGTCAATGCCACCATGCCTCCCTGGGACCCAGCACCCGAGATTGAGGAACTGCAGCGCCGGTTGGCAGAGGCTATCCAACGAGAGGAGGCCCTGGCCAGGCAGCTGGACCAGGCCCAGGGTGTCCGTCAGGAGCTGGAAGTGACTTTGAGGGCCTGTGAGGGCCGCCAGGTAGGTGGGGGGAGAGGTGGGGGGGCGGGTGAATCCAGAATGTTGAGGAGAGAGGGCCAGTACACACATCCCCAGCATCCACCCCCCCCACACCTTTCTCCAATTCTTCCACTGAGAGAGGTGAGAATAGCACGACAATTCCTCCCAATCCTGTGTTGCCAGCTCACTCCTGAGTCTGTCTTCTGACCAAGAAGTCTCCACTGTCCTCTGCTATTTGTCACATAAATGGTGGTGGCTAGGGAAGCCCCAGACCCCTTAATCCTCCTGGGGAGGCCCTGTGCTAACTGTACCCACCCACTCAACCCCCCAGCCAGTGTTCAGAGTCCTATTTCTAGAGAGGGACATTTATATCCCCTGTAATTAGGCAGCTAAAGTTGGCCTCTTGGGGGAGGTACCTGCCAGGGCCTCCCTTTTCCTCTGGCCACCCCCCTCAAACCCTTTCTTAACTCTTCCCAGTTTTGGGCCTTGCAGAAGAACCAACCTCAAAGTCCCAACCATTCACATTTATTGAGTGACTGCTGTATACTGGGCCCAGCAGAATTAGGCAGCATGTGACTTTTAGAAATCAGAACAGCCCCCTACCCTCTTTCCTGTTTGCCTAGGCCTAGGAAGGCCTGGAATGGCCTGGGGAAGGCCTGAAGCAGTGAAGGTTAAGAGCAGCCTGCCCAGAGTTCAAATTCTGACTCTGTCCCTTGCTGCCCCCAAGGAAGCCAGGCCAGTTGCTGTCTCAGATGATGACAAAGCATACTCCAGAAGCCCAGTCATGGTTCATCACTAAATTGGCTTGTGCTGGTTTGACATGCCAGTGAGCAAGTCTAACTGTAGGTGGAATTGAGGGCAGTGTGACGGGGAGCTAAATGTCGGCGCCCCAGTGCTATGGAGTGGTGGCTGGTCGACCTGGGCAGGGATCGCCTTACAGGCAGGTAGCTGTCACTGTTGGGTACCCCAGACTTCAGCGGCCACTTCTGTGTTTTACAACTACAGGACCCCAAAAGACATTCCAATAAAAGCTCAAGTAACACCAGTGTCTTTTCAGTATCCCCTGGAAAGGGCAAGGCCAATTCATTCTCCCTTCCCTCTCCCCTACCTTCTGGGCCACTCCACAGAGCCTGCTTGAGACCCAACTTGTGACGCTGAAGACTGAGATGGACGAGGCCAAGGAGCAGGGGACCCAAATGGGGGCTGTGAACGGTGCGCTGACAGGTGTGTTGGGGCGCAAGGGGTGGGCGTGGCTAGAAGTGGTGGGAGGAGTTTAGAAGATTCTGTGCTACCCAAGACGCACAGTTGTTGCAAAGGACAAGCAAACAAACGCGAAATACACGCATCATGCAAAGGTCATGCAGTCACAAGAAACGATATCAAAGCAGCGAAATATGCAAACGACTCGCAAAAGCAGTGCAATTTTTTTTTTTTTAAGATTTAGTTATTTTTACAAGAACTGGGGTACAGGCCAGAGATGCGGGGGGTGAGAGGACTCACCAGAGACAGAGTGGGGAACAGAACAGGCAGACTGAAATACGCTGCTGAGGGGAGCAGCGCGCGAGTCAGGAGAGGCCTGCCGCGCCATGTGGGTTGCTCCCTAGTGGGCCGGGGATCGAACTGGTGCTGCAGAGGTTGCGGATTGCTTCATAGTGCGGTGCTTAACCCCTTGCGCCACCAGGGAGGCCCAGCAGTGCAAATTTTTGAAAAGCGATGCACACGACAAGCAAAGGTCATGCAAACAGCACACAACTTTAATGCAAATAAAGCAAAGCGCACAAATATTGCTAGTATGCACACCGTAAGCTCGGGCGCGGTGTGTCCAACCTGACCCTACTCCCTGCGCCCGCAGAAGCCCTGGCGCGCTGGGAGGCGGCTGCCACGGAGTCTGCGCGGCGGCTGGACGAGGCGCAGGGGCGAGCCAGCGCGGCCGAGGCCGAGAGCGGGGCCTGCGCAGCCCGGGAAGCCGCGCTGCGCGCGCGAGTGTGAGTGCAGGTTGGCCGAGGGGGAGGGGGAGGGCGCGACCAATGGCTGCCCAGATTAAATTCTTTCCGCCGATTTCCACGTGGGGCGTGGTGGGGCTGGGGTTACGGGGGGAGGGTCCCCGGGAGGGGCGAGGGCGTGGGCAATGGGCGGGCCCTCGGAGATGGAACGGAGGGGAGGGTCGAAGTGAGAATCCCGGCATCGCAAGCAGAGACGGCGCGGGGATGGGGCTCTCCGGAGGCGGGAATTCGTAGGCACTTGGGAGGGAGGCTTGGGGTCGAGCGCCTGGAGGAGCCCCGGGGAGGGCGGGGCGGGGCGGGGCAGAAGAGAAGGGTGTTCAGAAAAGGGAGTATCAAGGGAGGAGCCGGGGGTCTAGAGGCGGGGCGGCTGATGACGGTGCTGGACTCCCCGGGGACGGTCCCGGGAATGACAAGGATGGAATGGGGGATCCTAGGGTCTGGGGTTCCCGGGAAAGGTGGAAGAATGTTATCGGGGATGTTTCTGGAGACGGGGGTCCAGATGCTCACAGGCCCCTCCTGGTTCCCTGCAGTAACGCCCTGAAGGCAGAGATGGACTCCCTGCGCAGAGGGCAGCGCCCCCGGACACGCTCGGGGTCCCGGCCCCGGCCCAGCCCCCGCTCGCGCTCTCGCCCGGGAACCTCCGGGGCCTGCCGGCGGCCGGCACAAAGCACACGAGGGTGAATCAGTCCCCGTCAGGATGGGGCTCCAGGTCAGGAGGACCGACTCTGTGGGGGCAAGTGTAGAGATGCCCAGTTGACACCCACCAACGCTCAGCTGTAGACCAGGAACAGCCCTGAACGGAAACTGCAGGAAGGAGACTCGACCCCCTCTCTCTCCCCGGGCCACACAATGAGGTAATGCTGAGCTGGGGGTTTAGTCCCTCTACGACAGTGTTGCCCTCACCCCACTGACACAAGGACTTAGGGTCCCGACTGACTCAGGATTGAACTGGAGGGAGACCCTTCTCTCACTGCCTCAGCTTAACTTGTCTGTAAAATGAACGATTTGAATTATGTTTAGAAAGTTGGTCTATCCAAAAACTGACAAGGAGGCACAATAGGAAAACTACACACCCCTCTCACTGGGAAGAGTGTAAAAAACTCCAAAATGGATTTTTAGCAAAGAGAACCAAGTAACACATTTTTAAAAACACCACAACAAAAGGGACATTCCTGAGATGTAAGGATGGTTTAACATTTGGAGGCCTGTAAATAAAATTAACCATACTAATGGATCTAATGAGAAAAGTTATAAAAAGATCATCAAAATCAGGACCAAGATAAGGATGACCATTATTAAGAAAAAGTAATAGGGTACAAATATTAGAAAAAAGGAAGAAGTAGAAGTTGAATCATATGAAAGTACTGCTTACATAAGTCAAAAATAACAGAAATATCAACAGTTTCATGACCAAGTCCATATTGTTTTTGTCTCTTAACTTTATATTTAACCTAACTTCAGGCTCACAGAAAAATTGGAAGATTAGTACAAAGAATTCCTGGATATCCTTCACCTAGATTCCACGAATGTTAATTTTTACCACGTTGTGCTCTTGCTCTCTCTCTCTCTCTGAAAAACTTGCAGAAATTATGTCCTTTTACCTACAAATACTTGAGTATGCATTTCCTAAAAATAGGACATTTTCTCACATAATCACAGTATAAGTACAGACAGCTGGAAATCGACACATCAAATTTTACCATCGCACTAATCTACAGACCTTAATCACATTTTGTCAAGCATTCTAATAATGTCCTTTAATACAGAAGAATGCCCTGACTCACACACTGTGTTTATCAAATTCTCTCACCTCCTTTATTCTAGGCCATTCCTTAGTCTGACTTTGCCTTTCATGACACTGGCATTTTTTAAAAGTCAGGTCAGCCATTCTGTGGATTCTGAGACTGGCTTTGGGTGATAATTCCTTATGATGAATTTCAGGTTGATATTTTTGGCAGGAGTTTCTCAGAAGCAATTCAACCCAATTATATTATCTGCTGGTGAATTTTATACATAGAAAACCCAAGAGAATGAACTGAAACTTTCCTATATGTGACCCACTAGCTAGAAAACCCTTTGGAAGAAAACCCTTTGGAAGAAAATAAAGACCCATTTCGACTGTTTTTTTATGCAGGGAATAAACATTCCTTATAATGTGAGGCATTCTTATAAATTAATTTTTCAAACAAAAGTAGAAAAATGGGCAAAGAACATGGACAGTCAGTTAAATGAAACATTAAAAAAAAAAGTGTCCAACCTCACTCCTGCAATTGAAATGCAAATTGAAACAATGTGGTTCCACTTTCTATCCACTAGCTTGGCAAAGAAACAAACTACAGCAAATTAAAAGTTTACAAATACACAGTGTTGGCCTTGCTGTAGGGAAACTAGCAATTCTCACCCAATGCTGGTTAAGACCGCTTGTTGGTACAATCACTTGGCAGAGCAATGTTCTAGAATCTCTCAAAATAAAAAGTACACATAACCTTTGACCCATCAATTCCCTCTCTGGGAATATTTCTAGAACCATATTTACACATGTATACAAAATGATGGGTTAAATGCAATGCAGTTTTGTGGGTTGGATGCTGGAACAGAAAAACACTTAATGGAGAAATCAAAATCTAAAATATACTAGGTTTAATGTACTCAGTTAATTTGTTAGTTTTGACTAATATATTATGGTATCTAAGATGTTAACATTGGATGAAACCGGTTGAGGGTAATTCAGGAATTCTGCATATCTGCAACTTTTCTGTAAATCTGAAATTATTCCCCCTAAAAGTTACTTTTTAAAAGAAGACAAAGGGTGAGGGTGGGGGAGAGAATGACACATTCTTGGTATTATCAAAAATTGGGAACAACTTCAATGCCCACCTTTTGGGGATTTTAAAATGGGTATCCGTCCATCCACACAGCAGAATACTATACAACTGTTGAAGCATATCATATCAATATGTATTTGTGTAAAAAGCAAGCGTGATAATTTGTGTACATTTTCTAAAATGTGGGACTGAGGCGGGGGGTCTTTTATCCAAATCTCTCTGAGGTAACACTGGTCACAGTTATGCCCTCTGGAATGGGAATCAGGACACTGCGCTTGCTGGGGGGAGACAGTCTCATGTTTCTCGGTTTGCATTTTTGTAAAGCTTGCATTTTAAGAATTGCACATGTATTACTTTTTAAACAATTAAAGTTTGTTTGAAAAACTCCCAAGATGCTGGTATGGGGCGGGGGAGGCGGGGAGAGGTAGTGGGAGCCCTTGGAATTCTGACACTCCCCCCGCAGCCTGTCTTGTGAAATTATCTTCTCCACCTTGGAAACGCCTGATCCGCGCCTTCACCTGGGAGGAGGGCACCCGGGAGGAAGAACTGGAGCCTCGCACATACACACTCCAGGAGGAAGTGAGGCTGGGAACTAGTGTCTAGTCGCTATGTTCCACTACCGCCACCAGGGGTCGCCCCAGTATCGGACCTGATTACTGCCTGCTGAGGGACCGAGATAGTGAGGGTAGTAGATCTGAGACCCCCAAAGCGGGCATAAATCCAGAAGCGAACATGAAACACCTTCCCTCTTGGAGTCAGCTGGGGATGGAGAATCAGAGACTGTCCTCGCCTTGTCTAGAACCCCAGGAACGTAAGACCACCCCCTACACTGTGGAGCTGTGGAGTCAAGGGCTGATCCATCTTCAGGGCTGGGCTCAGGGTTGTAAATGGGACTAAAATATTATCATTATTATTAATTTATTCTGCTTGCTCCATCCTGACCTCATCAAATCCCTTCAAGTCAACTCCCTTGGGGAAGCCATAGCAAGTGTGTGAGCAGGAAGGGCACCATCAGAGACAGTTGGGAAGATAGGAAAAGCAGATCCGGTGTCAGAGACAGCTGAGGAGAGAGGGAAGGCAGAGGCTGAGGGCTCTGAATCCTGGAGGAGACCACAGGACAGGAAGTAGATAAGGATTGGGGATGACAAGGACGATAGTCCCCTGGCTGAGACAAAGGAGAACAAACAGGCCTCCCAGTGGCGCAAGGGGTTAAGTCTCAGCACTATGAAGCTATCCGCAGCCACTGCAGCACAAGTTTGATCCCTGGCCAGGGAGCTACCCACATGGCACAGCAGACCTCTCCTATCTCGCCCGCTGCTCCCCTCAGCAGTGTATTTCAGTGAATCTATCTGCTCTGATTCCCCACTCTGTCTCTGGTGAATTCTCTCACCCCCTCCCCACCCCACACCCATGGCCTGCACCCTAACTCTAGTATGCATGAATAAATAAAATAAATCTTTTTTAAAATCTTTTTTAAAAAACTGGAACAAACAGCAATGCTAAGAGAGATCCCCCCCTGCCTTCCAAGCCCCTGACTTGCCCTTGCTCTGTCTGTCTCCCTTTCTCCACTTTGTCTAAATACCACGCAAAATCTGTCTGTCTCTCATCAGGGGGGAAAAATAATAGCAATACAAAACACGACACAACAAAACAAAAACAAACAGACAATTATAAACCAGAGACATCCTGCAGGGGAGGAGAGAGAGGGGTCAGAGGGAGGGAGGGAGGAGCACAAGGGACTGCGGTGATGGTGCATAGGTGAATTGGTGGAGGAAATTCTATGGGGACTACACCTGGGGGGGGGCGGGGAGCAAACATTGTTTAAAAATGAACGATGTAAAATATAAATTAATTAATTTATTATTATTATTTTTTAAAGATTTATTTATTTATGCATATAAGAACTGGGGTACAGGCCAGATGTGCGGAGGGTGAGAGGATTCACCAGAGACAGAGTGGGGAGCAGAACAGGCAGACAGACTGAAATACACTGCTGAGGGGAGCAGCGAGCGAGACAGAAGAGGTCTGCTTCACCATGTGGGTTGCTCCCTGGCCTGCTGGGGGGTTGAACTCGTGCTGCAGAGGTGCAGATTGCTTCACAGTGTGGTGCTTAGCCCCTTGCACTACCAGGGAGCTCCAAATTAATTAATAAAAAAAAGTCTTTCTGTCTCTGAATCTCTTTATCTCTGTGTCTCCACCCCTGTACCTACCACATGTTCCTAGATACCGGCCCTGGCCTGGACACAGCTGTGGCTGGAGGGCACTTGGGACAGACAGCTCCTCAGTCCCATGTAAGAAAGTAGATCACCCCTTTTCACCTGGGAACACAGAGGCCCAACCAATGAGGACAGGCTGTTCTTCTTCAAAGGGGTCACTGCCTTCTCTGTCACCTGCAAGCAAAAAATGTAATTTCACCTGAATATAACCAAAACCAACTCATTGGCATAAAAGCAAAGCATTTTCTGAACTTCACTGATTTTTTTCTTGACTACAAATACCACTTCCTCAAGACCTTCCTGGAGTTCTGTGAGAATTTTTGAAAATCTTGCATCTTGCAAGAAACTTCAGTGTCAGTTTTCAGGGTGTGACACAGAGTTGACTTCCTCATGACAGTTCACCCTTTTGCGTCCAAACAAATAAAACAAAATTGTTTTGGGTTTTTTAGCCCATAATTATTTTTAATTTAGAAAAAAAAAAAACGGAGTGTAAAGCGAAAGCCTCATTTTGTGATGACCCTGGAGGGAATTCAGAGATTCATGCCCAAAACTTCCTGTGAATGTGACAAATTGTTTTCAGGAAAAAAACACTCACATTGGGGCCATTGCTCATCCAAGGGCCGGTTGCCCACCTCCTTCCACTGGAATTTTCTGTCCAGGGACACATGCAGCTTATATTCAGAAAGTGTTGTTAGACATTGCTGGCAGGGGTGTCAAGGAAAAGAACTTCTTTGAAGTACAAGTTAGTTACAGCTGTCAAAATGTCAAATGTAACTGCTTTGGAATCCAGATTTCACTTGTGAGGGTTTGATATTAACTCTTATTTTATTCATTAAAACAAAAAATTATAGTCTAAATGTCCACTGATAGTCATTATGGTAATGTATGTGATGAAAACCTTAACAGTAGGCACAAGCAATCAACAGATCTGGAAGACATAATATTGAGCAAAAAGAAGTTTCATCATAATCTTTCCATTTAAAAAGATCTATTTTTTATCTTTTCTTAAAGATTTATTTATTTTTAAGATTGATTTATTTATTTATACAAGCACTGGGTACAGTCAGAAGCGCGGGAGGGTGAGAGAATTCACCAGAGCCAGAGCGGGGAGCAGAGCAGGCAGAAGGACCGAAGTACACTGCTGAGGGGAGCAGCGGGCGGCAGGAGAGGTCTGCGCGCCATGTGGGACCCTCCTCTGGTGGCCGGGGAGCAGCCAGGGATCAAGCCGGCACTGCAGAGGCTGCTAGCATCTTGCCAACCCAGCGTTCAACCGCTGCGCCACAGGGGAGGCCCAAGTTTTATTTATTTATATAAGCACTGGGGTACAGGCCAGAGGCGCAGGAGGGTGAGAGAATTCGCCAGAGACAGAGCAGGGAGCAGAACAGGCAGAATGACCGAAACATACTGCTGAGGGGAGCAGCAGGCAAGACAGGAGAGGTCTGCCCTGCCATGTGGGAATCTCCCTGGCCAGCCGGGAATTGAACCCATGCTGCAGAGACTGCGACAGCTTCACAGTGCTGCACTCAACCTCTTGTGCCACCCGGGAGGCCCGATCTAATATTTTAAAGGTTTATTTTATTTATGCATAAAAGAGCTGGGGTACAGGCCAGAGGTGCGGGGGCGGGGTGGGTGAGAGGATTCACCATAGACAGAGGGGGAGCAGAACCTGTGGATCTACTGAAATACACTGCTGAGGGGAGCAGCAGGCAAGACAGGAGAGGTCTGCCACGCCATGTGGATAGCTCCCTGACCGGGGAATCCAACTCTTGCTGCAGTGGCTGCTGAAAGCATCATAGTGCTGAGACTCAACCCCTTGTACCACCAGGGAGGCCCCCTGAAAATATCTAATTATTAAAACAAGTTAGTTGAGGGCCTCCCCAGTGGCGCAGCGGTTGAGCGCTGGGTTGCGAAGCTGCCTGCGGCCTCTGCGGCGCCGGTTCGATCCCCGGCTGCTCCCCGGCAACTGGAGGAGGGTCTCACATGGCGTGCAGACCTCTCCTGCCGCCCGCTGCTCCCCTCTGCAGTGTACTTCGGTCCTTCTGCCTGCTCTGCTCCCTGCTCTGGCTCTGGTGAATTCTCTCACCCTCCCGTGCTTCTGACTGTTACCCAGTGCTTATATAAATAAATAAATAAATCTTTAAAAAATAAATAAATAAATAAACTTATTAAAAAAAAAATTAAAAAAAATAAAACAAGTTAGTTGAAAAAGAAACATTTACAAATCAAAGATGTGAGATCAGGGCCTCCCTGGTGGCCTAGGGATTGAGTCTCAGTGCTATCCGCAGCTAGGGATCTAACCCACAGGGCACACACAGCACAACAGACCTCTTTTGTCTCACCCATTGTTCCCCTCAGCAGTGTATTTCGGTAGATCTGCCTGTTCTGCTCCCTGCCCTGTCTCTGATGGGTCCTCTCACCCCTCACATCTCTGGCCTGCACCCCAGGTCTTCTATGCAAAATTAAATTTAAAAAAAAATGTGAGATTATATTGCCAAAAAGAAGCAACAGTATTTTGCAATTTGATACAATGACATTAGTGTGTATATTTGAAATTCTAGTTCTTACACTGGAACAGTTGCTCAAAATTGTAGCACATCTGCACCATTAGGTGAAGGGTGGCTTTTTACTTTTCTGGGAATTTATGGTTGTTTTCTTTTTCCTTGATGATAGTGTTGATGTATACATATATGCAACATCATTAGTATATCATTACAAATAGCCTGGATCTTAAATACACACCACCAATGTCACACTCCTTATTGGTCCAAATATTTTCCCCATTCCTGAGCATGGACTCTTGTCACCCAGGTTCTACCCCGTCACGCTCCCTCCCCACAGTGCTCCCACAGACCTGGGTTATCATAACAGTGCCGCAGTTCCTCAGCCTAGCATCAAAAACTACACATGATCCAGCCCCTCTCACCTTAAAAAATGCCACTATTTATTAAGGCTGAGTGTATGTCAAGCATGCTGACAAAGAGAAGTCGCTTATCCCAGGTCACACAGTCAGGTCTCAACTCCAGAGACCTAAATTGAAACTACATATACACTCTACCTTTGTGACCCCCAATAACGGAGGTGGAAGATGGACAATGTCCCTCTCCTACTCCCCGTTGTTGGGGGTGGGGGGCCTCTGGGTAGGCCTGGTTAACCTAGAGAAATAACTGGTTGGGCATCACTTGCAGACCCCAACTGTCCTCCCTTCACCAGCCTGGGAAGGGTCCGGAATCAGGAATTACCGGTGGTTGCAAAGGCCAAAAGTCAGACAGGGGTTTCCTGCCCACCCCTGGGAACTTCCTCCTTCCCAACCCAACTTCTGCCTCCTAGATGCATCCTACTCTAGAGGACCCCTGCAGGCGCGCGCCTGTGTGCCACCCAACCTGCGCATCTGCTTTCCACCTCATGGAAAGCCCAGGTAATGCTGCCAGCCGAAACCAATAGTAATAACTACAGCAAATCCTTTCTCACCACCCTGTGACCCAGGCATCCTCCCACAGAGGGGGAAACCAAGGCACAAACAAAAGAAGCCCCTCCCCTGGGCTCACTCAGGCCCGGCTTCTTTCCACAGCCCGGCACCCAGGTTCGCTGCACGCACTGCTGCCCGAGCACTTAAGTGCCCACAGGAATGGGCTATTGGGCAGAACCTGATCTCCACTGCCCAGGGATCTGCCCGCTCGGTGTGTGCCAATTACGAAGCACCTACTACATGCCTGTGCCTGGGCTGCGCGCTCAGCATGATTTAGCGCAATTAAGCGGCTCTGCCTGGAGGTGGAATCGCCAGGCCCTCAAGGAGCTAAGGTCAGCCCTGTGGACATGAACACCGGAGGCAGTCCCTTTTTACCCCTGTGACTCAGTTTCCTCCCTGCCCCCCCCCGCCCCCTCCCCCCAAAGATCAGGCTGATGAAAGGAGAGAATAGGCAGCAATGCAGCAAGTGCCCCTCCCAGTGTTAATCAGCCTCGCTGCCTGGGCCCCCACCCTTCACGGGATTGTTGTGATAACCCGCAGCCCCCTGCTTCCTCCTGGCCAGGAAGGAGCCAGGCAGAGGAAGTATTAAGAGGAGTAATATAAACACTCCCCACCTCGGCAGGGTCCAGAAGGGGCAGCCGCTGCCGCGCAGAACAGGCCAAGCCACTGAGCAGAGCGGTGCACAGGGCGGGCAGCCCCACGCAGCGATGGGCCTGGCCGTGGAACACGGAGGGCCCTACACGCGGGCAGGGAGCAGCTCCCGGGGCTGCTGGTACTACCTGCGCTACTTTTTCCTTTTCGTCTCACTCATCCAGTTCCTCATCATCGTGGGCCTCGTTCTCTTCATGGTCTACGGCAACCCGCACGAGAACACCGAGTCCAACCTGCAGGCCACCGAGCAACGCGCGCAGACCCTGTACACCCAGGTGGTGGGGCTCACAGCCACCCGGGCCAACCTTTCCAAGGTGCTCAACCTCACCGCCAAATCTAAGGAGTCCATCCAGCAGCAGCTGCTGAGCACCCGCCGAGACCTGGACGCAATCAACGCCAGCTTCCGCCAGTGTAACAATGAGCGGGTAAGGTTGCAGGTAAATCTATGGGTGGGACTTGGGCACCCTGACCCCTAGGGCAAGTCACATCATCCCTCTAAACTTTGCCCATGAGATGGGGACAGGCACAGGCTCTACTTTCATCTGAGGCGCCTGTGTAGATAAACAATACAGATTTTGTTAGTGTGAGTATATCCCATGCAAAATTTGGTATATACTTATACTAAATCTTTTTTTGTTCATTCTCTCTCTGGAATTCAGGTATAACTGGGCATCCTGTCCATAACTGGGCCCCTGATTTAATGTGCCAAAGCACTTTGCATGTGCAATGCACAGTAGCTACAAATAAGTTGGCTAAAGAAAAACTCAAAGCATTTGCTTCTTACTCAGTAAAATGGGTAATGAACAGCTCATATTTGCTTCATGCTGGGTAGCTACTACTTTACAAAAACCATGTCACTGGACCCCAGGATACAGAGAAAAGCTTAGGGAACAATGGAGGCCTGAGACAAGTTCGCTTTCCTGCCGGGCTGGAATAGGGGACCCTAGGGGTTTCCTGGAGTCTGTTGCCCCCTCTAACTTCTCACTCATGCCAAGCTCATTGGACTCAATAATCACCCATGATATTCATATTCTCTCTCTCTCTCATACAAGAACACACACACACACACCCCCTCTGGGGAAGTTCTGCAGCCCCAAGACACCAAGTAGAGGCTGCACCTGGCTGAGAGATTGGGGGGTGGGGAGTGCCTCAGTTTCTCCTGGCTCATTGAGGTGGGGGCTTTGGAAGGAAGCGGCTCTGCTGGGGCCCTGGAACACCCAGCGCTCCCCAGCCAGCAGGAAGGATGTATACTCCTCTCAGACTTGCCTAAGGAAAGGTGATTCTCTCCCTCTCAAACCCCTGAGGGAAGGTGGGTTCCCTTGGACCTCCAAAATGGATGAGTCGCTTCCCCTCAATTCCTCAATGAAGGATAGGTCCTCCTCAGACTCCCAAAGTGGGGTGAGTTCCTTCTCAAATCCCAATGAAGGATGGATCACTCTGGGGCCCCCCAGAATGTAGTACATTCCCTCAAACTCCAAGAATGGGGTAAATTCCCCCATCAAGCCTTCAAGGATGGACAGATCACCCTCAGATTCCTAAAATGGGATGACCCCCCCAAGACCCCAGGATGGACTATGTACCCCTTAGACAACTCCAAAACAGAACTTACCCTCTCAGCCCCTCAGTGGACTATATCCTCCCCTCAAACTCCAGAACAGTGTTGTGTTCCTCTACAGATGCCCCTCAGGCCCGGCAGGCCCTCTCAGATTTCTCATTCCCAGGAATCAGCCCATTCTGCTCTTCTAGAATGTGTGTGCCCGTTGGATCCAGGAGCCCTTAGGAATTCCAGGATCACAAAGTTTTAGATGCTCACAGTCTTCCCAGCACCCTGGACTCCTCCATCACAGAATATCTGAAATCTAAGAATCTGGAACATTATAACTTCAAATTTTGAAAAATTATACTTTTTCTTTTCAGGGTTTTCTCTAGGGGTTCTGGGGTTCCTTGGGTTCCAGGCTGTACTCCCTCCATCCTGGGAAGGGGCACCGATGCTGGAAAGCAGCCCCCACCCCAATCTGGCAAGCTCCATGTCTGATGGTAGTGGGTTTGAATCTTAAGTCTTTCTCCCATCAAGGCTAAGAAACATTTCTTTTCTTAAATTCTCTGCAAATACAAAACTGCACTTCTGGCCCTGGACCTGGAAGTGAAAGGAGAGTTTAATGCAGTGATTTTTTTTTTTTTTGACTCTGCCCCACCCGGCCTGTGTCAAGGCACAGGGACCTGGGCCCGAGGTGTGACCGAGCATCCTGGGGTTCCCATTTCATCACCTTCCCCAGCTGGAAGAAAACCTCCTTCTCACTTCATGTTTCAAATCAATTCTCCTTGCTTACACCTGCAGATCTTCCCTTTCTGTGACTAAGGCTTGAGAAAATGGAAGTCACTAGAACTTTCAGAGCTATTTCTGTCATTCCCTTCCCCCAGGACATTATTGGAGGGTCAACTCCAAAGAAGTAGGATGAGGATAGCAGAAAGACAAATCCTTCGTGCTCTTCTTTGGTTGTTATATCTTGGTAGGGGGTTCTGTTCCAAAGTTTAGAAGGTACAGGCTTTGCTACACACTTTCTTATAAAATAGCTTTATTTACATAATTTTACTGTATTCACAATGTTGCGCAACCAGCCCTCCATCTAGTTCCAGAACATACCATGACCCCAAAAGGAAACCACATCCCCATGAGCGGTCACGCACCCCTCCCGTGGTCCCTGACTCCTGCTCATCTGCCTTCTGTCTGTAGATCTGTCTGATCTGGACTTTTCTATCAATGGATCAGATACCATGTGACCTTTTGCCTCTGATCTGGCCCTCAGCATCTCGTTTTTAGGCTCATCCACGTTGTAGCATGTGCCAGGGCTTCACACCTTTCTATGGCTGAGTAATGAGAGAATGGATGGAGTTAATCCATCATTTCTTGGTGAATGGTTTAGTTGTTTCCACCTTTTGGTGAGTGTGAGTAGTGCTGCCATGAGCATTTGTGAGCAATTTTTTGTATGGACACATGTGTCCCTTCCTCTTGGGTATGCAATGTTTAGCATTGTGAGGAATGGCCAGCTGTTTTCTACAACTGTTTCCTTTCTGCATGCCCACCTGTGCTGTCAGAGAATTCCCATTTCTACACTTTCTCACTAGCACTTGTTCCTGCCCTTTATTGGTTTTATTATTTTTAAGATTTATTTATGCATACAAGAACTGGGGTACAGGCCAGAGGTGTGGGGGTTGAGAGGATTCACCAGAGACAGAGCGAGGAACAGAACAGGCAGAGAGAGACTGAAATACACTGCTGAGGGGAGCAGTGTATTTTCAGTCCACAATGACTAACAATGGTGAAGATCTTTTCACACACTTTTCACACATCTATTTTTCCTTTTGCCAAATCCAAGATCATGCAGAGTGAACACCTACGTTTTCCTCTAAGAAGTTTCATAGCTTTTGTTCTTTAGGATTTTGGTTCATTTTTAGTAATTTTTATATATAATGCAAGGTAGGAGCCCAGCATCATTCCTTGGCCTGTGGCATTTCAGTTATTCCAGAACCTTTATTGAATAGTTTTCTTTTCCTTTTTTTTTCAAAGATTTATTTATTTATGCATACAAGAGCTGAGGTACAGGGCAGAGATGTGGGGGTGGGGAGTGAGAGGATTCACCAGAGACAGAGTGGGGAACAGAACAGGCAGATTGACTGAAATACACTGCTGAGGGGAGCAGCGGGCAAGACAGGAGAGGTCTGCTGCACCATGTGGGTAGCTCCCTGGCCGGGGATCAAACTCAAGCTGCAGTGGCTGCAGACAGCATCATTGGTTGTGTCTTAACCCCTTGCACCACCGGTATTTATTGAATACTTTTCTTTCCCCATGGCACGACCATGGCACCTGTATTAGTTTTCTAGGGTTACCTTAACAAAGTACCACACACTGGATGGATGTTCAAACAATAAAAATTTATTTTTGCACATGCACAAGATCAAGGTGTCAGGAGGGCTGGTTCCTGTGAAGGAAGAAGGTGTTCCAGCTTCTCTCCTTGGCTTCTAGACCACTGTCTTCTTCCTTGAATCCATGTTCAAATTTCCCCTTAATAATGAAAAACTAAAAATAAGTGTCCTCCAATAAGTACACCAATCCTATTGGATCAGGATCTACCCTAATGATCTCATCTTAACTTAATCATTTCTGTAAAGACCCTGTCTCCAAATATGTCTCCAAGTACATTCTCTGGTGCTGGGGGTAAGGACATACAGATTTGGGGGGGTGGGCTGGGGGTATATCATTCAGCCCATGACAGCATCCTTGTCAAAAATCAGTTGACTGTGACTGTGAGCTAACGTTTCAAGGTTTCCCCAAGTTCCAGCATGTGTCAGTGCGCAGTTCCTTTTTTATGCCAAACAGTATTCAGTTGCAACTTTTGAAGGTCAGACCAACATCCCCCCCTAAGGAGCCACGCCCTCTTGAACCAGGCCAACACAGGTTACCTGGGTGCGAGATCTGGGGCCCCAGCCCTGAAGCCCCGGGCCGCCCTGGGGACTCGGGTGAGGGGCCGCCCACTGAGCTCTCTCCGGTGTCCCACCTGGGCAGATGATACACAACAGCAAACTGCCGTTCATAGCTGCCATCATCTCAAGCGAGGAGCAATGCCTCAAGCAATGCAAGGAAAATAACAAGACGCATGTTGGTGAGTGGGCTTCACAACAGAGAGTGGGCTGGCAGATTTCCCTGTCCCGTGTCTTGGCAGCCCCCAAACTTTGTGGTTGTATCCCTAGCCGTGGTCCTGTCACTGAACCAGAAGATCAAGGATGTAGAGGTGGACATGGCAAAGGAGAAGGTGACATGTGCCAAGGATAAGGAGACCCTCGCACTGGGCAAGCGACTGGCAGAGGAGCAGACTACTCAGTGTGCCAAGAACCGGGAACAGGTGCAGCAAGAACTACGGCTGGCAGAGGGAGAGCGGCAGAAGGTGTTCAGCTTGTGCCTCCGGTTTGACAAGGGCAAGTTTGAGGAGGCGCTGCTTAAAGTCTGGCAGGACTCCATCATCTCACGCAACCTCGATGCCATGAGCTACAGCCTTTACTCCTCAGAACTGAGTTCCACCCGGAGGATCTGCGAGCTCCTGCCCACCCTCATGAGTGCCAAGGTGGAGGAGCTGGCACGGAGCCTGCGGGCTGACATCGAACATGTGACACGTGAGAACTCAGACCTCCAGCGCCAGAAGCTGGAGACTGAGCAGCGTCTGCAGGCCAGCGAGGAGGCCAAGCAGAAGATGGAGAAGGAGGCCCAGGCCCGGGAGACCAAGCTCCATGCAGAATGTGCTAGGCAGACCCAGCTCGCGCTGGAGGAAAAGGCGACACTGAGGAAGGAGCGAGACAACCTGGCCAAGGAACTGGAGGAGAAGAAGAAGGAAGCCGAGCAGCTCAAGACACAGCTGGCGTCCAAGGACTTGGCCCTGGACACCTGCTTAAGGGCCAAGGTGGGTGTGTGGGCCCAGATTCAGGTAGCCTTGGGGTTGGGTCTGGAAGTCAAATTTGTGGGGCTGTTGAATTTGGGTTTGAACCTGGGTTTGAGATCATCTTACTGGTCTAGATGAAGTTAGTTGGGACTCCCTTAAGAGTCTCAGTGATGTGAGGATTGGGGCAGAGCCTGGAATGGGGATCAACACTGGGAAAGCTTTTAGGGTTCAGTTTAAGGTAGGGTGACTCTGTGGTTCAGGGTTGAGTGAAGGGCAGGTCTAGAATTTTGACTGCTTTGGAATTGGGTTGAGCTTCGGCATTGAAAGTGAATTTAGAATCAAGGCTGGCATCACTAGTAGTGGCTGTAGAGTCCAGAGTTGGATTTAGGATCGTGTTTATGTATGAATATGGGATTTAATTGTCATGAGGATTAGGGTGGAATTGGGAATTGGGAATGACCTTGAGAAAGGGGTAAGGATCGGGGTTGAGATTAGGGTGGCCGGTGAATATAAAAATTGATTTAGGTTAGGATTAGGGATTCACTGGGGGGTTTGTTTCAAGGTTGGAATGTAGGATTGAGTTGAAGGTTGTGGGGAAATAGGTTAGGGTTGAGAGGGGCACTGGGATTGTGATGAGCGTTGAAGCAGGTCTAGAGGAAGGTTTGTTGTGGATGTAGAACTCCTGTTTAGGATGAGGTCAAGGTGAGGTCCTAGTGACGTCTATGTCTGCAGTTGGTTTGGGTTAAGGACTGGATTCTAGCTAAGATTTTACTAGCCTTAGTATTGGGGTTGAGTTTGGGTTGCAAGGAAAGGTAAAAAGTTGGGTGAGGGGTCACTTGCAGGGTGGCTGTTGGATCTAGGGCTGGTGAGACATGAATCTGGGATTTCAGTGCCTTTGGAATTGAGTTGAGTTGAGGCACTAAAGCTGGAATTGAGGCACAGTTAGGTGTAAGTGGCAGGTGGCTTTAGAGATGATTAGAAGTTTGGTGCCAAGAGTAGGTTTAGGATTTCATGTGCATTAATATTGGACTTGGCATTGACCATGGATTAGCTGTTGAGATTGGGTTGGGTTTAGGGTGGCTGTTGGGGGTTGAATAGGGCTGGTGCTAGATCTATTTGAGGTAAAAAGATTAGGTGACCCTGGCTTAGGGTTGGGATACATTGGGTTGGGGTAAAGAGAGTCAGGGTTGGATGCAGAGTAGAAGATATGTGGATGCTGATCCTCAGTGGACTGGGACATTCTGTTTCAGGCAGAGGTTGTGGTCTAAGGCTGCATTGAAATTGAGTGTGGCGTTAGGAAGGTGTTTTTGGGTGGCCATGGCAGACCCCAGGGCTGATGATGGGGGAATAGGGTTGGGGGTTGGATTGTTCATAATGGCCAGATCTAGGGGATGGCTTAGGGGCAGAGTTAGGTCTAAAGTTACAATCAGATCAGATTTGTCATTAGGACTGGACTTGAGTCTAAGAAAGTTTCCATTTTCATATTGGGATCAGATTTTAAGTGACCAGGTTATGAACTGGTTTTGGATTTCGAGTTTGGAAGGACTGGCTCGGTTTATTCACGGGATAGCATTGAGGCTTGAGATACATTAGGTTTACAGAGCAGGTTTGCTTTAGTCTAGAGGGAACTGGGCAGGTGCATGGACTCAGCTGCAGTCATGGATTGAGGTCAGGGTGGTGCTAAGACTGTGGGACCAGCCATTCCTGCAGGATGGGCTCTCTGGGGGCTGCCAAGGGAAGTCAGTCCCTAGAGTCACCAGTCATTTGAGGGAGATTGGGTGTAGGGATTGTACATCCTTTATCACATGTCCCTCTCCATGGTATCTGTCTGTTTTTACACCCTGGAAGGACCTCAGACCCAGGTATCTAAGGATGTGGAAGAGCTGGAGCTTCCCTGGACTTATCCAGAAACTCTGGTAGCTACTAACCTCTCTCTATCCTTCTTCCCACAGTCCCAGCTGATATCCCTGCCAAGGCCTGTGGTCCCAGCCCCCAACCCCCCACCCATTGGTGAGTGATGGAGGGTAGAATAGGGATGGTGACTCCTTTCTACCTTGTATGCCAGGCTGCCAGATGCAGCTCTAGCCCAGGAGTGGGGGCTCCTGTTGCAGTAGGTCACACTCTACCTCTTCCTTTCTCTTTCAGACCGTGCTGAACTAGAGGAATTCAAGAAGATGATCTTGGAATCCCAAAGGCTCCCTGCAGGCAATGCCATATCCCCACCCAGGTAAGGCGCTGGCAGGATGAGACAGTTCAGTCTCAGGGCTTTGGATGAGGCTGGGAACAGGACCAGAGCAGAGGGAAGCTCATCCCGTACTTGTTGCTTCCTTATGAGTGCCTGCTTTCTTTTTTTTTTTTTTAAAGGTTATTTTTTATTTATTTATGCATTCAAGAGCTGGGGTACAGGCCAGAGGTATGGGGGGTGAAAGTATTCACCAGAGACAGTGAGGAACAGAACAGGCAGACTGACTGAAATACACTGCTGAGGGGAGCAGCGGGCGAGACAGGAGAGGTCTGCTGCGCCATGTGGGTAGCTGCCGCGGACCAGCACAGCAGTAGACGATGAGGCCGTCTCAGGGTTGAGAGAAGCGTGCAGGGTGGTCAGGGAGTTGGCGAAAGAAATGACAAACAGACACACTTCAAGAGAGAGTGTAAATCTGAGTGTAATTTTCTTTGAGTTGGTGACCAGTATATATATGTTTTTCTAAAGGCATAGGAAAGGCGAACATCAGTGAAGAAATCAGCTTTCTTATAGGTTTAGCTTATCATTGACAGGGCAGTGATTTACATCTGGACCCAGGCGCATTCCTAAGTAGTTAGGCTATTAATTTTTCTTTTTATTTCATGTGATTACTTTTTTGTTTTAACTACTCACTATCACTAAATTACTATTAATTAGCACTGGTGAGTTTTACTTTTCACAATGTAATATTTTTATCATTAAGATTAATACTAACAAGGCTAAGCATACAACAGAGAAATTATTAAGCTAACAGTTCTATTAATACACAGAGTTTAGTAACGTTTCATTTGAATTAGCCTAGTTATTAGATTTCGTATGTTCTTTTTTAATCAGCAACCAATGACCTTTTTAGACAGAGAAAGAGAAAAGATTTTAGAAAGAGAAAAGATTTTAGAGAGACAGTTGTAGTAGAATAAAGTTTGTGGGTCTTGAGAAGGTGAGATAAGGTTCCTTGCGGTCAGCATTCCTGTATGGCTCCTTGGGGTCGTTATCTTTCAACAGGCTTCCGTCTTATCTATGTCTTCAGGGGGTTTTGCTGTTCTCCCCCTGCTTCAGGGAGTTTTGCTGTTCTCCCCCTGCGCCTGGTTCCTTGCCCAGCCGGACCTAGGGACTGTGGCGAAAGCCATTAGCCCTAAAGGTCACTGCAGGGGGAGGTGCAGCAGGTCGCTCCCTGGCTGGCCAGGGGGTTAAACTCGTGCTGCAGAGGTGCAGATTGCTTCACAGTGCTGTGCTTAACCCCTTGCACCACCAGGGAAGCCCAAGCACCTGCTTTCTACCAGGCTCTATGCCAGCCCCCAGAGGATACAGCAGTGACACAGACACATCTCTCGCCCCATTCAGGGGCGGGAAAGACAGTGAAGAAGCCATAAGAAAGGTGATGAAAGTCTGTAATAATTAGATGCCCACCATGAGCCCAGCACAGTTCTGAGCACTCTGCACAGTTAACTCATTCAATCCTCACAACCCTCATCAGTGAGTGAGTGAGTGACCTGTTGTGATCCCCACTTTCTGGATGAGGAAAATTAGGCACAGAGAGGGTGTGCCTTGTGCCCCAGCTAACAGAACAGGGAGAGGCAGAGCTGGGACATGAAACCAGATGACTGACCTCCAGACAGGCAAGGGGATGCCCCTGTGAGGAGGAGACACTGAGCTGGAAAATGAGCAGGAGCATGCCCGGCAGAGAGCAGGGGTAACCATGGGCAGGCAGCAAGAGTAACCAGGACAAAGGCCCAGAAGCTAGGCTGGGGTGGAGGGCAAGAGGGAGCGACAGCAGCTTCCGAGAGTCCCCTGTCCTCCCTGCTCACTTGGAAAAGCCTTTGCCAACTGTAAAACGTTGTCCACAAATGGCTAGAGCAAGGGCCAAGGCCTTCACCAGGGCACATCAAGGGTCTTTAGCACACACTTGGCTGTAGCCTCCTCACAGCCTCCCAGGATCTGCTCCTCTATTGGACGACACCCCGCGTGTCGCAGGGAGGGTGGCTCAGGCCGTCACCCCGAGAACATCATGTGGTCCTTCTGGGGTCTGGGCTACGGTCCCATCAGGCCTGACGGAGGAAGTGGTCTTTGGCGTTCCCATAGGCAGGATAAAATCCGAGGCTCCGAGAGGCACTCAGGACTTTGAGTCAGATCTCTCTGACCCCAAAGCCTGTACCTTCGTTGGCCTGGCCGCCTGGTATTGTCAACCCTGGGTCTCTTCCAGCCTGGGGCGGGGTGCTAAACGCAGGTCTGGGGGCCAAACTGACCTCCAGAGCTGTCGCCAACTATCCACCCAGAGTCCTCCACATCCGACTCCATCCCCACCATGCCTCTTCCTACAAACTCCCTCTGACAGGGCACTCAGCCCCTCACACGACGCAGTGCTCACAGAACGCTCTGGACACCCAGCTCTGGGAGAAATCCCACGGGGAGTCTGCAGAGAGGGCTGGCTGAGCTGGGGGTACAGGAGAGGGGACGAGATCCCTGCTCCGAGCAAACAGTTTTCCTCTCCATAGCTTGGCCCAGAGCCCTGGTGGCAAGGAAGGAGCTTCTATTATTACTAACCCCATTTCTCAGAGGAGGGAACTGAGGCCCCAAGGAAGTGACCAGCCCCGGGTCCTGCGGGTCATGCGTCAGCGGTCCGGGCTGGAGCCAGCCTCTCAGCCCAGGCTTGTCCTGGTCCCAACTGAGACCGGGGAAGCTCTTGACATTGTTTACCCCAAGTGACGTCCCCCTGCTGAGAAAACAATGCTTACTTAAGCCAGGGCCCTTCTGCTTCTCACTGCAGGGTCGCAGGAAGGGCTGCTGGGCTCCAGCCTTGATCTGCCTGCCCCTGGGAGAGGGAACGGGTGAGCAGGCGCCATCAGCTCTGGAGTCTCTCTCTCTCTCTCTCTTTACATTTTAAAAGGACAGGTTTATTAGGAAAAGGAGGGGGGAAAAGAGAGGCACCTTCAAAGTCCCAGGTGGGTAGGATGCTGCAGCTCTGGATTTTCAGTCATCACCGGACACTCCAGGCTCATAGAGTCATAACATCTAAATTTGCTATGTGCCCAATGCAGGGCCAAATCCAGTGCCCTGCATTAAACCCTCCCCTTCCAGAGCAGAGAGGGTCAACTCCTATTCCACTCCTTTCCTTTCCTTGGGGGCTTGAGAACATTTCCCAGATGCTAATGCACCCACCCTAATGACACCCTCCAGACACATGCATCTCCCATGTTCTCAAAACCAGGACAGACCTGGAGTCACCCCAACTTGATCGGAAGATCTTGCCTTTAAATTGAACATTTTAAATTGTTTTCTATTGATAGACTTTCTATTGATGGATTTTTAAAAAAGATTTTATATATTTATTTTTGTGTACAAGAACAGGGCTGTAGACCAGAGGTGGAAGAGGGGAGGGCGGATGTAAGAGGATTCACCAGAGACAGAGTGGGGAACAGAACAGGCAGACTGACTGAAATACACTGCTGAGGGGAGCAGCGGGTGAGACAGGAGAGGTCTGCTGCACCTTGCGGGTCAGCTCCCTGGCCAGGGATGGAACTCAGGCCTTTCTGGTGGGCCCTTGTGGTGGTGGTGCTGAGACTTAACCCCAGGCCACCAGGGAGGCCCCTATTGATGGATCTTCTTTGGCAATCAATTTATTTCAGTTTAAAAAAAACAGTTGATATAAAGACAAATTTTGGGTAAATGTTGGCTCTGGGGCTGCGTGGGTAGAGATGGCAGAAGTCTCAATGTGGAAGGTCAAGGGTGGGAGTTCAGCACCAGTTGTGAGCTGGCACACAGCAAATGTGCTCAGGTTCACTTGCCATCGCTATTATGATTCCTTTGTTCGTTCAGCCAAAGAATATGGGAAGGAGTGAAGGACAGAAATCCCTGACCTCGTGGGCTCACTATGGGGTGCCAGATGATAGAGATGAGTCATTTAGGACCCCTTGAGTATGAGCGAGACAGAAAAGGGATGAGATGTTGTGAGGAGGTTGGAATTTTTCATGGGGGGCCAAGACAGGGTCCCCTGATCTTGAGAGAGAGTGACATTTGAGTAGAGACTTCACAGAGCCATAGGGGGAAGGTACACCAGGCTGCCCATACAGTGCATGCAAAGACCCTGTGGCAGGACCTGGTGAGTTTGCGTGAGAGGCTGGGGTAGAGGGGCGTGAAGGAGGGGGCAAGTGCGAGGAGGTGAGATCCTAGGGTGACGCTGGGAGGCAAAGGCCAGGGGACTCACTGGTCAAAGTGAGTGATGGTAGGGGGTCAGGGGCCTCAGTCTCTGAAACATGGCAGGCCAGCGGGCAGGAGTGTGTGAAGAATGGATATCAGGACTGGCCAGGAGCCTGGAAGGGGGAGGGGGAACAGGAATCAGCCAAGGAACATGCGGCAAGTGGGGCCCCAGGGAAGAGCCAGGGAAGGAAGGGAGGGGGGCCAGAGGAAGCAGGACTTGGCTGAGGCCCCCACCTCCCCCACCAGGAAGCAGCCTTTGCGCCAACCCCTGACCCCTCATGAGAACTTCTGCCAGGCCTGGGAGGGGGAAGGGCATCCCAGACAGCAGGATGGCTTCTGCAAAGGCAGGGGGCAGAAGGGGAAGCAGTGTTAATCTTGGAAATTTGGGGGGCCTTGGCAGGGTTCAAGTCCCTGGTGGGGAGGTCTGGTGGGGGCAGAGTTGGTGGAGTCTTGAAAGCCAGGTCCAGAGGATCTAGTTTTGTCCTGTGAGTACTGGGGAGCCATACAGAATATAGGAGCAAGGGCAGGCTCATTGAAAACCCTGCCTGGAATGAGTTAGGGTCCAGCCCTGGTTGGTTCTGTGTAAACAGAAGAGGGCTGTGAGATTGTGCCTCAGGGTCCAAGGGTGGCCCAGGGACTTTGGGGCAAATTCCCAGGATCCCCAAGGCCTTAGGAAGCAAATAACAGGGTCAGACAGGCTGCAGACCAAGTCTGGGGTACGAGGTGCTGCTCTGAATCTCAGTGTCTTCATTTATATAATGGAAAGGCAAACATTTGCATCCCACCGGTCCTGAGAGTTCAACAAGCAGGAGTCTCATGGGGAGGATAGCCCCAAAGGAGCCCTAGGGTCCTTGGAAGCAAGACCAGGCCTGGGGGAGGTAAGGCTGACCCCATCCAAGGTTTGTCCTTCCAGCCTTCTGTCTGACCCACTGTTGCATTCCCATCTCCTTCCCACCCTAGTGGCTGAGGAGGCTCTGGGCCCCAAGGACCAAGGGGTGCCCCAGACTGGCTGGTCAGCAGAAACGGCACGGCAAGACACCCGCGGCACAGGATGCAGTCAGGACCGAAGTCCGCAACTTCTGCACACACAGCAAATTGGGTGCCCCTGGCCTGTGCCCCACGCTGTCCCCACCCAGCCACACCCCATAGTACTCTCACAGGCCCACACCACACCACACACCCATAGATGCCACGACAATATCACAGATGGATGCAGGGATGCCTTGGTGCCGTGGTGATAACAGCACACACGGCCAAGAGACACAGCGACAGCAATGCATGTACCCTCTGTCTGCCCAGCCCTGGCTCCATTTCACATCCCTCCAGGCACAGCATCCAGCTTCCCACCCATACACACACACAGCTTCCCGCCCATCCACACAGCCCCATGACCCCACGACCCCTCCTCCAATTCCTTATCCCCCAGGGTTTCTCACCTGTCACCACTAGAGTGCCAGACCTGGAAGCAGAAAGGGGAGACATTTATCTTTTCCTTTCTGAGGGTTTCTAGGCTCCTCACGTGGCCCTGGGGTGAGGGTAGCTCACCCACTCCCTCATGACCCTCTCTCCCCACACCCAGCCTTATAAATGTTAGTGACACCAAATAAACATTAGAAAATCCTTCAAATATTCCAGAGTCATGATTTTTTAAAAGATTTATTTATTTATGCATACAAGAACTGAGGTACAGGCCAGAGGTGCGGGGGGTGAGAGGATTCGCCAGAGACAGAGTGGGGAGCATAACAGGTGGATTGACTGAAATACACTGCTGAGGGGAGCAGCGGGCAAGTCAGGAAAGGTCTGCTGTGCCATGTGGGTAGCTCCCTGGCCGGCAGAGCTCCCTGGCGGGCAGAGGCAGAGGCTGCATATAGCTTTATAGTACTGTGCTTAACCCCTTGCACCACCAGGGAGGCCCCAGAGTCATGATTTTTGCTTTGAAAAGGTGTCTCAGGGCCTTGGGGAAGAAAATACTAGAAACAAGAACTCCTTCCCTAAAGTCCCCAGTTCAGAAGAGCATTCAATCTGGGAGTGGGGAGGGTGGGGTGCCAATGTCCCCCTTTTGCAGGTGTAGGACTCTGCATACATGAAAAAAAAAAACAGATATTTAAAAAGAGTTTCTTAAAAAGCATTTTAATAATTTGTGGCTTTTGTTTTTCTTGGTTTGCAATTGTATTGACAATTGCCAGGATGCCGCAAGCTGCTGTTAATGGCAGGAACTTCTCGACAAAATGATTCCAGGAACAGTCTCACAAGAGTCCTAGGACATTTGTTTTGTTTGGTTTTATTTTTGGCAAAATGGGATTTCAGAAAGAACACTGGTGTCCAGTTTGGCATGCATCAACTACTAGGACACTAAATTAGAGGGTAGCTGGGGAAGACATTAGTGGGACATGGGAAGACCACTTGTACCCAGCAGACTGGAGGGCTGGGGAATGTTTAAAAATCCTAATAGCCACTGTTGGTGAAGACATAAAGGAGAAATTTCCTACCAGACTGGTAGAAATACAAATCTGGTTATGGCCCTTCTGGAAATGAGTTTGGTGACATTTAATAATAGTCAAGCTGCACAGATCCTTTGATTCAGAAACCCCATTTCTGGGACTTAATCTCTGAAAATTAATAACCCCAGGAAGCAAAGCATGATGGAAAAATGACCCCAAAATTATGATGTAGAATCTCAACTGGTCCTTTCCCCCTCGGATCCCCCTCTCCCTCCCCTCCTCTCCTTCCCCCAACTCCCCCCTCCCCATTCTCTGAGACCCTGGACAGACGGGGGATGAGTCAGGCGAGCTGAGGTTGGCAACGCCACACTTAGGGCAGGCCAGCCAGGAGGGACAAAGGAGCGATATTTCCTGGATCCGGAAACACGGGTGAGAGACAGCGGCTGCAGGAAACACTCGGCTGGGGCCCCGCCAAGCCAGGGCAGGGGGTCAGCCAGGCCAGGCCACCTAGACGGGCCAGTCTAGAGGCCCCAAGGAAGTGGGGAACGTCCCTGACCTCTAACCTATTGGCTAGGCAGCCTGCAAGTCTTGGAGAGAAAGCCTAATTTGGGGTCCTGGACCCAGTCATTCTGGATTTGAATCTTGGATCAATCCATCTCAGCCTTCATTTTATCATCTGAGAAATGGCTATAGTAATAGTCACTCAACTGTCCAAACAATCGGCACAATTCTCTGACTCCCAACTGGAACATCACAGGATACCAACCTACCAACCTGGCCTCCATGACTGGACCTTGACTCAGCTGTCCAACACCCTGACTTCATCAGCCTCAGCGTCCAGTACAACTCCCATACTGGTCCAGAGGGGCCCTCGGCTCTTTTGTGCCCCCTCCCTCCACACACAGTACAGCACTTGCTCTAGTTATTCTAGACACTTGCTTCCTCTTCCAGGCAGCCCTCCTAGATGTCCCAGATGTAGTCCCCAGCCCCATTCCTTTCTCTCCTGCTATGACCATATAGCTCTGACTCCCCCAGGCTGATGGCTTTCCTGAGGCCCCAGCAGGGGCTGAGTACCAGCCAGAGAGCAATTGGCTGACCCCCTCCCCGACCCTGTGGTCCAGCCTCCGGGTGAGGTTCTGACTCTTTGGGGATTTCCTGTGACCTCTATAAATAACCCCCATGGCTACTTCCCACAAACTGCCTCACCCTTCTTGGAAAAAAAGGATTGTAGCCAAGGACCTCAATGCAGCTATGTGCCAGATCCCAGGGGAGGTGGGTGGGGCACATGCATCCTGCCCCAAGAGCATCTCCCTCCGCACCCAGACCCCACTCACCCCTCCTAGAAGACCTCTGGACAATCCCAACACCAGACCCACATTATTTTTTTCTTCCCTCTGGGTATCTATTTTCCTGCCAAATGGGTATAACAGTTAATATCCATGGACTCGGATCATGGAGTAACCCCATGCCTTAGGGAGCCCCCTATTCACAAGTGACTTCAACTGCTGAACAAGCAAACAGATCAACAAACAGTGACACCATGCAATGAAGTCTGTGAAGAGTCTGGGATCCGGGTTAGTTGGGAGATCCTGGCACCTTTGTGGGTCTGAGACCCATCCCAGCCTGTGCTCACATGTTCCCCAAAACCCAAGAGCGTGTAATTGCAGGTGGATATTTTTTCCTGATTCTGGAAAAGATCATGATCCTTTTTGAGATGTTGTTTCTGCTGCTGGCAAGGTGGAAGCCTTCATCCCAGGAACCTGAGGCTTTGCTGTATTGATGGGGAAACACCCAGAATCTGCTTCATTAGAGCATGGCGCCCCCTGGTGGATCTGCACCGCCACATCAGGCCCCCAAAGTCGCAGAACCACTCGCCCCAGTCCTGATTCACTTATGTTTATTTTATTTTTTTTAAGATTTATTTATTTATTTATTTATTTATTTATTTATTTATTTATTTATTTATTTATTTATTTATTTATTTATACAAGCACTGGGTACAGTCAGAAGCGCGGGAGGGTGAGAGAATTCGCCAGAGCCAGAGCGGGGAGCAGAGCAGGCAGAAGGACCGAAGCACATTGCTGAGGGGGAGCAGCGGGCTAGAATGAGAGGTCTGCGTGCCACGTGGGCCCCTCCCTTGTGGCCGGGGATTGAACCGGCGCTGCAGAGGCTGCAGGCAGCTTCGCAGCCCAGCGCTAAACCGCTGCATCACCAGGGAGACCCTGTTTGGTTTTTTTTTAAGATTTATTTTATTTATGCATACAAGAACTGGGGTACAGGCCAGAGGTGTGGGAGTGAGAGGATTCACCGGAGACAGAGTGGGAAACAGAACAGTCATATCTACTGAAATACACTGCTGAGGGGAGCAGCAGGCAAGAAAGGAGAGGTCTGCTGTTCCATATGGATTAGCTCCCAAGCCAGGGATCAGGGATCAAACTTGTGCTGCAGTGGCTGTGGCTATCTTCATAGTGCTGAGATATAACCCCTTGTGCCACCAGGTGTTTTTAAAACCCTTCCTTTTCCTCTTCACAACTATTTTCTTCTTTTTTTTTTAAGATTTATTTATTTATTCATACAAGAACTGGGGTACAGGCCAGTGGTGTGGGGAGGTGGGGTGAGAGGATTCATCAGAGACAGAGTGGAGCACAGAACAGATAGACTGACTGAAATACACTGCTGAGGGGAGCAGCAGGCAAGACAGGAGAGGTCTGCTGTGCCATGTGGGTAGCTCCCTGGCTGGGGATCAAACTCATGCTGCAGAGGCTGCAGTGTCTTAACCCCTTGAGCCACCAGGGAGGCCCCAACAACTATTTTCTTAATAAAATTTCTTCTTTCTAGCTTAATGCATTGTAAGCATGCAATACATAACACAAAATACATGTACATCAACTGTTTTATGTTCCTGCTAAAGCTTCTAGTCAACGGCAAGCTAGCAGCATTAAGGTTTTAAGGAGTCAAAAGTTATATCTGGGGGCCTCCCTGGTGGCGCAGGCGGTTGAGCGCGCCGCTGTGAGGCTGTCCGCAGCCTCTGCAGCACTGGTTCGATCCCGGCCAGGTGGCAAGGGTCCCACATGGCACAGTGGACCTCTCCTGTCGCGCCCTCTGCGCCCCTCAGCAGTGTATTTCAGTTCATCTGCCTGTTCTGTTCCCCACTCTGTCTCTGATGAATCCTCTCGCCCTCCCACACATCTGGCCTATACCCCGGTTCTTATAGGAATAAATAAATAAATCTTTTAAAAAGAAAGTTGTATCTGGTGGGTCTGTTGTCCCTAACTCCTGCATTGTTCAAGGATCATCTGTACCCCACTGTAATTTCCTTCCACTTCCCTTTCACTTCATATCCTTCCTCTCTCCCCTTCGCTCACTCTGTTCCAGCCACAATGGCCACCTCTGTTGTCCCTGCTCCCAATTCAAAGCCTTTGCACACATTACGTTCCCTGCCTGGGACACTCTTACCAGCCCCTTCCATCAGGGTTCCTTTTCAACATTAGGTGACCTATGTAGGGCATGTGCCCTCAGATATCTGCCAGGTCAGATCTCTTCTTTGTAAGCTCACACCACAGTCAGAGATCTCACTGTAAGGATGAGCCTCTTTTTTTTTCCATCAGGCCAAGGGTGAACCTGCTTGTTCCACCATATTTCCAGTACCCTGGCCCTGAGCTCAGATTGGAACTGAACTGACCTAAGTACAAATCCTAAAGCTTGAACCATGAGCAAGTGACCACTTCTCTGAGCCCATTTTCTCCTCCATAAAACAGTGACTAAATACCTACCCCATTGTGCTAGTGTAAAGAGCCAACAAAATTATGTGTAACAGGTGCTTGACAGTCACCGGGTGAATGAATGGAGTGAATGAACTTGCAGAGGAAGTTGGGCCCAGGATTTCATGAGTTACTTTTAAGGTACGAGAGGCAAAGTTCTAAGATTAATACTAAAAAGGGAATGAAAACTTGCAGCGCAATATACACACAATTTATGTACAAAATGTAAAATGTATTTGATTGGTGCATCTACAAGAATGCAAACGTAAGCGCACAGAGAAAGTTCTGGAGGGACACAAGCTGAGCTGGGGAGAGGGGAGATTTCCACATTTCTGGATCAACTGAGTTTCTTACATGCCTTTGGTATTTGAATAATAAATTAAAAACTATAAAACAAGTACTCCTGAGATCTTCCTTCCTTCGTCCCAACCCTCTACTCCTGATCCTCCAGCTTTGGGGGCCCAAAGAGACCTCCACTCAGCCCCTCTCCAGGGCTTGAATACCCAGAAATCCCCAGAGAGATCTAGCCAGTCACAATTTGATAATTGCCAGCAACTGGGAGCTTACTACCCATGAAGGCAGTTACTCTGGTGACAAGATCCTCCCCAAGGGATAGAAAATCCCGCTTGGCCTAAGCTGATCCCAGATTCCTCAAAGCTTCCAGGTGTCCACCCAGCCTGTGTCTGAGATTGGCAGTTCCCTTACTTGCCCACACAGAAGTCCCGGAAGATGACATCCAGGATCTCTTCCGTGCCTCCACCCCCTGTGAGGTAAGCCAGGTGGCCCCGGGCAACCCGAAGTGCCTCAGCTGCCAGGGCTAGGTCTTTGGCCTTCTTGTATTGACCGAGGGCATCCAGGCATCTCTGCAGGTGATGCTGGTGCCTGGTGCGTGTCAGCAGTGGTGGGCCTGCAGACGGGTCACCACACCTGGAAGGGAAAAAGCACATGGTCTCTCTACCTTCAAAAGCAACACTGGTATCCATTCCCATTCTGCAGATACAGAAACTGAGCCTGCCAGACAGGTTTGTGTCCAAAGTCATTGGCTTATGCCCACTTGAATTTGGATAAAATGAGGCTATAGAAAGAGTGAGGGGGCTCACACTGCAGCTAGCTCCTTTCGCAGTGCTTCCAAGAGGCCATCCAGACCCTCCCTGGTCAGGCAGGAGAGCAGCAGATAGGGGGCCAGCTCAGGACTGGGGCCTGGGCCCCCCTTGGGGAGCAGGTCTGATTTGTTCAACACCAATAGGAGCCGCTGTTTACTCCCACTGGAGCTCTGGGCTCGGGTGGTGGTGATAATCGTGTCCAGGAAGCTGCAGCTGGATGGAGAGGCCAGATCAGAGGCGTCCAGCACGGCCAGAATGAGGTCAGCCTGTTCCAGCCTGGGGGAATAAGGAGAATCAACTGAGCAGTGACCCCCAGAGTTGAGCAATTAAGGACACAGGGTGGAATAAAGCACCTGGGACACAGCAGGAGGGTGAGGGGGCTGGTAAAGAATAAGGGGCAGGGCCAAACATGTGGGAAAGAGCTGTGCATTAAGGGGAGGAGCAGAATGCTGGGGGTTCAGTAGGAGAGAGCTGGCCAGGGACAGAGGTCCAACTCAAAGGGCTGCCCCTCCCCCAAATTACCAAGTCCCCAAGATTAAGGGAGCTTAGTAGCTTTTTCTGATTCAGGAAGAATGAAAAGTAAATGCAACAGGAAGAAACATGAGAGGATAGAGTCGTCTCCTCCCTCTACTTACCTCCCAGGCAACCCACCTCTCTCGGGCTCGCCGCACGCCCTCTCGCTCCACTGGACCCACGCCCTCCCTCAACCCTGCTGTGTCACTCAGTAGCGCTGGGAACCCAGCCAGGTCTACAGCGGTCTCCAGCACATCGCGGGTGGTCCCTGGTTCTGGAGAAACAATAGACACGGGCTTCCGGCCTAGGGAAGTAAGCATGAGGGACCAGGTGGAGGTGAAGGACCCTCCACAAAGCTCCACCCCTCGTGGCTGAACTGAGCTTTTGCCCTACTGGCCCCTTTCCCATTTTGAAACAGCTCAGTTCCTCAGTTCCTGGCCCCATCACCAGTCTCCCTCCTACTCACTGAGCAGGTTCACCAGGCTGCTCTTGCCAGCATTGGGGGGTCCCGTGACCACAACATGTGCCCCTGAGCGGAGCCTCTGCCCACGCCTGGCATCTCGAAGATGCGCGCCCAGTGCCAACTCCAGCTCCTGTACTTGGCTGTCAGCTGTGGGTACAGGAAAGCAGAGGGGAAGGAAAGTGGGGCCTTCAGGTAGTGGAAATGGCAAGTGTACTCATACCCCCATCTCCAGGGAGACCCACCTCGCTCCAAAACTCCTTCCTCCAGGTTGTCATCCTCACCAAAGTCAATATAGGCCTCCACGTGAGCCAGAGCCTGAAGCAGAGGGTAGGTAGAGTCATCACCTAGGAACCCACTCCCTGGCCCCCCATGTACCCGGGCTCAGCCCCACTAAGGGGCCAGGTTGGAGGCTCACAGACAAGAAACTCTCACTTCAGAGCTGGACAGGCAGGGATCTAGTGCAGAGGATGGGTGAATGGGGGATTCACCTTAGTGAGGGTCTCTGCCCAGCCATGACAGAGGTGGCTCAGCTCCCCATCCAGCTGCCTTAGGGCCTGACGCCGCTGTGCCTCCGTTTCGGCATGGATCAGATCGGCCAAGCCTTCCACTTCAGTCAGGCTCAGCTTCCCGTGAGCAAACGCCCGCCTGGTGAACTCTCCCGCCTCTGCTGGCCGAAGTCCTGGCACACTGCCTGCGGGAAGGTCCTGAATCCTGAGCCTCCAGGTCTATACCCACACCCACTGGCAGAGTCAGACCTCCAACCCAAGGCTGCACTCACCCAGGGCCTGCAGGACGCCGCTCACCACGGCCGGGCCTCCATGCACGTGGAACTCCACGCAGTCCTCACCCGTGAAACTCTGGGGACCTAATGTGGCGAGGCGACAAGTCAGAAGGAGGGCACAGCATGAAGAGGGTAAACTGGGTCATGGGAGCTACAGGAGGTTCAGGATCTGGAGTTCCTCACCTGGGAACCAGAGCACCAGAGCGCGGTCCAGCGGTTCCCCCGAGCGGGGGTCGCAGAGCAGGCGCAGGCTGGCGTAGCGAGCCCGGGGCAAGTCCTGGGGCGCAGTGAGGCTCCGGAGGGCGTGGCGGCTGGCGGGGCCGCTAGTCCGAATCACAGCGATGCCGCAGCGGCCTTGGCCCGAGCTCAGCGCGAATATGGTGGCTCCGGAACCCGGGGCCGGGGCGCCGCTGCCGTGGCGCGTGAACGGCCCGAGACTGGACAGGAAGGAGAGTCAGTGCACCTGGGAGGCTCTACACAGAGTGGCAAGTAGATCTAGGGCTCGATAACAGGGAGGTGCTCAAAGTGGAGGCTCTCTGGCTGGGAGGGACGCACCGACCGGAGGCCTCAAGATGACCTCATTAAGGTCTCAGAGCGGGCGATCCAGAGGTGGGTTCTGCGGCCGAGGGATGGACAGACAGGACTTGGAAGAACGTGACAGACGGCACCGCCGCAGGGAACTAGGGCCCCAGATCCCAGGGAGGTTTGGGCCCCAAGCAGCGACTCAGTTTGTCACACCCTTTTCCCCCGGGTGTCCCACCTGCGAGGCCCGCGAGCCGTCAGGGTTGCCAGGGTCCAGAGGCCCCGCCACATGGATTCACAGCCCGCCGCGCGCCCGCCCGCCCTTCCTTCCTGGGAGGCTTCAAGTCCTGGCACGAGGCCCCGCCCACTCGGCGGAGTGACTGGCGAAGTACTTAACGAGTCTTGGCTACCATTGGGCCCTTTAGAAAACGTCCCGCCCACCCACTGAAGGTCTTCGTTTGTATTGGCTGATTCTGAGGACGCCCTCTGGGTGCAGTGATATGACATTCCCCCGGCAACATCCGATCGGGGTCGTGGGATTCTAAAGCTGCGGCTCCCCGAGACCCCGGAAATGAGGGGTGGGAGGGGAGACCGGGTCTGACCGTCGGAATGACCGCGGAAAGAGCGTTTGAGCTTATTCCATCTAGCCACTCCGTAGCTTTGGGCGAAGCCAGAGCACCTTAGTGGCAGGGAGGGGTGCGTGCCGGAGAGCCCACGCGCCACCGGCCTTGGGAAAACGGCCAAACTTCTGGGGAGATTACTATTCCTATTTGTTTTCTAGGACCACTCCAGCTGGTAGCCCATCCCCGCCTTTCCCTCGGCCGTTCCCTCAGCCTCGGACGCCCCTCCTCATTTAACAGACTCATCCTTAAGGGGCCTCCATCTCCAGGGTCTCCTCCGCGAGGACGCCTTTCTGAAATCCCCCCAACACAACCCTCTCTCCTCTCTGGCCCAGGTCTGCTCCGGCAGAATTGTGTCTGGTCTGTCTCTGGCTCCCGAAGAGGCAGAAAGGGGAGTCGCGGAGATTACTTTCAGGTTAACCTAGGACAGCGCAGGATCGCAGAATAAAAGCGCTGATGATGGAATTCCCGGCGCCAACGGGGCGGGTTCTCCCAGTTTCGCACGGCCAATTTTCTGGTTCTTGGATAGAGCGGGCGGGCGACGCACCTGCACTTTGGGAAGAATTGGTGGGACTGATTAGAGTTCTAATCCTCCACCCCTCACCCCACCCCACCCCCGTCCCCATCCTCCCGGGCCGGCCCTCTCAACTTTTTCATCTGTAAAAGAGGAACGATGACATTCGCTGACGTCGAGCTGTCCCATCTATCACAGGTATACACTAGCGTCTAGTATTTGCCTTATGAGAACCCGATCTGACCCCAGTCTCGCGGAGGAGGCTACTCCTGATGATCTGGGATCCGGGTGCCAGACAAAATACCAAGAATAAAGTTTACGTATAATTATGTCCTATGTGATATTTGGGACACACTACTTATTAATTTATTTGAAGTTCACATTTAGCTAGAAAGACTTAAACATGACAACTCTGAGGAGTTTACGTCGCAAGGAGCAGGGGTTAACTAGATGAAAAATGGGTGGGTGTCCTATGCAATTGAACTACGCGTGCTGTGCAGGACTTGGCTATAATTATTTATTCTCTTCTCCACAATAGTGGTTGACTTTACTGCTACTAGGAATCTACTCTGACCAGGCGCACCCTCTCCCATCTCGGGCCTTAGTTAATTCCGCCCATCTTATTCCAAACCGCGCCTTTGCAGATGGAGAAACGAAGTCTCGCAGGCGGGGACGAGACCCAGAATACAGCAAGAGCAAGGTGGAAACTGCAATTTAGGTGCGGGCAGGGACGAGCACCACAGAGTGAGGTGGGCGGGCGAGAACGAAACCCAGAAAACAACTTGGGCGGAGTGGAGAACTCGAGTGACGTGCGCGGAGCCAAGGAGAGTCGAGGTTCGGCGCGGGCGGGGACGAGAAGCAGCGCTCTGGCACGCGGGGACGGCGGCCGGCGCGGGCGGGCGCGGCCTTTGTCTCCTCCTCCGGCGCGCTCAGCCGCCGCACCGGCTGCATGAACCCGCGGCCCGCCACCTCCCGGGTCGCCCGTAGCCCCTGACCTGATCTGCCCTGTCCTCGCTATGGCCGAAACCGCCTCCGGCGCTGGGGGCACATCCCTGGAGGGCGAACGCGGCAAGCGGCCCCCGCCGGAGGGCGAGCCTGCAGCCTCGGCGTCTGGAGTTTTGGGTATGTGTGCGGCTGCTGGATCCGGTAGGGTTGCAGGTGCCTTGAGTGCGCGCGGAGGCTGGACGGGTAGGGGATTGGGGTCAGCTTTCCCGGCCTGGAGTCCAGTAGAGGAACCAGCTACTCCCAGCACTGCAGCCGCGGTCGGCGGGAGCAGCTAAGACGGTGCGGCGGGCAGGGGTCCCGGAGCAGAAATGTGGACACACCCCTCCGGGAGCCCCCCCCACCGAGGGGCTGAGCCAGGTCACCCCCCTACCCTCGGGCTACCTAATCGCAGCTGGGCAGGGATGCGCTTGAGAGATCCTCCGCGGAATATACAGAATCACCCTGTCTTGGGTTCGAATCCCAGGTCAGCTGTGTGACCTTGGGCGCCTGACTTAAACGCTCTGAGCCTCAGTTTCTTCACCTGTGAAATGGGGGTAAGAACCGCACCCAGCTGTGAGGTAGCTGACATAATGTGGTGAAGCGCTCCGTGCTGCTAGTGAGTGCCCCATCGATTGTGGTTTGGAGGCGGAGTTGGGCCTCAAGATGAGTAAGATTTGTATGTGAGGACCTGGGGCAAGGGCATTCCTAGAGGAGGGCCTGACTGGTGCAAGGACGTGGAGGGAAGTAAAGAACCCAAGGCCAGAGTTCATGGGGTCTTGAATGACATACTGAGTGCCAAGGAACCCTGGCGAATAGAAAAGGGACAGGACTGGAGTGATCAAGACTGGAGGTGGTGCAGGAGTGGCCTGACCCAAGTTTGCCCTGCCTGCCCCCCAGATAAGCTTTTTGGGAAGAGGCTCCTGCAGGCAGGTCGCTACCTGGTGTCCCACAAGGCATGGATGAAGACGGTGCCCACAGAGAACTGTGATGTGCTTATGACCTTCCCAGGTATCTGTGTCCCCCCATTCAGTGCCCAGACAGGGCTCCCCTGAGCTTCGTTCCCCTGAGTGGGAGTCTGTAAGAAGCCTCAGACCCCTTGTGGCAAAGAGCCATGGGTACCTGTGCCCCTTGGCAGACACCACTGATGACCACACGCTGCTATGGCTGCTGAACCACATCCGTGTGGGCATCCCTGAGCTCATCGTGCAAGTCCGCCACCACCGCCACACGCGTGCCTACGCCTTCTTCGTCACCGCCACGTATGAGAGGCGAGTCCTTGGCCTCTTGCTGACCTTGCCATCTGGCTCCCTGCCCTTCTAAACACCAACTTGTGAGGTCCAGCTACCCTGTTTGCCCCAGGTGGTCACCAGGTAGCCAGTGTTCCTCCCATGATCCCACCACCCCTATCTTCCCAGCAGCCTACTCCGAGGGGCCGATGAATTGGGTCTACGCAAAGCAGTGAAGGCCGAGTTTGGTGGTGGCACCCGTGGCTTCTCCTGTGAGGAGGACTTCATCTACGAAAACGTGGAAAGTGAGCTGCGCTTCTTCACATCCCAGGTGCACCAGCTGGCCCCCAGCGCACATCCCTAACTCGTGGGTGGCTGCTCCCTGTGCTCACACCCTGTCCCCTGCAGGAACGCCAGAGCATCATTCGCTTCTGGCTACAGAACCTGAGAGCCAAGCAGGGCGAGGCGCTGCACAATGTGCGCTTCCTGGAGGACCAGCCAATCAGTGAGTGTCAGATGGGGCTCCTAGAGAACTATCTATCACGGGAGAAAGGCGGGGCCTGGAGCCAGACCAATCAATGGGTTGAAGGGGCGGAGTCTTAAGGGAGGGGTGGGACTTGCTCCCTGGAGTCCGTGAGAATGCCAGGGCAGGACCATGGACAGCGCCCCGGTAGCCTTGATGGTGTGGCCCTGGGTCTCAGTTTCCCCTCCAGGAAACCAGTCCCTGCAAGTCACCTCCTGGCACCAGCTTTGCATCATTCCTTAGATGTTGAGAGCAATGACTTGAGGCCCAAATGGCTTTACTTCAAAGCATGGCTCCCCATTGGGACCCACCCTCCCAGGATTCCTTCGTGCCCTCCTACCTGCCCCTACCCCTCCCAAATTCTGAAGGAGAACCAGATGTACCATCCACCCAGAACTCCTCTGGGAAGAGCCTCTGCTGGTGTAAGAGCAGGCAAAAAGCCCAAGGTGGGGAGGGGCTAAGGGAGTGATGGGGTAGGTAGACCAGGAGCAGGCAGAGAAGCAGGAATCCCCCATTCTTGTCCCCTAACAGTCCCTGAGCTGGCAGCCCGTGGGATCATCCAGCAGGTGTTCCCAGTCCATGAACAGCGTATCCTGAACCGCCTCATGAAGTCATGGGTGCAGGCCGTGTGTGAAAACCAGCCCCTGGGTACGGCCTGGACCTGGGGATGGGCGGGGATCCAGAAGGTGGGCAGGTCTGACCAGCACTCCCTCTTCCCCCTGAAGATGAGATCTGTGATTACTTTGGTGTCAAGATTGCCATGTACTTTGCCTGGCTGGGTTTCTACACTTCAGCCATGGTATACCCAGCTGTCTTTGGCTCTGTCCTGTACACATTCACGGAGGCTGATCAGGTACAGGGTGTGGGCTGGGCTGGGGCTAGGGCACCCTAGATACCCTAATCCCTGGGACAGCCCATTCAACACCTCAGCCCCCCTCCACCACTCTAGACAAGCCGGGATGTATCCTGTGTGGTCTTTGCTCTCTTCAACGTGGTCTGGTCAACACTGTTCCTGGAGGAGTGGAAACGGAGGGGAGCAGAGCTAGCCTACAAGTGGGGGACTCTGGACTCACCTGGGGAAGCCGTGGAGGAGCCACGACCCCAGTTCAGGGTCAGTTTTTGCAGGGGGTCTGAATCCAAAGACTCCAAGAATGGGGTAAAGGAGAGAGAGCACTTTGGGTGGGGGTCAGGGAGGGGCTGCATGCTCAGAGGAGAAGGAGTAGGAAATCAGATTTGAGGGAAGTGTGCTTTCAGCGGGGTCACCATGAGAACAAAGGCATGATGGAGGGAAATTGAGTTTGTAAGGAAGGGAATGGTATATGGGGCAGAAGACCCCCTGGTCTTATACTGGACCTTCCCCTTGCCCCTTGCTAGGGCATTCGACGAATCAGCCCCGTGACCCGGGCTGAGGAGTTCTACTACCCGCCTTGGAAGCGGCTGCTCTTCCAGCTTCTTGTGAGCCTTCCCTTGTGCCTCAGCTGCCTGGCCTGTGTCTTCCTGCTCATGCTCGGCTGCTTCCAACTGCAGGTGAATTCCAGACCCCAGCCCTGGCTTTGGCCCCAACCTGGTGACCCCTCACATAGCATAGCCCAACCTATGCCCAGCTGCTGGGGTAAGCTTGACTCGCTGCTCCTGCAGGAGCTGGTGCTGAGTGTGAAGGGGCTGCCGCGTCTCATCCGATTCCTTCCCAAGGTTGTGCTGGCGCTGCTGGTCAGCATAAGTGCTGAGGGCTACAAGAAGCTTGCCATCTGGCTCAATGACATGGGTATGTCCTGTGGGGGCAGTCCCTGCCTGAGCAGAAGGTCCCACTGCTCAAGTGGGGCCTGGGCCTCACCCCTCACTTGCCCCCTCGGCCCCCAGAGAATTACCGGCTGGAGAGCGCCTATGAGAAGCACCTCATCATCAAGGTTGTCCTGGTGAGTGTGGTGGCCAGCTGGTGGGCAGGGGTATGCCAGGGAAACCTTGATTCTGCATGAGGCACAGCTCTGGGCACAGCGGTGGCAGGGTGACAACCTGCCTGTCTGCTTCCCACAGTTCCAGTTTGTCAACTCGTACTTGAGCCTCTTCTATATTGGCTTCTACCTCAAGGATATGGAGCGTCTGAAAGAGGTGAGACTGTGGCCCAAGGTAGTGCCCTCCAGTGGTGGCCAGTGGGGGGCCAGCCCCAGCACCAGGGGTCCATGGGCTCTCCAGCCCTTCCCCCCCCTCCTCCATCCTTCTCTCCTTTCTGTCCGTCTGTCTGTGCGTCCTCTCTGCCTGTTGCCCCCCCCATCTGTCTGTCCATCTGTCCGTCGGTCCCTCCACAGCTCCTGCTCGTCCTGTCCCTGTCCCAGAGCCTCGAGCGGCAGCTTCGAGCGGTGCTGGTCCCGCTCGTGGCCCTGCGGTTCCGCCTGCTCATCCTGTCCCTCCGGGGCCTTCTGCTCGTGGCCTGGGCCAAAGTATGGGCAGGTGGCAAGCCCACAGGGCCTTGCCAGTGTGGGCAGTGTGCTGTGCTGGGGTCTCATGCAGAACCAGGGGTGCATGCTCAGAGGGGACGGGGCGCTGCTGGCAGGGGGCACCTGCTGAGCTCCTGGGAGGTGCTTAAATCTGGGAGGAGATGCAATTTGGTTGGCTGGGAGTGCTATGGCCTGCAAGGCTATGGTTGGTGGCAAGTGAACTGTGGCAGAGGCTGAACACTGGGGCCTCCATATCCAAAGGGGTGGATTCAGGAATAGGGTTCAAGGCATGTGTGTGGAATCATGCTGCAGAAGGGGCCCCTAACCAGCAGGCTGTCTCAGTGCCCAAGGCCCCGCCCACCCCCACGCAGGCTTTCTCACCCCTTCCTGCCCCCAGATGCTGGCCACACTGCTCATCACTCGCCAGTTCCTCCAGAACGTGCGCGAGGTCCTGCAGCCGCACCTGTACCGGCGCCTGGGCCGTGGCGAGTTTGGCCTGCAGGCTGCCTGGGAGCTGGCCCAAGCCCTGCTCAGCCTGCTGAGCCTCCGGCGCCCTGCACCCCACCGCCTCGAGCCCCAGGCAGAAGAGGGATGCAACAGCAGTGGTGGGGGAGGCCGCAGGTGTCTCAGCGGGGGCTGTGGGGCTCCTGAGGAGGAAGAGGAGGCCGTGGTGGAGCGACAGCCAGTGGGCGAAGGTGGAGAGGTGGGGGACGGGCCCAGGGGGGGCGAGGAGGAGGAGGAGGAAGAGGAGGAGGAGGACGAGGAGGACGAGGAAGGCGAGGAGGGTGGCCTCCTGGACTGCGGGCTCCGTCTGAAGAAGGTCAGCTTTGCCGAGCGGGGAGCCAGGCGGCAGCGGCCTGGCCCAAGCCCTGAGGCGCTCCTGGAGGAGGGGAGCCCCACCATGGTGGAAAAGGGGTTGGAGCCAGGAGTGTTCACACTGGCTGAGGAGGAGGACGATGAGGCCGAGGGGGCTCCTGGCAGCCCTGAGCCAGAGCCGCCAGCTGTCCTGCTCCGCCGAGCGGGGGGTGAGGGCCGAGACCAGGCGCCGGATGGGGGCCCAGAGCCAGAGCCAGGCTCAGGGGACTCTGCTCGGAGACAGCGGCGACAGAATCGGGCATCTTGGATCGACCCGCCAGAGGAGGACCATTCGCCCCAGCTCACCCAGGCCGAGCTGGAGAGCTGCATGAAGAAGTATGAGGTGAGGAGGTGCCTTGAGAGCAGTGGCAGGGTCCTCCAAGGAAGTGGCACGCTGTCCCAGGGTGGAAGGAGGTGGTGGGGGTAGGTAACAGGGCCTTTGATGTGGTAGGAAACCTACTGGAAGGACCTGAATGGGATATTCTGAGGGAGCTGGACTTGGTAGAAGAAGGTGACCTAAGGCAGGAGGCTTTGCCGTCTGAGGGTGGCCAGAGGCTGTACCCAGATTCTCTCTGCAGGACACGTTCCAGGACTACCAGGAGATGTTTGTTCAGTTTGGCTACGTCGTGCTCTTCTCCTCTGCCTTCCCATTGGCTGCACTGTGTGCTCTGGTCAACAATCTCATTGAGATCCGCAGTGATGCTCTTAAGCTCTGCACAGGGCTGCAGCGGCCTTTCGGGCAGCGGGTGGAGAGCATCGGCCAGTGGCAGGTGGGGGGAGTGCCTGGGCTTCAAACTGATGCCCAGAAGGAGAGGGGGTACAGCTGGGAATAACAGGGCCCTAGGGGAGGGTGGCCCGCCTGGCCTGAGCTCCCTGTATCCCCCTGCAGAAAGTGATGGAGGCCATGGGTGTCCTGGCCATCGTGGTCAACTGCTACCTAATCGGCCAGTGTGGACAACTGCAGCGCCTCTTCCCCTGGCTCAGCCCGGAGGCAGCCATCGTGTCTGTGGTGGTGCTGGAGGTGGGACGAGCAGTGGGTGAGGAACCTATGGGGTGGACATACTGGCAGGCACCCCTGAGCCTGCAGCCTCCTCTCTGTCCCTTCAGCACTTCGCTCTGCTCCTCAAGTATCTCATCCATGTGGCCATTCCTGACATCCCGGGCTGGGTAGCCGAGGAGATGGCCAAGCTTGAGTACCAACGCCGGGAGGCCTTCAAGGTATTTTCCCAGTGTCAGTTTACCCCACTCCACAGGGTTCCTGCACATCTGGCTGGTGGCAAAGATGGAGCACATCTCAGTGGCTGAGTCCATAGCAGGAGGGCAGATGTGCCGAGCCCAGGGTAATAATTAGCATCAGAGCAGGCCTGGGCCCTTCTTGAATCCCAGTGGCATTCAGCACCAGGCTGGCACTAATGATATTAAGCCATCGGCTAGCTCAACCAGGAACATCCTGTTAAGGACCAGAAACACAGCTGAGGCTTCCTAGAAGCCCAGCCTCTGCCACCTTCCTCAGAGAACTGCAGAGCTGGCCGAGGAGCTCTCCATGATGATCTTGCTGCCCATTCACCCTCTCGCTCCATGGCGAGTAAGTACTTGAAATAGGGCAGAGGCAACTGGGAAATGGAAGTTTTGTTTGATTTTAATTATGTCAGTGGACATTGACAAGGCATGTGTGGCTACTAGCTTCTGGAATGGCCAATGTGGACTCTGGTCTGCACCCATCGTGGTTCTCTTGCTGATTCTCCAGAAACCAGGGGATCTATGGAGGCCCAATATTTGTTTCCATTCTTCCAATTCCTGAGAGTACCTGGCATGCAGCCAGGGACAGAAATGGTGGCAAGTAAACATTCTTTCTCTCAATTCTCAGAAAGTACCGGCATGGGTCCAAGGATGCAGTTGGTGCCCAATAAGTGTTTAGATCTCTCCCCACTTCTACAGAGAGCCCCAGTGTGGATCCAGGGATACAGTTGGCACCCAATAAGGGTTTGGAACTTGCCCCACTTCCAAAGAGGGTACCGGCTCACAGCCTTTTTCCTAGTCCTGTTAATGGCTTTACTCTGCCTACAGAGACATGAGCGCCAGGCCCAGCACCGCTTCCAGCAGCAGCAGCGGCGCCGGCGGGAGGAGGAGGAGCGCCAGCGGCATGCTGAGCATCATGCCCGGCGGGAACGGGATACCAGTGGCCGGGAAGAGTCCAGAGCCGAGGGCTCTGGGCTGGACCCTGCTGCCCCTGAGAAGGCCTCAGCCAAGGCCAAGGGCAGTGGGGCAGGTGGCCATGGGTCAGAGAGGCCCAAGCGCCCAGGGTCCCTGCTGGCACCCAACAACGTCATGAAGCTGAAGCAGATGATCCCACTGCAGGGCAAGTTCCTGTCATCAGGGACTGCTTCCTCGCTAGCTAATGTGGGGACTGGCCCCACCACACGGCCGCCACCTGCCCAGTCGCCCACGGGCAGCGACACTCGCCTGCCAGCCTTCCTCAGCTTCAAGTTCCTCAAGTCACCTGAGACCAGGCGGGACCCTGAGCGCAGCCACTCGCCACCCAAGGCCTTCCACGCTGGCAAGCTCTTCCCCTTCGGTGGGGCCAGAGCTGAGGCCGGGTCCAACGGGGCGGGAGGGCAGGCCCGGCCGGACGGGACCCCTGGCGGTGGCAGCAGCCGGGTTCAGCGGAGTGGGCCGGCAGACGAGGCGGCGGCTGAGGAGCCAGATGCCCCCCGGCCTGAAGAGGAAGGCTCAGGTCATAAGCTTTAACTCGGGGGTGGGGACTCTGGGCTGGGCTTTGGGGATAGGGGTGGGGTGGCCAGGTCTGGGGAGAGGTGCTGATGGGATAAAGACCAGTAAAGGTCTGGTCTTGGTACTGGTTGGGGACCTGGGTGCACGGTACTTGGAGCCTGTGGGTCAAAGTCTACTCAGTGTCTCCAGGACCCTTGAGAGCCTGGAGCCTTGTGCCTGACCCTCCTTACCCCCAGGGAGGGATGCCAAAGCCCCCTGTCCTAGTATTCCACCCAGGGTGTCCCTGCCATGCTCTGGTGCCAGGAGAGATAAGGGAGGCCACCTTGCCACCTGGCCCAGCCTCTCCTGTCCCCATAAGACCCCACACCCAGCTCACTCTGGGGGGACTGAACTCCCCCCAGGCCTCTATGCAAGTCCCTACCCTGCAGCCCAGCTGTTCCAGGAGAGCTTCCCTGGAGTAGGGACTAGGGCTGCTCAACCAGGGAGTTTGGATGCTGGGCCCACATTTGTGCTGAGCAGGGGCCTCACTCCGGCCCTCCTACCCTGCCCTGGGCAAGCTGCCCATCCCTAGGGAGCCCTAGAGGTAGCAGCTGCAGCACCAGGGACGCAGGTTGGAAGTTAGAGGGACTTCCTTGGTGTCCTCCCTGTGATGGGCAGGGGCCCAGGCAGGGGATGCACCTGAAATGCCCACCCATCACTGATCAGAAGCAATAAGGCCCTTGATGTGCCTGGAACTCCAGGAGGGTGCGCGGGGGCAGGGTCCTGAGTGGGTCCGGCAGCGGGGACGGCATCCCCCCGGAACGGCCCCTCTCGCCTCCGCAGGGACAGCACTGGCCCCAGTGGGCGCCCCCACCCTCTGCACCCGCCGTAGCCGGAGCCCCGCGCCACCGCCATCACCAACGCTGCTGCCCAGGCCCCCGACGCCGCCCGCTGGCTGCTGGCAGTGGGATGGGCCATGGGGCTGTGGGGGCGAGGGCGCTGCCCCCCGCCAAGCCCCCACCGATGCTGCCGAGTGCCCGCCTTGTGCCCTGGCTGGGCCCCCGCCTGCCCTTCAGCCCCTGCCAGGGGACGCCAGCTTCTACAGCCTCCCACCCCCAATGCTGCCACCCACCTCCGAGCCCCCTACACCCTCACCCAGCCCTAGCCCCCAGGCTGTGTGCTGGCCTACTGGCTGGCATTAGCCTCCTACCCACTCCAACTGTCACCCCCACACTCTCTGTTCTGCTCTCATATGCAATACTGACAGGGTGGCAGCCACCACCCAGAAAACCTACTTGGGCCCCAGTATTGGTGACCCTATCCTGGGGCGAGGGCCTGGGGGGGCTGCCCCCCATCTGCCGTTTACCTTTTGACCAGGATGGGGGAAACAAAAGGAAACCCAAAAACCCAACAAAATACACAAACACAGAATAGGCGATTATTTATTTGTTTTTAATTTATTTTGTCATATTTTTGTAAAACGGCAGAAATGCAATAAAAAGTATATTTCAACAGTGCCAGAGGATGGAACCGTGGAAGGGGAATCAGGGGGCCTGGGTGACGAGGTTGGCACTGGGGATGCCCCGCCCATTCTGTGACCCTTGGGGGCCTCCTCCTAAGAACTGGGTCTTGAGGCCACAGATGGAAAACTCCAGACTGGCCGCTTCCGAGTTGGCCCAAATTTGGGGGCTGACTTCAGAACTCCTCCCTGGGAAGAGCTGCAGGGCCTCAGGCCCTGCCTTCAGCCTCCTAGACAGAAAGAAATCTCAAAGTACTGAAAGGACTCAGCAGTTTGGGAGCTGGGCCTGGGCCCGAGCCAGGCTCAGCCCTGCAGGAGTGGGGCTCAGTCCTCTTGGCCACAATTGCTGGCATACCCACCGCCAGGGCTGCCATCTAGAACCAGGGGGTAATGGGAAGAGACTGGAGTGTGAAAACTGGAAGGCATCTGGTACCCAGGTCACTGTAGTGAAGATATGGCACCTTCAGGGGTCCCTGGGTGGCATTAGGGAGTGGCCAGGGTGCCCCACTGTGGGTCAGGCCCAAGTCCCTGGCGCTCTGCTGTGTGATCAGGGAAGACATCACCTCATACGTGTCCAACAGGGCCCTGCCCAAAGCTGGAAGAGCCCAGGGAGAGCCATTGTAAGGAAGGGGCACTTTGGGGGGGATGGTGAAAGAGACATCAGGGTTTACTGGAGGCAGGAGAGCAGCCTGTGCAAAGGCACAGAGGTGTGGGAAGGCAGAGTTTGGTGTTTGGGGGAGCAGATGGGGTGGGGGCACCAAAGGCAGAAGTGGGGAGGTCAGCTGAGGGGCCTGCACAGCCGTGGGACCCCCACCAATGCCACAAATAGCAGTGGCAGGAGGTGGAGTCCAACGCCCCAAGGCGAAACTGAGGCACAGAAATACAGATGAGCAGGGTGTGCCTGTTCTGCTCCAGCTCTGCCTCCTGGCCTTTAAAGCTGAGGTCCCACCTATTCAGTCACTAACAAAGGGACTAACCACCTGCCCACCCAGGTAACCAGATCGGCCCTGGGACTAGGAACTCCATGCCCAAGCGAGGAACTGCCCAGAGCTAGAAGGCAAAGCCCCCCCTGTACAGCCAGGCAACCAGCCCTGGAACCTTCCACCTGGGAGGTGACGGGCACCCCTCCAAGGCCTGATGTGTCCTCTAGTTACATGGTCCAACACTTCACCATTCAAAGCCCTGGCACTCAGCTCCGACCCCTAGGCCCCACTTGGGACCAGTGAGGCGGGTAGTGATCTTCCCCTACGGCCCTGAACCCACTGCCCAGAACCCAAACACCCTCTAGGGCCCTGAGCTCAGCTCCAAACCCACCCCAGCTGGAAGCCCTCATGGTCGTGGAACGCGCAGAACTAACATCACCCAGGCATCCATGTGCCTGCTCTCTGAGCCTGAGGCTGTCTCCACTGCGGCTGGCAGGTATCCCGGGAGTGCAGTCCACCACAGTTCCACCCCGGGCAGCTTGACTGTCTCTTGGGGACATCCTGATCCTCAGGGACACCTTGACAGGTGAAGCAGGGGGCGGCTCCAGACAGGTGTCAGCTCTGAGTGAAGCAATCACAGCAGGCCCATGAGAGAATCCAGCTGGTCCCAGGGCCCCAGTGCATGGGGTTCCCTCTTGGCTCCTCTTGGTGATGATGGGATGACTCTCAGGGGCTCCGTCCTCTGGGGCTGAGGCACGCGGAGCAAAGACGCAAGGTCAAGTAGGAAAGACCCTTTTATTGGGGTGGACATGGAGCACGCACTAGTCCATGATAAAATGACAGGAGAAAGATCCAGAAGGGCTGACTTCGCCTTGCACACGCTCAGAGCAGGATCTGAGCACGGAATAGGTTCCAGTGGAACTTGAGAGACAAGGCCAAGTCTTAAAAGCCCGGACGAGCAGGTGGGAATCGGGAAAAGGGCCCCCACACTGTCACCTGATGCAGCAGGCCTGGCTCTAGACCCTCACAGACCCGCTCTGGTGTCTGGAGAAGTGGGGAGAAGAGGGAACGGGATGGAGGGAATAACAATGTTTAAAAAGCATCTACCAATATCACACTACTGTGTCTGACGGCCCCTTTAACCATCACTTGGTACATTTACAGCATAAATAAAAACTCAAGGAAAATAAATACATTGGCTCCTATGAGGTTGGAAGTGGTGTGGGCAAGGCAGGGTGCGGGCAGGGAGCGCTTACACACACGGTGGGAGGGGAGCACAGAAGACAAGAGGCGCCTGTGGGGGAGTGTGAGTCTTAAGTGTCCTCGTGCATGTCTGGGCTATCGGTCCGAGCCACCTTGCGGGGGGGCGCAGAGCTCTCACCCTCGAGGTCCACTTGTTCCTGGTCTCTCTTCTTGGCGGCATTCTGGGGAACAGGAAAGGGAGAGCTCTAAGTCTCTGATGGCCAAAGAGTCAGAGAGAGGGGCCTTGGAACCCTGGTTGGGCAGCCCCTCTGGTACCCAGACCTGTCCAGATCCCTGAGGCCACTGGTGTGCAAGGAGTCACCACCCTGGCACGGACCCATACATGTCTGTTTCACAGCAGAGGGCAAAGTGTGCGTTCCCAAGCCGGGAAGCCTACAGGTAGCCACAAAAAAGGAAAAGTGGGTGGTCTGGGAAGATCTTTCCCTGCTGGTAAGAATGAAAGCATGAGGGGCTAGGGAGGGGGACAGGGTAAGCCAGGCAGCTCACACTGTCTGAGCTATCACTTTATCATGGGGCCCCTCCAACCTCACCCAGGGCAGGTAACCATTCGATGGTCAATGTTAGAAGCAAAAAATCTAACCTTGCTGTACAACACAATTGCTCATTAAAAATTTTATGAGGGGCCTCCCCGGTGGTGCAGGGGTTAGTCTCAGTACTATCAAGGTATCACCAGCTACTGCAGTGAGTCTGATCCCCGCCAGGGAGCTAACCCACATGGCACAGCAGACCTCTCCTGTCTCACCCACTGCTCCCCTCAGCAGTGTATTTCAGTAGATCTGCCTGTTCTGCTCCCCACTCAGTCTCTGGTGAATCCTCTCACCCCCGCCCCCCACCTTTGGCCTCCACCCCAGTTCTTGTATGCATACATAAATTAAAAAATAAATCTTTTTTAAATATTTCATTAAAGGAAAAGAAAACACAGTGCATATTAGGAAGGTAGTCTCTGGGAGGGGAAAGGGAAGATTAATTTTACAGTAACTACAGCCACTTCTATTGCCTGGGTTTTTGGTTTTTTTTTTTTAAATGAGATTTTTATTTATTATTTATTTATTTTTAAAAGGTTTATTTATTTATACAAGAACCGGGATACAGGCCAGATGTGCAGGAGGGTGAGCAGATTTACCAGAGACAGAGCCGGGAACAGAACAGGCAGACTGACGAAATACACTGCTGAGGGCAGCAGCGGGCGACACAGGAGAGGTCTGCTGCGCCATGTGGGTTTCTCCCTCGCCGGCCAGGATCGAACCCACGCTGCAGAGGCTGCAGACAGCTTCACATTGTGGCGCTCAACTGCCTGCGCCACCGGGGAGGCCCTGCCTGGGTTTTTATCATGTATACATTTTGCCATTAAAACAGATAATCTAGATAATAACATGAAAGCCTACCAGTCCCTAAGGCCATGCTGGCTACATGTTCTCTCCTCTGGAATGCTCGTCCCTCTACTGGATCATCTGGCGAACTCCTATTCAGCCCTCAAAGCCCCACTTAAAACACTGTTCTCACAGTCACCTATGTCCTTGCCCCAATGAGAGCCCTTCTTCTTGGTACTGTAACCCCTCTATTCCCAGAAACTGAACCCTTCATGCCTTACCTTTTTGTCCCATTGCTGATGTAGGTAACGCAAAAGGATGTTTGTCTTTTCTGTCACGATGACTGAAGAGGAAAGACAGAAAGTCGCTGAAGAGGAAAGACAGGAAGAGGCTACAGGAGACCCTGCCCCCATCCTGGCCTGCGATGCCTCTTTTAGGATAGGTTTTCACCCCTCCCTGGCATCCTGACCTGGATTAAGCTTTGAGTGGTCTTTCTGGGACTTCCAGTCTGTACCCTAACCCAGAAGAAGGCCTCAGGAAGCCCATGTTTTTGCATTCCTGAGGTCACAGCCACTACTAGGCCACAAGCCAGCACTCCACTAGGTCCTCACTTCCCAAGGAGAGGCGGAATCCTCTATCCTGTGAGGAATTCTTGCCACAGGCGGAACACCCCCGAATAGGTCCAGGCTAACTGGGGGCACAAATCCACACAGCCACAAGACAGGAACCACACAACCCAGCCAGGACACAGGGTGGCGGGATCTTTCTCAAGTTAAAATAAAACACCTCAACCACTGGAAATAACCTCAGAGTCCTTCTGCTCTGTAAGCTCCAGGCCTTTCTGTGAACCCTGGCACCTGGTTGCCTACTCCCAGCAGCTGCCCACCAAAGTCCATGGCACTCATCATGGACCCTGTGATGTGCCAGCAGGGGATGTATGACCTGATGGGAAGTGTGGGGCAGAGGGCTGGTGAGTGGCAGGCGTGGGGCTGGATGTGGAGAGCAAAAGGACACTGGTGGTCAGCTGCCCGCTGCTCCCAGGGACACGGGGTGGGCCAGGGCTCTTTGGGTTACCTCCCACACCGTACCGTGGCCCTCCCCTCAGCAGCCAAGCTGGAGCTGAGAGTCCACTTACTCTGTTCAGACGGGTATTCCCGCGTGGGCAGGTAGACTGAGGGACGTCGGTTCTGCAGGAGGGTCCAGAAGGTGTAGGTTAGGGACACACCTGAACCCCTTTACTTGGCACCCGCCCCACAACACAGCGCAAACCATCACCATGCAACATGGGGCTGGACCCTGTTCCTTTTTATACCCCAATTGGGAGGTGAGCATCACCACCAGCCCACCCCCATTACTCCCCAACCCGCAGAACACCCACTCACCGAGGCTTTACACACAGAGTCTGCATGAAATCGACTAAAATTGCTTTTGTTGTAGACGGGCAGTCCTTTCAAAAAATCTGCCTAGAAGACAGGGAAGATGGTGAATGAGAAACTGGTCAGCCCACTGGGTCTAGGCTAGGCCTCCAGGTGACTTCAGGATTCATCTTTTCTGTTCTTATTGTTCCAGTTGTGTTGAATGCACCCTACAGCCGGCTACCTGATTTGTACACTCATGACGAGAGAGCACAGCCAATCTCGGGAAAACACACCTTCTCCGCAGGACCCTCACGACAGCACCATAATCAGGCAACAGGTAAGAAAACTGAGGTCCAGAGAGAATGGGCTTCTTGTTTAGTCAAGAGCAAAAGCAAAGCAGAGATCAGACTTAGGTCTCCCAACAGCAGGACTATCTTTTGTGCCAGCAGACATATTAATCTCCTGGTTTCATTTCCATTTATTCACTTCGATAGAGACCAGGGATGGAAAAGTCTTCTACCCTAGGCATCCCCCCCAGACCAGAGTAACAACAAACAGGATAGGGGAGCGGAGGGCTGGATGCAGGGGAGAGGGAGGATGCTACTCCAGGGAGGCAGCAACAGAATTCACAGCCCCACCCTTCAAAGAAAGCTCTGGAGGGGAGACCCTGACTGTGGGTAGGAGGCAAGTCTCAGCAATAAGACATGGGAATAAAAGCCCAAGAGAGCTAAGAAACTGAGGTCCAAGGTCCTGGGATGCTCAGGAAGGAAGGATGGCCAAGAACTAGGAGCAGGGAGTGACCTCCCAGGAGAGCAGGTAGGAGAGTGACTCTGTAGTCAGAACTGGGGTGGGACAGCCAAGAGAGGCATGGCCAGTGCAGGGTTCCTGTTTGCCCCGCCCTAGGCAGAAGTTTCCAGAGCTATTGTCACCGAATCATCATCAACACAGGGCTACTAAGTCACATGGCACTTGTCTGAGGTCACTGGGCCCTAAAAGAAAATGAGGAAGTCAATTTGAACCTGCATTCACCCAATCTGAGAGGTCAAGCTCCTTCTATTATAAGACATACCAGTGTCTGTTTTCCCAAGGCTCCAAACCTCTGCAGGTTATACCCTTCCCTTGATGGTTAGTACCCATGTCTAAATCCAGCACTGGACCATATCACTTTCTGGGGCAGGTGTCCCCACTTCTGTAAGCTGTGAAGACTGAAGGTCAGGTCAGCCAGGGAGTCTGGAATGTGAAGTGTCTCCTACTCCTACTCAGGTGACCTTCAAATTCAGGTGACTTCAAAGCCCAGTTCAAAGCCCCTCGAATCTGCCTCCCCCATCCCAGGACCTCTGTCCTAACTCCACTGCAGACTACCCATCCAACAAGGTCTTCTCAGGCCCTTACACTGTGACAGGCCCCAAGCCAGGCACCAGGGCACTGGGGAGTCACAACAGAGCTGCTCTTGGCCCTGGGAGGCCTAGAATGCAGAGAACATGAGTGTGGATCAGAAGCTGCAAAGTGAATGCAAAGAGGTCATGAGGACAGAGTGCCATGAGGGGCTTTGTGAGGCCCAGGATAGTAGGGGGGAAAAGTCAGGCTGGTTTGAGGATCAGATAAGGCACCCAAAAGCAGTGATGCAGGTACTCAGATCTGAAGAGTAAGGAGGGATCTGGTCTCTGCTCAAACCCTACCATGTTCCTGGTTCCGTCAACACCCCCCAACCCCACTCTAGCCACACACTCCTTGACCTGTGCTATGGCACCCTCCAGGAATGCCCCTCAACTTTCTATGCTGGAAACACCCAACAATCTCTTCACACCTGGCACCTTCCCTTTCCCCATACTTTTGGAGCCTCTGCTCACATGTGGAAGAGATCATTTGTTTTACACATCCACCTCCCTGCTAGACTGGCACCTCTCTGAGGGCAGATGGCAGGAGCAGGCTGATTCAACACTGGGCCCTGTGTGACGAGGCACCAGAGTGGGGAGAAATACACTCAATCTTGACTGGTGACCTCCCATCCCTGCCACCTTACAGTGAACTGGGATTACAAGAGGGACCCCCCCTGCCAAGTTAGTTTTAGTCTCAATAACACAGGGAAGGAGCATCTCAAGGAGCCCCCTTGAGGGCAATTGTCAGCATCAATGAAATTTGTGCCAAACAAATGAAACAAGGCTCAGATACAGGAGAAATCCTCATCTCAGTTAGACAAACCCTAGCAACAGCGGGGCCCAAAAGCTGTTGACTCTATCAGGGATGTCACGGGACATCCCTGTGCCAGTCCTGTGCTGGTAGCCCACCACAGACCCAACTACAGTGAGATGAGGAAAAGAAAAGTACTAAGAGAGGGGAGAAGCAAGGGCATCCCAAATCAGGATGGCGTTGTTCACAGGAGGAACAGTATTCCAGAAGGAACAGCAGGTATAATGGTTCTGGGGTAGCAGGGATTTGGAGTGTGATCACATTAAAACAAGGCCCATGTGGCTGGAGCTCACAGAGGGAGAAGCAAAGAGGCTGGATATGAAGTCACAGAGGGGCAGGGACTTAAGAGGTTAAGGGGGTAGTTGGGGTTTCAGCTAAGTTAAAGATGACCATGGAGTGTTTTATATTCTAGAAAGTGGTGTAATCTTATTTGCATCTTTAAAAGCTCGCTCTGGTTCCAAAATTATAAGTGGGGAGAGGAGGAGCAGGTGGAAGGATGGGGATTAAGATAGAGGCAAGGAAACCAGTGAGGAGGTTGGGGCAGGTATCTGGGGGAAGGTGTTAGTGCCTGGCCATGATGGGGAGCCACAGACAGATTGACACTGTTTTGGAAGCAAAGCCAACAGAACCCTTCTATGGACAGGGTGTGCACAATGGGCTGCACTGAGGAATCAAGGAGATAACACCCAGGTGTGGACACCCACATGTCAGGAACCCATTTTCCCATTTCCTTCCAGATAGGAAGTCTCTTTAGCCAATTCCCCACCACATCCATAGTTGGGAACCTGGGATAAGGAACCAAGGGGCTTTCTGACTTGCTTAAACCAAACTCCATCACCCCTGAGAGCCCTGGGGATGCTAAATAGTGAGGAACGGGGAAGGGCTTCTGCCCTACTCAGAGGCTGGGCCACCATGGCATTCTACAGGTGGTGAGAAGAACTCCAATGAACAAGACTCAAATCCCAGTATGATCTAGCTCACGAAAAGGGTCTTTAACTTCCCAACAACCAGTTGACATTATCCCCATTTCTAGATGAGGAAATGGCTGGAAAAGGATATCAGGGGTCTGAGTCGCCAGCTCATCGGTTGAGTATTCACAGTCCTTCACCATCGCAGATCCCTAAACTGTCATTAGTCTGTAAGGTCTGGACCACTGTTACCTCCATTTAACAGGACAGAACCTGGTCTTCGGTGATGGAGTTGCTTCCTCTTAGGGGCAGCTCAAGACGGCGATGTTGGGGTCAGGGATCTGGGCCACTGGGTCAGTCCGCGATGTCGCACTTCTTTTGGTCACAAAGCCCCGCAAGTGTGGATGTCAAGCCCCCTTCCCCGTCCCCACACCCATACCGGTCGCCCAAACCCTCTCAAACCCTCCTGAACTGGACAGATCCAGGTCCGGGATGCTCAGGAAGAGACTTGAAACTGGGGGCCTCAGGGGACCCCAACCCCACCACCCCAGGCGATTTCCGGGAGAGCAGAGACCCGGAAATGAATGACTAGTCAGGGCCTGGAAGCCAGGAAGGGGTTAGGGGTGGGAAATGGAGGAGGGGCGGAGTAAGCAGGAAGCTCACAGCAGGGTCCCCCGGGTCGAAGGTCACAGGTCACAGCGAGGGGCGGGGCCGAAGCTGAGGGGGCCGGGCAGAGAGGTGAGGGGCCTCGGGGATTACTGAAGGTGGGTGGGCCCGCGGCGCCATTTTGTGGAGCGGAAAGGGAGCACGGGCCTCGCGGCCGCTCTCACCATCTTCTGTTTCCTCCGTCGCCGCCTCAGCCGCCTCCTCAGCCGCCGCCGCCGCCACCACAGCCGCCTTCTTAGCCGCCGCCGCCGCACAGTAACTTCCAGCCACGACACAGCCTACACTGATGATGCCGTCGCCCTGCCGTCATTGGCCCACCCTCTAGCCCCGCCCCCAAGATGCGTTTCCTCTGCGCGCTCCCACTGGCCAGATCAGGCTAAAATACATGCCCATTGGTCCCCACGCCGCCTCCCCTCGTGGTCAAGTTCGGTTGAGAGCGCAAACCCCGCCCGGGAGTTGGAAGCGAAGGGCTGCGAAATCCGGAAGTAGGCGGAGGCCGCGCCCCTGAAGCCTCTTGGGAGTTGTAGTTCACAACTTCGGGAATTAGGCTGGTTTCTTTCTAGATGCTGCTACCTTTTTCATACTATGTCTCATGGGAGTCTCACGGCAACCAAGAAGACCGGTACCCACCATAACACCACCAGCCTCCTCCCCGGGATTTCAACCTTAGGTTTGGTGGTATCTAAACCATTGTCGCACAAGCTGCTTGAAAATCTTTGTAAGAACAACTCAAATTCTCTTATTCAAATCCCTCCTACCGGGGCCTCCCTGGTGGCGCAGGGGTTAAAGACACATTGCCAACCACAGCAGCACAAGTTCGATCCCCAGCCGGCCAGGGAGCAACCCACATGGCGCAGCAGACAGGTCTCGCTAGCTGCTCCCCTCAGCAGTGTATTTCAGTACATCTGCCTGTTCTGCTCCCCACTCTATCTGGTGAATCCTCTTACCCCTTGCACTTCTGGTCTACACCCCAGTTCTTATATGCATAAATAAGTAAGTCTTTTTTAAAAAAAAAATCCCTCCTGTGGCTCCCCACTGCCCCAAGTTTCCAGTCTCAGCTCCTAGACCCCAAATTCTGGGCTTCTGCGGCTTCCCTCACTCAACTTTTATGGGGACTCCTGTCCAATCCCTTCTCCCTTTGGGCCCTCCCAGACTCTGCCACCGCCTTTAAGAAGCATTCCCTGACTGCATTCTTTCCAAGAGCAAGTCAGTTGCCTCCTCTGGATTCCCACAGCCCTCACAGCCCATCTGCCATCCAGACTTCACTAAGTTGATAATGCCTAGGCACAAATTCAGTCTCCGTTCTCAACACACCACATCAGCAGGCCTTCCAGGGCAAGGGCCAGGCACCCAGTGTTCAGAAAGCATTCAATGCATTAATAGGTAGAAAGCTACTAAGTATTATTACTCCAGAGACAACAAAGCATTGGAGAAATAAGCATCACATTTCATAGTAGCCTGAGTCTCAGATAGCTAAGGCCTTACTCTAGTTCACACAGTCCATCCCCAAAGGGAAAGTGAAAATTCAAACCCTCCCTCATCTCTGCAAGCTTTCCCAGGCCTATGGAAGTTATGACATATATGACAAGTGGAAATAAGGACATTTATTAGATATTTAAAGGTATTAGAAAATTTATGGGGGGGCGGTGAAAAGTTTTGTGGTTCTATTTCTAAAAGTCTTTATCTTGGATAATACATTCTAAATAACACCGTGTCTGAGATTTGCTTCAAAATAACACAGGTGGCAGGAGTTGAGGGTAACTGGAGATCAGAACTGTGCACTGATACACAGGAATTCATTGTGCTAGTCTGTGGATTGTTGCGTATGCACGAGTTTCTTCCTAAAAAGGGAACTAGCAAAATCTGTCTTTGCACTCCCCCTTCCAGTCCAACTCCAGATTTCTCCCCCTAGGCTAGCCCCCAAATTTGAGTAACACTTTTGTCTGAGTAGTCCTGCTCCACAGGGCTTCCCTCCTCTATCCCTCCCCAACACACACAAAACAGCAGCAGTTAAGTCTGAAGCGAGGGAAATGTTCTAACGGGCATCCTGACGGCGGCCTGGCGTTCCTCAGTGGCTCAGCGACTTTCGGCCCTTCAGCATGCGGCGAAGGATCACCTGAACACCTGCCGGCGTGCTCAAACGCCGGATCCAGCCATGCTTGTGTTTGCGTTTGATGTTGCTCGGCTGATACTCGTTCCCGCGCGCTTTGCCCCGGTTCTGCTGTACGACGGGGAGATCCCGGGGATCAGGGAGTCCCATCCGGCCCCAGGGTTGCAGCCACCTGCGGGGGAAGAGAGAAGTCAGAGAAAAGTCGGAGGTGGCGCTGTGTGGCGCCCAACCTCTCGGAGTCTTAGCTTCCCGATCCTTGTCGCGACAAACCCTGAATCCAAAAGGCGCTCCACAAGTGCACAAGTAGTCACGAGGTGGGGAAACAGCTGGCGCGAGCCCTGACGCAGCCCTTATTCCCAAATTTGAAGAAGTCCCCCTGTGGACTCACCTGCCACCCAGAAGCGCTGCCGACCTACTGACGGGTCTCAACAGACAACCCAAGGAGCCGGTCAAAGGTGCCATGTCCAGCCGTGGGTCACGCCGTCCCCGCGCCAGCTCTAACGCAGCCCATAGTTTCCGCAGTGGCGGAATGCAGACTTCTGGGAAATGTAGTATCCCTTGGAGCGCCGTGCTCATTGGCGCGGAGGCCTCCGGAAATTGTAGTTCTACATTTGCGCACCATAGGTGTGAGAGTTCTTGCCTATAAGGCGTGTAGTTCTTCGCGTTAACCAGCAAGTGGCAGGCGAGAGCTGGATCTTCAGAATGCGCATGCGTACAATACATTAGATCCCGGGGTCGGTTGGGTATTGTGGTCCCTCCTATCGCCCAGCGTAGGGTGCCGTGGGGCGGCTGTGGTGCACCTGGAGGCAACCGCAGGAAACGTCTGGTTGATCCTCCCACTCCCCTAGCGGGAGTCGGGCAGATGGCACACAGCTGGCTGGCAGCTTTTCCTAGGTCCCAGCCAAGTCCCCGCCCCTTGGCGGGGATCCCCGGAGTTCCGAGTTCGAATTAACTGGACGTCCTTGGGGTGGTCCCTGCTCTCTCCCGGATTTAGTTTCTGAATTTGTAAAACTCGTGGGTTGCAAACTTGGCGCTTAGCTTGCCACCACTCGAGTTCTGGAAGAATTTTTCTAATACTCAAATCTAAGCACCGTCCCTCTAACACACCATCTATGACTCCCATTGCCTCAGGGAAAATACCCAGCTCTCCAGCAAGCATGCGAAAACACACACACACACACACACACACACACACACTCCTCTTCTAGGTGTTTCCCTATTGATCTTTTTAAAATCCTCTTAAAATACCGTCCTCTCCCCCAAACTTGTCCCACCCTCTGGTTCAACATAGTCCTGTCCTAGTAGCTGGCTCTCTCCCTAGACTCCTCAAGCCCAGGGGACCCTAAAGGACCAGGCCAGGGGCTAAGTCCCAGCAGACAACCCAGCATCTTCCAGCAGGAAAGGCCCAGAGAGGGGGGAAGGGTGTTTGCTGCATATATAAACTGTAATCTCACAGGACCGCCCTGAGCAGGCAAGAGTGGGTGGCTGGATCTAATCCAGCTATAGCAGCAAATTCCAAGGGATAGAAGTGGGCAAATACTTGTTTAACCCCCCAGTGCTTAAAGCCCATTCCACCTGCACTATCATCTAGCAAATCACTACAATACTACACCAATACAAAAAAAAAAAAGCCAATAATGTATCAGCATTTATGGTGCTGTTTTACCTGCATGGCAAATTCATGAGGGATTTATTTCATAGAGAAATAAATAGAGTCTTGGGAAAGTGACTTGTCCAAGGTCACAGATCAGCAGAGGGTAGATACTGGCTTTGAATGTTGGTTCCCTGAGGCTGGGACCAGAGTCACCAGCTACACGGCCCCATCTGTGTAAAAACTACAATTCCCTAATTACTCATAGCTCCAAGACTTCTATTTAAAGGTTTAACAAACCTTTTCCTGTTTCCAGGACTGGGAATCACGCAGCACACAGCCCTGCTTTACCTGTGCCGCCTGCCCTCCCCCGAGTGTTTGCCTTGTAACCTTATTCCCTTTATGCACCTCAGTTCTCCGCTTTAATTTGGAAAGCTCTGGGAGTCTCTAGAACCGAAATGTCAGCATAGAGAGCGGGCAAATGGGGACTCCATTTGGAGGGGACAGAGAAGTTCGGAGGCGCGGGCTAGCTGAGGAAATCCTATTCGCAGTGAGGAAGCTTCAGGTGCCGCATCTCCCCACCCCCACGACCCCACGTCCCCAACCCCAGCTAGAGCACAGCAAAACCCAGGTAGCGACCCCATCTTGGCCCAGAGCCACGCCAGATGCCCCAGCCACCTCCAACAGCCCTTAAAGTGGGCAGGGCCGTTGCTTCCAGAGCCCGCCCCCATCCCAGAGTTGCTACCTCTGATAGGCAGTTTAACTAGGCCAGGTGTGTCCCCATCTGCGATTGGGTGAGACGCCCGTCAGTCGGTAAGTCTCCCCGCCACCCCCCCGGGCACAGCCTTAAAGGGCCGAAGAGCTCTGCGGCCACAGGATGCCCCCGCGCTGACCACCCAGGGTTCGCGCTGCCCGCGTGGACGTTCCCGGCTCGATCCCGCGCCACCATGTAAACGGCACCCGCAGGCGGACGCTGGCTACTCCGCCCCGGACCCCTCCGCCCTTCCCCGGGCCTCCGGGCCCTAGATGAGGTGAGCGGAGAGCGGGCGCTGAGAGGAGGATAGCGAGGCCCCCAGGTCTTCCTCTTCCAGGGGGGCCGTTCACAAAGCCTGCATTCGGGCTCATATGAAACCGCGAAGCCCCAGTGGACTCGACCTGGTCACGGGGCCGACGGGTACCAAGGAGGTGGGGGCCTGGCTCTGGAGGGCGAGGCTGACGTGGCGCATCTGCGCCCCCTCCGCAATTTGGGGTTGGGACCTTGCCGGAGGGGGTGGGGGGCGCGGCCTGCTCCCTCTGCATCAGCAAATACAAGGCTACTACAAGCCCGGCCTTCGGCGTGCGTTATCCCCGCGGCGCCCAGGATGGGGAGGGGGAAAGGTCCCATCTTCAAGCCCTGGACAATGGGGGTGCGATGCGCTGGTATCCCCCTTGAGTTATGTAACTGCCTGCCGTTGCCATGGACACCAAGGGGGATGGCCCAGGGAGCAGGATGGAGGCCTGGAGGTCCCCAGTCAGGGCTTTACCTTCTCCATCCTCATCTCCACCATTGGGAATTGTTTGACATCCCCCTCACAACCTCCCTCCCTCCACTGGCAACCCAGGGTACTGACCAGGGGAGACAGAGAACAGCTTCCTGCCAGTATCTGGGCCTTAGCTTGAGCCCATGGTGGTTGTAGAGAATAAGGCAAGGCCTTCTGGAGCTTAGAGCTTGGAGCTCAGTCCCAAATTCCCTCTCCCAGGCTTCAGAGGCTTGGGGTATGGGCTTACTGGGTTCCATATCTTTTTAGATGCCTTCAGGGGCCCTCAGGACAATCTAGTGAGTTAATGAAAGAGTGCATAACTAACTGGGCATAGGAAGGCATGCTGATATAAAGCCCAGCTGGTGGATCCTCAGAGCTGGACCACCTTTGCCATAAAATCCCCTTCCAGGAAGTCTCCCCTGACTCCACCACTTTCCCTATGGATACATCTTGGGGTCAGCCAAATCCAGGTCCTTCCCTCTGGAATAGACTAGGATCACACAAGAGGATAGCTGACCACCACAGCAAGCACTAACCAAAACATTTGGTGCTTGGTTGATTCTGGCCCTCCCTAAACTAGAGCCTTGAAGGGTGACTCACCTGATCCAGGAGTGGGGCAGTGGGTGCTAATGGAGGTAGATGGCTTCCCATTAAACTGACCACAGCCTCTATTCACAGGACACACCATGCTGACTGGGGTGACTGATGGGATCTTCTGCTGTTTGCTGGGTGCACCACCCAACACAGTGGGGCCCCTGGAGAACATCGAGTCCCGCGATGGCTACACTTTTGTGGAAGTCAAGCCTGGCAGAGTGTTGCGAGTAAAGCATGCGGGACCCTCCCCAGCACCCACTCCTCCTCCACCACTGCCTGAGGCTGCGCAGGGGGACCTATCCGGCTTGGTCCACTGCCAGCGCCGGATCACCGTGTACCGAAATGGGCGGTTACTGGTAGAGAACCTGGGCCGGGCCCCAAGGGCTGACCTCCTGCATGGGCAGAACGGCTCTGGGGAGCCGCCGGCCGCTCTAGAGGTAGAGCTGGCTGACCCAGCAGGCAGCGATGGGCGCTCAGGCCCCGGTGGCACCAGCAGTGGGAGCAATGGTCGGCGACGGAGAGGTCGGCGCCCCAGGCGGATCATCCACATTGACTGTGAGAAGCGCATCACCAGCTGCAAGGGTGCCCAGGCTGACGTTGTGCTCTTTTTCATTCATGGCGTTGGAGGCTCCCTGGCCATCTGGAAGGAGCAGCTGGACTTCTTTGTGCGTCTGGGATACGAGGTGGTGGCACCCGATCTGGCTGGCCACGGGGCCAGTTCAGCGCCTCAGGTGGCCGCAGCCTACACCTTCTATGCACTGGCCGAGGACATGCGCGCCATCTTCAAGCGCTATGCCAAGAAGCGAAACGTGCTGATTGGGCATTCCTATGGGTGAGCCCTCGCAGGGTGGGGGAGTAGGGAGTGGCGGTGAGGGGTGGAGTTGGGAGTGAGGGTGGAGGCGAGGGTTGGGGTGAACCGGGCCTGGCAGGGACTAGACACTTAAGTCATAATAGGCTGATATGCTCCTTAAAAGATTCCATTAACAAAGTGAACGAACAAGTAAAACAAAAGCAAAAACCCTTAGATTCTGACAACAGCATGGTGGTTACCAGAGGGGAAGGAGGATGGTGGGGTTGGACCCAATAAAGGGGGTCCAATTGGATGGTGGGGATGGAAACTACACCTTGCTCTTGGTTGTGGTGCTACACACAGGTGAGATGGAGGTTTGAAACTATACCAGAAACACTATAGTATTGTAAACTAGTGTTACCTCAATTTTAAAAAGAACCCCATTAACATCTGTAACAAAACAAGGATTCCTGCCACCACTACTGTTGTTTCACATTAATTTTTTTAAGTGTATTCACAGGAGATTTAATTCCTTTTTTTTTAATTCTTTTTTTAAAGGTTTATTTATTTATACAAGAACTGGGGTACAGCCAGAAGCGCGGGAGGGTGAGAGAATTCACCAGAGACAGAGCGGGGAGCAGAACAGGCAGACGGACCGAAGACACTGCTGAGGGGAGCAGCGGGTGAGGCAGGAAAGGTCTGCCGCGCCATGTGGGTTTCTCCCCGGGCGGCCAGGAATTGAACCCTCACTGCAGAGGCTGCAGACAGCTTCACAGCAAGCGCTCAACCTGCTGCGCCACCAGGGAGGCCCTGTTTCACATTAATTTTAAAGCAATCATTTCTCAATCCCTTATTATTGTCATTTGAGTCAGGTGATTCTTTTCTGTGAGTGTGTACTGCAGGACATTTAACGTGTCCCTGGCCTCTACCTACTAGATGATCATGACAATGAGAATGTCTTCAGACTTGCCAAAGGTGCCCTCATAGGAAGATCAGCCCTGGCTGAGAAACACTGTCTTGAACTTAAGTTCAAAAATTAGTTGCTCTGGAGAGCCAAGGACTCCAGGGAAGGACTAAGTGAATCTAAGTTTTGTTTATGAGGGCATAGATTGCTATAATTCACTCTCCCTGGAAGGGGGTGATACCACTAGCATTTACTAAAGCCATGGAAGGCTTTGGGACTGGGTGCCTAGTTATCACCAAGGGGTACAATTCCCACTTTTACCCAGGAGGAAAGACATAAGCCAGTCATCCCACCAGAGTGAGAATCACTGTTTTCACAGTTGTAATCCATGCAATTAGACACCCAAAGGGAATGTTACATGCTCCTGGAATATGTTTATAGTACAACATTCCAAAATGTGCATGCTTATGATAAGTGATTATTCCAATGAAAGGAGTACCCATCTGTGGCAGTTCCTGTGAGCTCACAACAATCCTCTGAAGTCAGCACAATTACTATTTCATGAACATGAAGAAGGAAGCTCAGAGAGGTTAAGTAACTTGCCTGAGGGCACAGAGTCATTAGCACAGTCAGATCTATCTCACCCCTACCTGTATCCTGTCATCCCCCTTTACAGCAGGGGTTGGCAAACTTTTTCTTAAAACATCTGATTGTATACAAGAGCTGGGGTACAGGCCAGAGATGGGGGGAGGGATGAGAGAAGTCACCAGAGACAGAGTGGGGAACAGAACAGGCTGACTGAAATACACTGCTGAGGAAGCAGCAGGTGAGACAGGAGAGATCTGCCTTGCCAGTATGCATAAATAAATAAATCTTTAAAAACAAAAACATCCGATTGTATCTCTAGGTTTGCCAGCCATTAGGTCTGTGTTGGAACTTTCATAGCAGGAAAGCAGTCATAATTGTAAACAAATGGGTGTGGGTATGTTCCAATAAAACTATTTACAAAACATTTTACTAATTTACAAAACTGTAAACTTAATTTACTAAAAGCAGTGGCTGGTCACAGGCCACAGGTCTGCTAAAGGGACACTGCTTTGGAGGAAATGAGGAACTAGATTATGGGGGCTGCCGAAAGGCCCAGAGGCCAGTGAGAAAGAAGATTAAAGGGAAGGTATGGCAGGAAATAGTCACTTTCTCTGGCAAGCTGAAGGGTTTGTTTAATCTGATTGCTTTCTAACACTTGGAAATATTAATTCTTACCCCTTTGAGGGGTTGTGATGACTTAGGGTATCTGATGAAAGTTCTAGATTTTGATCCTGTCTCCAAAAAATAATCTTCCCTTGACATACAACCAATCTCACAATTTGGTGGCATGTGAGAACCCTCCACCCCACCCCATTGGGTACCATTTGACCTCAGGGGAAGAATCTTGGCTTTCAAGGACCTGCCTCTGGGGTGAGGGGAGAGCATTAACCCCCTCAGCGGCAGGATCCTGCTGATCACCACCCTCCAACCCTCCCTACCACCCCACCACTGGGCAGTGTCTCCTTCTGCACGTTCCTGGCACATGAATACCCGGACCTGGTGCACAAAGTGATCATGATCAATGGCGGGGGTCCCACTGCACTGGAGCCCAGCTTCTGCTCCATCTTCAACATGCCTACATGCATCCTGCACTGCCTGTCGCCCTGCTTGGCTTGGAGCTTCCTAAAGTGAGTGACCTGGAAGACCCAGATATCTCCTAGGATTGTGGGTGGGGGGAGGCAGCATGGTATGGGCAGCAGCCTTGTGGTCCTGCTTGCACAAGGGCCTCAGTGGTGCCTCCTCTTCATTAGGGCTGGCTTTGCCCGCCAAGGGGCCAAAGAGAAGCAGTTACTGAAAGAAGGCAACGCATTCAATGTATCCTCCTTCGTGCTGCGGGCCATGATGAGTGGTCAGTACTGGCCTGAGGGTGACGAGGTCTACCATGCTGAGCTCACTGTGCCCGTCCTGCTTGTCCACGGCATGCATGACAAATTTGTGCCAGTGGAGGAAGACCAGCGCATGGCTGAGGTAAGGGTGTGGCACCGCAGCCACTGAAACCCTGAATCACCCTCGCTTAGCAGTGGAACTGTGCCTTAGGCTCTAGCCCCAGTGAATTGGAAGCTCAGATCAAGAGTCAAAGGTGGAATTGAGAAAATGGGTCTGCCCTGGACAGGTGTTAAGGTTATACACTGTCCCCTCTACACATAAAAAGGTGCTCTTTACAGTTGGGATTTGTGTCAGTGATCACTGACAAGCTACATAATGCTGGGATGGGGAAGACAAGGGACTCTTTAGGTCATAGACTCTCTTGATAGGTTCCTTCATATTTGGAAAAGTTTTGGACAAATGGTTCTTTAACAAGTATCATCCTGCTCCTCAGGGAGCACTTGGAAATGTCTGTAGACTATTTTGGTTGTCATGACTATAAAGGCGGGGGTGCTACCCGATAGGTGGAGACCAGGGATGCTACTCAGCTCCCTATAATGAACAGAATGGCCCCACCCCAGGGAAGATCCAAGCCCAAATGTCAGTACTCCCGAGGGTGAGAAACCTTAGCCTAACACGAGGGATGCTCTGTCTCAGTGATTTACATCCATGGGCGAATTTTTTCCTAGGGACATTTGGCACTGTTTGGAGTCACTTTAGGTTGTCACACTGTGGCAGCCAGTGTGTCATTGCTACTGGCATCTCACGCGTGGAGACAGATGCTGTTCAACACTACAATACTGAGGATGATCCCTACCCCAAAAATGATTCCCATCCCAAATGTCAGTAGTGCCAGTGTTGAGAAATCTTAGCCTGGATATATTGTAGGCAGATGAATGCAGATGAATTTTCAGTTGAGCTCCAACAGAACAACAAGGTCATCTTCCAACTCTCCCATGGGTGGAAATGGAGGGATGAAGGGTAGACAGCAGGAGGGACTTCCTACTGCAGCTCATGCAGGGGCAGCCTAGCCCCAAGGCACCCTGAGCCTGTATTCCCACAGATCCTGCTCCTGGCATTCCTGAAGCTCATCGATGAAGGCAGCCACATGGTGATGCTGGAGTGCCCAGAGACAGTTAACACACTGCTCCATGAATTCCTGCTGTGGGAGCCGGAGCCCTTGCCCAAGGCCCTGCCCGAGTCTCCGCCTGCACCACTGGAGGAGAAGGAGAAGAAGTAGGTGCTGGGTGGGCCAAGGCATCACTTGGTGAGCTGGAGGAGCTGCAGGAGTAGGCCCAAAGCAGGCGCTGGGTCTGCAGAGTTGACCACCTGGATCGCCAGTTCGCTCAGGTGGGCGGGGCGTTCGCTCTTTTGGGCGGGGTTAGGTCTGGGAGACGCCCCCAGGCCGACTGCATTGTTCCTGGGAAACCAGAGGACAAGCTGCTCTCCGCTTGCGTCCTGCTGGACCATCAGTGTTTTGGGACCGCAGTTGGGTCCCCCGTGGAGGATGACCTTGTACAGAAGCTCCCTCTCCCCCCGACCCCCAATGCCACGGCCAAGGAAGGACCCCCAACCCGCTCTGTCTTCCGTGTCAGCCATGCTTGATCTTGTAACTCACGAGCCCCACAAGGACACTTAAGTGTCTCACCCCATTTCCCAGAGCACCCCCACACCCCGTCCCTCAGCGCTGGGAGCTATTGTTGCCCAAGGGGGTAGGGATGGGGGCACTGGCACCATTGAACCTGCACATCTCAAATTGTAACTCAATAAAAAATAACAATCTGAATCTCCAGACTTGTGCTGGATGACCACAGGGTAGGGTGGCCCTGACCCTCAGTTTCCCCATATGCAGACAGGGCTTGTTTCCAGAATAGCCGCTTTCACAATTAATGCAGGGACCACTTGGGTAGTATTCCCAAAGCAGAAGGCAGAGAGTGGGACTTAGGGTGTGGGTGAGCTCCCTCTCCCTGGATCAAGCAAGAGGTCTAACAAGTTGAGGGTGAGGATAAGCAGACTGCATGAGATGAGAGCAACCACGAATGAGTGCCAGCTATACGCAAGGCCCTGTGCTGGCTGCCTAATGCCATGGGTTCATTGAATCCCCTTCACCCTATACCAGCCAGGGAGTAAGTACTTCTTACTAGCTCCACTTATCTTTCAACATGGTTTAGGGTGACTTTTGTCATCAAGCTTTTATTCTGAAGGTACTGAATCTGGCTTTTCCTTTTATGTCTGGTGGGCTTCCCTGCCCACCATGGTCATGTTCTAAAGTAACATTTTCTTCTAATGTATATATAGTTACCTGTGGTTTGTGAGAAGTGTAAGAGAGAATTGTCCCTCTGTTGCTGCACCTTCAGTGTTTCCCCACTGGTTTGTTAGTTCACCTTTAGTTTAGACCAGAGCGTCTCAGGGGAGCAACTGTCTATTATGAAATTCTGGAGACAGTTTTGACTGCCACAACTGCAGCGGACAAGCTACTGACTTCTGTTGGCAGGAGCCCAGGGGTGCTGCCTGACATTCTGCAATGCACAGGTCTGCCCCAACATCAAACAGTAACTTGGCTTCAAACGCTAGAGGGAAATAAATCCTATCATTTTTGGGTCTCTGCCTTCTTTCCCAGTGACTCCTTTGTGAATCCCTGGGTGATGGCACGTGGTTTTCATTGTTATCGCTTTATCAAGTGACTTCGGGTGTGGACCTTCCTGTTTTACATTTAAGAAATGGAAGATCAGAAATTTCTCCAACTTGGCTACAGTGGTAGAGCCCAGACCTGTCTCACTGGTAGTGGCCCCTAATGTCAAAGCCATTCCCAAGGAACCAGGGGCCCAGCAGAGAGGAACGGGGGCAGGAGGAATCAGCTTCCAGTTACAGTCCATCCCCAGAAGGACTTATTAGCTGAGCCTCAGTAACGGGCAGGTAATGAAGCAGCAGATCCCAAGTCCCTAAACCTATTGGGCACTTTGAAAAAGCAACTTTTGGAAAACTTAAAAGATCCTGCCAACACCTTATCAGGAGGGTGACTTGACACTGAAGCTCTTTGCCTGTGTGAGTAGTTTGAAATCACAGAACCAGGATCACCAGGAAGTCAGAGTTACTGATGCAATTTTACAATGGAAGAAGTGGTTCAGAGAAGCAACTTCCAAGTCACACAAGTCACACAATGATACCAAGGAGAGCTGGTTTTTCACCTGTACACCCCATAATCTCCCAGGGCTGTCCGTCCATCACCACAGACTTTCCATCTGAGCTGCAGGATGGCATCTGGCTTAGTACAGGACTCTGGGTCACGCTTAACCCTAACAGCCTTTGTTTAATCAGCTCTCCACAGAGCTAAGACCTCTCACTGTTCACAGTGTAAAACTGAGGGAAGTGAGTCTCAGACACAAATTACTGGTCTGAGGAACCATAGCTGGGAAGCAGCAAAGCTTGGCTCTTCAGTTGGGCAGATTCCTGAGTCCATCCCAGAATGTGGGCCCCCTTTGTCTGGGAGATAATCGTGAAATCTGTCCACACAAACAGGACCAAACTAACAAAGCACACCATGTTCTGAAGCACCAGAATGTTCCAAATAACCTTCCGGTCCTTACTTATTCTCCTATGATAGGGAGTTCATTGCCTCTCCAGCAGTTCTGTCTGTAACAAAGTCCTCCCTCAACCTGACAGGGAATTAGACTGCTGCATATGTCCCCCACCCCAGCCTTCTGGAGCTGGAGATCAGGAATTGCTCTTTTTTCGTGGGGCAGTTGCAATAAACAACTCTGACCTCTCAGTCTAGATGGCCAACCCCTCAGTGTTCAACCACGGGCCTGGATGTCCTGGGGTCTCAGTTCTCGTTCACCCTCAGCCAGGAAGACAAGGAGGGCACGGTACAGCAAATGCACCCCCAAGCGGCGCCGCCGAGCAGGTGACCAGCCTGCTACCACTCCATAGCAGTGTCCTTGTTTCTGGTTGGTCAGCATCTGGATCCCTGAAGAGATTGACAGTGAGGTCACAATTAATGACAGTTACAGGGACACCCCAGCAAAGTATATGATAATGAACTCACTGTGTATTGCCTTTAAACAGGGATAAACCAATATGTGCACATGCAGGTACAAAGTTGGTACTCAATAGTTGCTCATAACAATGAATCTAAAGTCCTGAGAGGGAAGGGCTGAGGGAAATGGTAGACCAAATGACCCCTATGTGACTCCCACCCCATGAGCCAAGCACCCACCTAGAGCATCCACAAGACATGCCTCTCTAGTATAAGCCTCCACAGCCACCACATGCTGGAAGCAATGCAGAGAGATAACACCATGGCCACTGGCCCAAATGTCCAAGATCTGGCGTACCTTCGGGCAGGCCTGCAAGGTCAGGATAGGGTCAGGCGTCTGCCCCAATACCTTCTTTCCTCTACCTGGCTACCCCTGGCATGACCCTACTCTTTATCCCATACCTGCTTTCCTGGCTGCCTACGGTGGCTGAGGGCCTCCCAGAGGTGGACATTGGGGCGGGCTCGTGTCCCCTTGCCCACATAGAAGATGGCACGGACAAAAGTTCGAAGGCGCTCCACCGGGGTCAGTGAAGAGGCCCGGGCTGGCAGGTCTTGAGTCTCCCTGGATGAAGTGGGTGGTTCAGAGAGGAAAAAAATGAGAAGACTCTTCCCAGATACATTCTCTAAAGTAAGAGAGCAGGGCCTCCCTGGTGGCGCAAGGGGTTAAGCACTGCACTATGAAGCAATTCGCAGCCTCTGCAGCACGAGTTTGATCCCCGGCTGGCCAGGGAGAAATCCACATAGCGAGGCAGACCTCTCCTGTCTCGCCCACTGCTCCCCTCAGCAGTGTATTTCAGTCATTCTGCCTGTTCTGCTCCCCACTCTGTCTCTGGTGAGTCCTCTCACCCCCCACACCTCTGGCCTGTACCCTAGCTCTTGTACGCATAAATAAATCTTTAAAAAAAAAAAGGGAGCAAACTGGATCCTCATCTAGTAGCCCCCATTTTATAGGGCGATAGAAGTGCCTGCTCCCCAAGGACAGCATGAGTTGTCAACAGTATGAGTTGAGTCCAATTGCCTCTTGCAGATAAAGAAGCTAATGTCTAGAGAGGGTCAGTTCACTTCTTAAGGACACAGAGCAAATAAGAATCAATCACAGAATTTTCCAGTTCCCACTTCTAGATCATTCCCGCCCAGTACCTGGGGTCCAGCAGCAGATAAGTAAAGCTAGACTTCATGATCCCCTCCCTCCACCTTCTGGTGGGATCTGGCTGCTCAAACTGCTGGGCAAGCACATCCTCGTCTGCCTGGGCATTTGGGATCTGGCCTGTTCGTAAGGCCTCAGCCAGCTCTGGACTGTGTCCTGAAAAGTTTAAACCTGGGAGGAGAAACTGAGTCAAGGAAGACAGAGGGGGGAGTAGTTCCCAGAGATGTATAATTGAGAAGTAGGTACAACTGAGAGCTAGGGGCCTCTGGGGACTCCAGGAAGCTCCATGGGCCCCAGAAGCCCAGAAGGGACTAACCAGGAGCAATCTGGAGCTCTTTCAGTCGCTGGAGGTAGTACGGGCGGGTGAAGGGAGTGACAGGCCCAGGGTTCTGCCCAAGTGCTCGGAGGCCCTGCAGCAGCTCCAGATCAGACATGGTGGGGACCGGAAGGCAGCAAGAGGGGATGGGGTCCTTGCCACTTGTGGAGTTTGCCTCATCTTCCGTCAGCCGGAGCGCAGCCACATCACTGTTGAGGGACGAACGGTCCTCTTCCAGGAAGTGGGAGTTGCAGGGGTCAGGTAGTAGTTCCCTAGGTGGGGCAGGGACTGGGCTCTGGGCTGGGAGGGTTGTGGAAGAGGGGGAGGCATCTGGAGAGGTCAGAGTCAGGGCCTGAAGACAGGCATTTAGTTCTGTTTCTCTGCCCCCCATGATGGCTCCATGTGACAGCTGTGGGGTACCCAGAGAACATGGCTCACTCAGGAGCCCCTGCCTGGTCTGAGGCATTGACCCAGCCCAAGGGAAAATGCGTGGGGCCAGGTCGTCAGCTCCAGAGGACTCAATTGCAGTGATAAAAGAGACATCTGAGCTGTCGTCCCAGCACTCTGGAGACAGCAAGCTCCCATCTTCATCAGCAACTTCAGGGTGGGCAAGGAGACTCTGGGGTCCAGGGGCGGCCTCTAGGCCCATGACCCTGACGTCACCTCTCCCCAGTGCTGTAGATTCCAGTGTCACATGAGGAGGATCAGAGGGGCTGTCATCCAATCCCTTGCACCAGGGCCTGGGTTCTGAAACAGGGAATGAAAGAGGTCAGAGAGGAGGGAGAGACAGAGATGGGAGTCAAGTCCAAACAGAAAGAGGACACAGAAGTCACAAAGAGGAGGGAGATAGTACGATGGAGAGAAAATTGAGGGAGACATGGTGGCGCAAGGGGTTAAGATGCAACCTATGAAGCTATCCGCAGCCACTGCAGCACAAATCCCATCCTGGCCAGGGAGAAACCCACATGATGCAGCAGACCTCTCCTGTCTCGCCTCCTGCTCCCCTCTGCAGTGTATTTCAGTCGATCCACTCTGTCTCTGGTGAATCCTCTCACCCCCTGCACCTCTGGCCTATACCCCAGTTCTTGTATGCATAAATAAATAAATCTTAAAAAAAAAATTGAGGGAGACAGGACGACAGAGTCAGAACTAGTGGGAGACGGGACATCAGAGACAAAGTCACAAAAAGCTGGACCAGAAGTTAAGTCCTCCCACCGTGCAGACCCTACTCACCGCCAGGCTCGCGCTGGGGATCCTGGGTCTCTGCTTCGGTCCAGGTCTGCCCCTCCAGCTCCTGCAGGACATGCACGCAATCCTGGTGTCCTTGCTGCTCTGCCAGGTCCAGGGGGCGGAATCCGTCCTGTCGCACCACAGTCAGCAGGGGGCATCCGAGGCCCTCTCCCTCTCTTTCCTCCCTCCCTCCCCTTCCGGGTGCACCCCGCAGCTGTCAGTGTAGGACAACCTGATCGCGCAGCTCAGGGTCCGCTCTCCGGCTCAGCAGCAGCTTCAGGCCGCGGCGACAGCCCCAGGCGGCAGCCACGTGCAGCGGCGTCAGTCCCTCGGCGGATCTGGTGGCAGATGCGGAGGAGGGGTTAGCGGAGGGTACTCAATCTAAGCCACAGAGCACCCGAATCTTGGCCTTCGGTCTCCTATCTTCGCCGTCCAGTCCAAGAGAGCACCCTCGGAACCTAGAACCTACGCCTTCGGGCTGGAACATAAACCTGTTCTCTTACCCTAGAGTTTCTATCCGCAGATCCGAATCTTTGACCCCCCATTCCGGACCCAACGCAACCGCACACCCCACCTTTAATCAGAGACACTAGTTCAGCCCTTGGACCGTCACGATCCCTCCCCAAGACCCCCAATCTCAAATCTGGGTGAACAAGTTCCGGCCTTCGTACCGTGGGGCACCCTTTTCCTGACTCTAGGTCTAGCCTTCGGAACCCGGAGACCCCTCTCTTGCACCGAAGAATCCGCCCGGGCGCAGACCCCGCCTCCTCACCTGGCGTTGGGGTCCCCGCCGTGGCGCAATAGGGTCTCCAGACAACGAAGACTGCGCGGGTGCCTGGCTCTGGCGGCCAAGTGCACAGCTGCCGCGCCATCGTCCAGTACCAAGTTGGGGTTGGCGCCTCGGCGCAGCAGCTCCTCCACGGCTCTGCGGATACAGTGTCAGAACGGACCGCAACCCTCAGTGCCCACTGCCCGCCCGGGCCCCGCCCTCACCGCGGCTCCTCCTCCCGCAGCGCCACCCGCAGGCGCCGCGACAGGGCACTTGCCGAGCCCATCTCCGGCGTGCTCGCCCCGCCGCAGGGCTCGCTGGTTTCCAACTTCCCGCGTTGTCCTTGTGCGCACGCGCCGCCCCGCCCTTCGGCGCCAGGCTCAGCACCCTAGTGCCCAACAGGGTCCGCAGCCAGGCTGCCCCGCAGAGCATCGGGGCTTGAGTGTGGTTCCCGCCGGGTCCCGCGACACTGAGTGGCGCTTAGGTCGGGTCTGGGGCCGCTGATAAGGACCCGGGCGGGTGGCGGCCACCGGCTGTGCTCTTATCTCAAGACCGGGACACGCGGACGCACAGGACTGGGGGGAGTGGAACCACGATCCCGGGATCCGGGGGCACCCACAGAACGTTAAACAGCTTCCATTAGGAGGCTCCAGCCCTTGTGCTATCTAAGGCTGTGATGAACAGCTCGGGTCTCCAGAAGCTGTTAGTAACCCGTTTTCAGTCCCGCGAAGCCGGGAGTCCTTTACTTTGGAGCGCTGGGTCTTTGAGAGCCCGAGTTTCATCTGCAAAATGGGAAAATCTTCGCAACTGGTGAGTATTGAATGTTTTTCACCACAGATGCCCAGTCAGTGCTGTTGCTCAATAAAGTTATTTTCAGCTCATAGGGATGGGGATCTAGCTGGCACTCTTTCTCCACAAAGTTCATTATCCTGGAAGATAGTGGAATGGTGGCCTTCTATTCTCTTCTTCCCTTCCTCTGGGGGCTCCCACAGTTTTGTTTTGTTTTTTTTCTTGATGGAGCTGTGCTTCCCCCTCCCCACACAATGACAACCTTGTTATAGGACATGGCCAATCAGAACAGAGCTCTGCCCAAAGAATAAGGCCCAGGCAAGACAGTCATATGGGGTGCTGCGAATACATGGGGTTAAGATGCAACCTATGAAGCTATCAGCAGTCACATGGGTTGGGTTTTGGAGAGTTGCCACAGTCATCTCACTCCTTTCCTGGTGATTCAAAGGAAAGGAGGGAACGCTGAACCCCAATCACAGAGTATTTCTGTCCTCCCCAATGGCATGGTTGTCTCAGCACCAGGATGTAGCCAAACCTGAAGCTGCCCCTTGATTTCTCATCCACAAGAATGAAGCCATTACCCGTTCCACTCAGTGGGTAGGTCTTGTGTCATTTGCATTCTAATAGGTCCCAATTAATACAAGATGAGTGTGCAGACCTGAGTTGGAGATTTTTATTCTGATGACAAAAATCGTAACAAAAACTTACAACTGACAAACTGGGAGTGGGACTTAGGCTGGGAAACATGAGGCATTGGGTGCCTAGAGTCCCTGGCATGCTTCCTAGAATCCTGGGCATCTTTCAGGGCCCCAGGGACCCTGGGTATTTCCTGGAATCCCCTCCTGGGGGTTCCCAGAGAGCCAGCACTCTAGGCCAAGGCTTTCACTGTGCAAGAAGGTTGAGAGGCACAGGGATGGTTCAGACGGTGGCCTCAACCTCAGTGGCTTCATCTTCCTCCTCCAGTAGGCTGTAGGAGGCATGACTCTGGCAGGGCCTTTGCAGTGGATGAGCCAGCAGCTTGGCCATGCAGTTGTGCAGTTCCAGGGCTGGCCCAGCCAGTGCCACCTCATACTTGTAGCTGGTACCCTTGGTATCCAGACTGCCCATGAAGGCAAACATGTCCTGGGGGCCAGGAAAGGGCTGTTTAGGCTTGGATTCCCCTGAGAGGCTCTCCCTGACTCTGGAGGGCTTCCCAGAAGAAGGAGCATTAGGTGGGTTCTGAAGAATGAAAAGGAGTTTGCCAGGCAAAATATATTGCCTTGTTTAACAAATGTTCTTTGTCCCCCCTGTCAGTGTTGGGGACCCCCAAGAGATCAGTTCTGGAGTCCCGATTCAGAAGAGACACCATGGGATGTAGACAACCTCCTGCCCTCATGCTAATATTACCTAAAGATCAGGGAAAGTTTCCCAGAGAAGTGATTTTGTTTTGGGTATTGAGGTATGGGTAGGAATTGGTCTCAACTCTTATTGTTTGCAGTTGGGTAAAGTGAAACTCAGAGCAGTAAACAGCCCTCTAAAGGTCTCACAGATAATTCAGGGCTGGGGCATGAAGACTCAGCAGAGCCTAAGGAAGTAGGGAGGGAAGGGTGCTATAGGCAGAGGACACAGGCAGAAAGAGAGAAGCAGGAGGTATTGGGGATGAGGCAGGTGGGACTCTAAGTGCCTCCAGGGCCACCAAGCCAACAGCCCCCATCAACTCACAGCTGACATGTGAGAAATGGTTGATGACTGACTGATTGACCATGACCCTCCACACACAGGGTAGGTGGGTTGTGAGACATCCCATCTACATCCACTTGCCACCCATAGCCACCGGGGCCCCTCACCTTCCAAGTCATCTCCTCTTCCTTCTCGTCCGCACCATTGTGGATGTAAACGACGTCGAAAAAGAAATATGGGCACTGGAACATTTTCTACAGTGAAAGGACATCAGCCTTTGGGACTTGGGTCACCCCACACCCCCGATTCCCCGGCTTCTGCCTTGAACTCTGGGAACCTGCCTGAAGGTTCTACCCCAACTCCTGTGGTTAGGAAGATTACCCCTGGTGTTTACCCATCACCCTGCTGGCTGCAGGCAGTCCTCCCTCTTGCACGCCTCACTAACCTTCATGGGCTCCGTCAGAGTGAACTGGGGCTGACAGGGTGGACGGCTATAGACAAGGATGATCCGGACCACGTACGGGGGTGGAATTGTCTGCACATTCTCTGTGACCGGAAGCTCGGTCTTCTGCTGGCTGCACACAGTAGGGAGGGAAACAAGTCAAACCACACTTTGAGGCTCAATACACCAGAAAACCCAGCTCCTCACAAGGCAAGCAAGGCCTCACCTCACCTCAAGTTCACTGTTGCCTCTCAGCCTTCCCAAATGTCATGCCCTCTGTTCCAGAACCTCCCCAGTCTCACCCTTCTGCCTGACCTCTCTCCTGTTCCATCAGGGAGATTTAGGTGACCCTCAAAGAATCCCCCATCCTGAGTTGGACTGCCTTATCAGGTTTGGGGTCTCTGGCGAGGACTAGATTTTATATGTTAAGTCAGTTCCCACGTCTGCACTGTAACATAGCTGGATCTCATGTTACCCAAGAGATCTTATGTTGGGCATGTTCTTAATATGTAAAAAGCAAATCTGATCATCAACAAGAAAAAAGCTGATATCCCCTTAGAAAAATAAATAGATAAAAATAGACAAATCACTGAAGGGAATCTTAAATGGATTAAAAGTAGATAGAACACAGCTTAAAGGATAGCACAGCCACGCCACATATGGCCTCTTCCTACTATCAGCTAGGCAGAATTTTCAATGGTATCATCAACCCTGATGCTGGGGGAGATGAACAGGGTTACTTTCCTGAGCAAATGCTTTGGCAAAGCCTAGCAAAATAAAAACACACGCTTTGATGTCCTCCACTGAAAAGCCACCCCCTTGTTTCACTTGCAAAATTTGCAGAGTTGGCTATACCAGGTTAGTCACAATGGAAAAGGCTACACAAGCTCCAAGCCCACCACTAGGGGGCTGATGAAAACAGTCCATAGCTAAGTCTGGTTTTTCATTGTTAAATGAAGGAGAAAAATAACCAAAGAATATTTCATGACATGAGGAAATAATATAAAAATATGTCAGTGCCCATAAATAAAGTTTTATTGGCACAAAGCCACATCCACTAGAGAATGTAAGGCCTGTGGCTGCTTTTGTTTTACCATGGCAGGATCCAGCTGTTTCAACAGAGAGCATGATACTTGTAAAGTGGAAAACATTTACTATCTGGGTGAAAAGAATAGAATGAAGAGTGTGGGGTAGAGGGACTCACATGAGGCTGAAGAGACCTTCCAGATCTGGCAGGGATGCTAAGGAGAAAACTGGTGGCAGAACACAGGTAGGCAGGGGTGGGTAGCTTCCCTCATCCTAATTGCCAGGAGCCCACTGCCAGGAACCATTGTGCCAGAGACAGTGGTACCCAGACTGAACTTCTTGGCTTCTCTGGGTCTCGGTTTTCCCATAGCACAGATCACAAAATACAGGACAGGCACTGGTTGCCCACAAGACCTTCGTGACTCATCCCCTTTCCCTCAGGGCCAGGGTCACCCTCCTTACAGTGAAAAACCAAAGTGAAAAACCTTATCCTCCCAACACTCACTCGTGTATTGTTTTGTTTTGTTTTGAACTCACAGGGATCTTATTCTATTTGAATTGGGAGCTGCAGAGGAACCTTTAATATTCACATTAGCATAGAATGTGCTGTGCCAGGGTTGAAGGAACCTGTAATGGTGATTGCAACTTTTCAGACACATATTGCCATTCATAGAACACTTACTGTATACTCAATGCATGAAGTGCTCCCCAGGTAGATGAATTTTGACACCCAGAGTCCAAATGGCTGAAGACAACTTTATCTTCACAGCCACCCTGTGGAGTAGGTTTTGTGACCCATTTTACAGATGAGGAACTGAAGCTCAGGGAGGTGACCTGTCCATGCCTGTCTCAACTCAGCTGGACCTGAATCTACTTCCTCCCTGGATCAGGCTTCCCAGGGTCCTCAGAAAGGGTGGCCCCCTCCAGGGTGTCCCTGCTTGGAAGGATACTGAATGTGGAACAGGAGGCCGTCTCCAAGTCATAGAGGCAGCTGCAGAGTTCACGGGGGTCACAGGTCAGGCCAGACAGCTGCAGGGAAGCACAGGTTTCAATGAGGTGCTCCCCAGCACCCAGGGGACCCCAGTCTGGCCCTAGCCTCACCCAGGCTGTGTCGTCATTCACCACCACCAGTGCAAACTCATGACTCTTGTCGATCTTGTGTTTTGTCCTTACAAACATCTCAATCATCTTCTGGGACACATTGAGGGCATTGGTTTTGGAGCTAAGGAAGGATGAAGAGTGAAGGATGTGGTTAAAGCAAGGCATCCTGCCTGGGGGACATCCCTTCACTGCCCATCCTGGGAACCCTCCACCAATCCCAAGATGAGGCTCAGGTTATACAGCAAGAGGGTGGTGGAATACCCTACAACACTTGCCTTCTGGCCCTCTCTTTCCCAAATGGGTCCCTCTGGCCAGCTGGGTCTCACAGCTGATCCACTGAGAACCCCCTACCCCCATCTTCGTTCAGTCACAGATGAGGCCTTGCACATAACCTCAGAGAGACTCCACTATTCAGGAAAAGGGTTTTGTAGTCAGCCAAGACTAAGTGTGAACCTAGCTCTGCCCATTTGCTATGATGCCTTCAGCAAGTCACTTTGCTTCTCAAACTGTCCAAGTCACTGCTGTGGGCAGGGAATGACTGCTCTCCCATGCATGGAACAGATGGGCTGTATCACTATGAGTTCCTATTGCCACCCTCTGATACCATCAAGTTCCAGGCCAGGCCAAGCAGTTGTGAGTTTCAGAGAGAGAACCTACACTTGGGGGCTGGGTCTCTCCCAGCGTGGCTGCACATTCAAGCCCCCAAATGTCCCTCTCACCCATTGAAGGACTCCAGCTTTGGCAGTGACATTTCCTCTGACAGGTCCAGGCAGATGATCTGCAAGGAGGCAGGAGAATGGTAAGAGCACTGTGACTGGCAGCCAGCCTGACCCCCATACCGTTCTCTCAGCTCTCTAAGCAACCCTTTCTGAAAAGACACTGAATTTTCTCCAGTTCCCAGCCAATCTACCCACCCACTTTGGAAGGCACTGGCTCAGGGGAAAACCACCTTGATGAGCAAATAAATAAATCAGAGAACATCTGACACGGAACCAAAAAAAAAAAACCAACCTGGTAGAATTGTGACCCTGCCAAAGATATGTCCACCAAGAATCCCAAAATGTGACTGTGTTTGAAATTAGGGTCTTTGCAGGTATAACTAAGATAGGATCACCTTGTCTCAATGACAAATGTCACTATATAAAAAACAGAAGAGGAAGAGACACACAGAGGGGAAGGTCAAGTGAAGACAGGTAGAGACTGGAGTGATACAGCTACGAATGCCTGGAGCCCCCAGAAACTGGAAGAGGCAGGAAGACTCCCTATGGAGACCGCAACAGATTGATTTGGGATTTCTAGCCTCCAGAAACTACAAGAGAATAAACTGTTATTGTTCTAAGTTACCCAGTTTGTAGTAATTTGGAGTAGCAGCCTTAAGAAAGTAATATAAAGGGAATGTTTACAACTGATGCCCAAAGGGCAAGAATGACTAACCAATGGTTCTCTAATAGCTTGGAACACAGGCCAAGCTTCCCACTTACCACTTTCTCTGGACAGTTGACTCTTGGTGTCCGCACCTGGACCTCAGGAGCTGGTGGGGGCACCTTCCAGGGCTTAGGGCCAGTTCCTGGGACATTAGGAGTCCCATCATCAGCACTAGCTGCCTCGCCCTCACCCTCACTGCGGCTGCCCACACTGGCCTGGGCCCCAGGTGCCCGATCCTCAGCACCCTCAGGGTTGGACCGTGTACGGGGCCTGGGTTCAACTGACTGCTCCTCTTCTTCCTCTTCTTCCTCAGTAGGGCTGCTGGACTCTGCCACCTCCATGGCTCCTGACTGGCTGGATGGAGCAGTAATAGGGGAAGCCAGGATGTTCCTCTTTAGGGTGTTAAAAACATTTGGTTACCAGACAGGATAGTAGGGCGTGAGCTGCTTAGTGCCTATAAGAGTCACTCCTCTGGGGCCTCCCTGGTGGCGCAAGGGGTTGAGATTCAACCTATGAGGCTATCCGCAACCACTGCAGCACAAGTTCGATCCCCGGCCAGGGAGAAACCCCATGGCACAGCAGATCTCTCCTGACTTGCCAGCTGCTCCCCTTAGCAGCGTATTTCACTCAGTCTGCTTGTTCTTCTCCCCACTCTGTCTCTGGTGAATCTTCTCACCCCCCGCACCTCTGGCCTGTACCCCAGTTCTTGTAGGAATAAATAAATTAAAAAAAAAAAGTCACTATTCTGGACCTCAGTTTCTTCATCTGCAGAATAGGTGCCTTTTAAACTTCTCAGTCTGCCCTCCACCCTGATGTAAGTAATATTCTCCCACCTTTTCCTGTAGGGATAACCCTGTAAACCCCACCCCTCCTGGAACAATGATCATATCAATGACCAGCTCAAAGATGGGCAATTATCAGACTTCCAATAGTATTAGTAGGGAAGAGGGACTTGTTAGAGTCGCAAAGCTGTTAGGATAGAAATCAAGGCCTACCAAGGGCCCCTTCTGACTCCAAAAGGGGAAAGAGAGCCTGCCTGAAGTAACAGGACATAGAATTCTGAGGGCCTGGCTCCAGCTATCCTGAACCAGTCCTCTTACTTCTCTTTCTTGTCTAAGCCAGATTGAGTTGGGTTTTCTGTTACCTGAAATTGAAAAGGCTCTAATGAATAATGGAATAACGACCGCTCTGACTTTCCCCAATAGGCGCTCGGCGCCTAGAGGGTCTCTGCACAGGGAGGGCCGCGAATATGGGTATGACAGTTCCCTTTGAAGAAAGAAAAAACGCCAATGGAACAGCTGCCTATCTGGCCAATGGCTGCGAGTTGCCCAGGATGGTCTCTGACTATCTCGCAGTCCTTCACAACCTCTAGGGAAAGAAAGTCTGAGCTGCAACAAAAGGGATGGAGATTTGAAGAAACCAGACCTGAAGACGGAAGCCTCAAATGAGGCGACGGGATGGACCTCTGGGACTGGGGAAGCTGGACCTCTCGTGATGACAGGGATGGGTCCCGCAAGCTTTCACCATCTAATTCTTCCTCACCGTAATCTGAGCCAGCCTCCAACTCGACTGCCGACAAGTCAGGGCGCCGCCATCTTCGCAGCCCGAAATGGTGCGTGCGGTCGCGAGGCCTCCTGGGAAATGTAGTTCAGAGGACTACAATGTCCGCGGGACGACGCGAGAGAGCCTTGGAAACTGATAGGCTGGGACTGTATTGGGTGGGATTTGGAAAGTGATGGACAGGAAGTGAGGCGGGACCTTGAGTGTGATTGGCTAAAACAATAATAGCTTTTCTGTTTGTGGTTGCTGATAGGCTGGGACGAGATAGCGTGGAATAGGGTGTTCAAAGGAATAGAATGGAGAAGACCGAGCATGCAATCTGACAAATAAGTGGGACCGAGTTGGGCCCGGGCGAGGAGGCGTTTTTGATTGGTGATTGGTGAGATTAGTGGAGTTGGGGGGCGGGGTTTTGTAGACCTGACCCAAGTCCAAGGGTCACTCCCGGTTATTTATTTACACTCCTTACTTTACATATATTTGCAAAAATCAAAAAATACTATACCCTTTCTTCTTTATAGACACTTGTCCTCTTAGCCCAATTACCATTTTTTAATTTTTAAAAAATATTTATTTATTTATGCATGCAAAAGCTGTGGTGCTGGCCAGAGACGTGAGAGGGTTCACCAGAGACAGAGTGGGGAGCTGAACAGGCAGATCTACTGAAATACACTGCTGAGGGGAGCAGCGGGCAAGACAGGAGAGGTCTGCAGCACCATGTGGGTCACCTCCCTGGCAGGAGATCGAACTTGTGCTGCAGTGGCTGCAGATAGCTTCATACATAGTGCCTGCGCCATCAGGGAGGCCCCCAATTACCATTTTTAAAAAAGATTTATTTTTGGGTCTCCCCTGGTGGCGCAGGTGGTTGAGCGCCACCCTGTGAAGCTGTCCGCAGCCTCTACAGTGCTGGTGCTATCCCGGCCAGCCCGTGAGGGTCCCACACGGCGCGGCAGACCTTGCCTGTCTCGCCCGCTGCTCCCCTCAGCAGTGTGTTTCGTCAGTCTGCCTGTTCTAGTCCCCCTTCTGTCTCTGGTGAATCCTCTCACCCTCCCGTGCACCTGTTCTGTACCCTGGTTCTTGTATAAATAAATAAATAAATCTTTTTTTAAAAATAAAAGAAAATGTAAAAAAGATTTATTTTTAATTTATTTATGCATACAAGAACTGGGGTGTAAACCAGATTTGGGAGGGTGAGGGTGAGAGGATTCATCAGAGACAGAGTGGGGAGCAGAACAGGAGAATCTACTGAAATACACTGCTGAGAGGAGCAGCGGGCAAGACAGGCCTGCACCATGTGGGTCAGCTCCCTGGCGGGGGTTCAAACTCATGTCACGGTGGCTGGCCATAGCTTCACAGCCCTGAGACTTTAACCCTTTGCACCACCATTACCATTTAAAAATCAATCTGAGGGGGCTCCCTGGAGTTCAATCCTCGGCCAAGGAGCTAACCCACATGGTACAGTCCTGCCTCGCCAGCTGCTCCCCTCAGCAGTGAATTTCAGTGAATCCGCCTGTTTTGCTCCCCACTCAGTCTCTGGTGAATCTTCTCACACCCCCACTCCCCAAACACCACTGGCCAATACCCCAGTTCTTGGATGCATAAATAAAATCAATCTTTAAAAATAAAAATCAATCTGGGCCTTTGTTTCTTTACTTGTAAAATAGTTAAGCCTGCCTGCAGCAGCAGAACTCTGATTCAATGATAGGCAAGAGGGGCTGTGTAATTTGAACCTTGGAGGATGGAGAATTTGTGAGAAAAGCAAAAGGGGAAGCATTCTAGGCTGGAAGTAAAGGTCTGAAAGTTTGGAATAGCCTCGGAGAAGTGGTACATTTAACAGGTTGATATGAATGGAGCTGAGAGTGTGGATCAATTCCCTCTGGGTACCCTCAAGTCAGAGAATTGCAGCTGCTCTCCCTATCACCTTTTTTACGCAGAGAAGGAAGATTCAGCCTTCTAGGATCTGTCAGTGGGACCAAGAATATTCCTGCTGCTCCAGTCTCTACATAGTTTAAACCAATTGCAGAAGGGAGGGAAAGGTGTTTCAAGCAGAGATAACAACCTGGCCAAGGGCCCCAAGTTGTAAGAGAACCCTCAGCTGTCCTAAGAGGCGGCTCATCCTAGCTAAAGCATGGTGTATACATGGGTGCAGGTACTAGGCATGATTTTTAAGAACCTTGAACTCCATATTGAAGAGCTCCTAATGTCTCCCAAGGGCAATAGGGAGCGATGGAGGATATATGAATAAGAAAGGTGAATAGTGAGATCTCCGTCTGATGCCTGAGTAGAGAAGGGAGGAACTTTGGGGAGCTAACGAGGGGACTGGGCTGACCCAGGTGAAAGAGGGGAGTTTTGGGCATGACTATGGAGAGAGAGGAGAGGTCCATTAGAGGTGGATGTCGGAAAAATAGGCAGGATGAAGAGACCATCTAGGCTCTGAGGAATCTAGCATTTATGCAGGGTAAACAGCAGCTGGCATAGGAAGCAGAAATAGGACAGCCAGAAAAGGCATAAGGAGCAAGAGGAGGCATTATAATTCAGTTGCCTGATGGTGCCTGGCCATGTGCAAATTGCTTGTTGAAATTCCCGTGAGACTATAGAAAAATGCTATAATTACACCCACCTCAGGAAACTAAGATGGGGGGGGCAGAGGCATCACTTGCTCAAGATTACCCATTCCAGATCTGTCTTAATTGGATGAGCACTGTGACTGACACTAAAGGGACAAGTGAATAAGTTCACAAAGGACCAGGTGACAAGCCTCAGCCCAGTGGAACATTCTGGCAATGAAGTCCAAGGGTTAGGGCCTCCCTGGTGGTGCAGGGGTTAAAGACACAGTGCTATCAAGCTACTGCCAGCCACTACAGCATGAGTTCATCCCCTTGCCAGCCAGGGAGCTAACCGACATGCGCAGCAGACCTCTCCTGTCTCACCTGATCCTCCTCCCAGCAGTGTATTTCAGTAGATCTGCCTATTCTGCTCCCCACTCTGTCTCTAGTGCATCCTCTCACTCCCACACCTCTGGCCTACACTCCAGTTCTTGTATGCATAAATAAATAAATCTTTAAAAAAATAAATTATTAAAAAATATAAAAAAATAAAGTATAAGGGTCAGAGGTGGAGGAGCCATGGGCTGGGAAACTGTGATGAGGAGGGATTGGCATCTCAAGAGCTGGACACATATTCCCCATTGGGACCATAGGAAGCCACTGTCCTTGAAGAGGAAACTGCACAATAACAAGTCATGTGATGAGGGGAGGGGGCTTCCTGTTTCCTGGCCCCTCCCAGCCCAGTCTTGGCCAGCCCAGACCTGAACAAGCAGTAGCCAGAGTGATCCTAAGAGAGTTCAGAGAATCAGGCCTCTGACCAAGGTACCCCCAGAAAGATAGAGAAAGAGAGTGAACTGAGGGGATCCAGCCCTCAGGATTGGGAACTCTAGTTCAGAAGGTCCCTGGGAGTGGAGAAGGGACTCTTGAAGTCCATGTCCAGATAGGGGAGGCAAGGGAGCAGAGGTATGAACCATAAAGGAGGCAGAGGAAGAGGAAAAGGACAGGGAAACCCTGAGAGGTAGTGAGCTGCCTGTCTAGGGTGGCATTCAAATGTGCCAAATCAGCATTTTCCCATTCAAGACCCTTCTGGAGGGAGAAATGCCCATTTCACAGAAGAGGAAATAGAGGCTACCATTTGCTCCAAACAACAAAGGCCAGATCAGGTTTTAACAGGTGAGGAAGGAGGAGGAGTCTAAGGACATTGATTTCTGGACAGCAATGAGCACCCGGGCAACACGGCCCCGAAGCCGGCGAGGGAGGCACGCCCTGCCTGTAAGTGTCACCTCTCTCTGCACACCCAGCTCTGTGAGACCCCAGGGTCCAGCCCTGCCTGGCTTAGAGCTGGGCCCTGGGGTTCATTTGCAGGCTGAGCTGGACCCTGTGGAGGAGAGTTCAGAGGAGGCAGAGGCAGCCAGCGGCAGCTCTGAGCTGGGCCCTGCACCATTACAGGAGGGCTGCAAGCTGGAGCTGCCAGCCCCTGAGGCAAAGGCTGGTGGGCAGAGCCTGGGCAGCAGGTAAGGCACTCTAAGTCTCTGCCCCCCACTCCAGCTCTGGCACATTTCCCCTCCTCCCCCATGGATCTGCCTGTCCTTTCCCTGTTTACACACCCACACCATGGCTCCCTGTTGTCCTCCTCTGCCTGAATTTCATAGGCCTGCATGATGCAGCCTTGGTCCCTGTGTGCCAGCCACCCCAGCTAACTCCATTTCTAAAACTTTCCATCTCTCATCACTTCATAGGACTAACGAAGAAGCTGGCGGGGATGCTAAGAAGGACCTTGCCTCTGCCCCCAAAGGGCCCCATGAGGCTGCAGAAGGAGCCCACCAGGCCCCAGAGGCAGCCCACCAGGACAAGGAGACTGTCCCCCTGGAGCCTGGGGACATGTTTCAGACTTTGCATCGAGCTCTGAGCTCCCTGGAGGCCACTGCTGCAGCCTGGCGCCTCCAGAACCAGAGCTGCCCTGGGCCCATGGAGGTGGAGGGCAGAGATGAGGGAGGACCAAGGCTGTGCATGGAGCAGGAGAGGGCAGGGGGTTACCAGCGGGAGGCGGCCCGCCTAGCAGAGAGGAATGCCTGGTTGCGCCTGGCCCTCAGCAGCCGTGAGAGTGAGCTTGCCAGAACGCAGGTCTCCCTGCAGGCTACCCAGACCGAGAAGGAAGAGCTGCAGAGAGAGGTGAGTGGGGAAGGCTGCTTCCCAGGGCCCCTTGTCTGAGGGAGGAGGCAGGCCAGTACAGGCAACGTTCAACTGTTCTTCAAAAAAACATGTATGGAGCACTGACAGTTGAGTTCCAGACAGGGGTCCCTTGCACTCATATTTAAGGTGACCAGAGAGGTCCACCTAAGAGGTGACACTTGTATAAAAATCACAGAGGAAGTAGTGGTGCAAGGTTCTAGGGAAGAACATTTTGGGCAGACGAAACAGTCACTGCAAAGGCCCTGAGGTGGGAATGTGATCTGCATTTCCAAGGAACAGCGTGGAGGCCTGTGTGGTGGTGAATGGGAGGAGAACAGGGCAGGGAGTAGAACAGGGCAGGAAGCTGATGGGTGGGGAG